AGAATTCCTCGCACAAAGTGGCGGATGTTTGGAAAGTGATCGGTGTGACCGCCGTTCTGGGTAATTGCACTACCGCCCGCCTCTCATGCAGTTCCTCCAATTCTCAGTCGCACCCGCCGAGCAGACTTTCAAGATGCACGCGACCTGCGCTTGCAGCTGTAGCCCGTGGTGCTGAGGTCCTCACGGTGGGCGACGACGACGACGACGAACCAACGAGGCGCACGCGAGGTGGGCTGCTTATGGAATGGCGCAACAGCGGGCGTCTGTTGTGCAGCCGCCCATCAGCTGGGCATTCGGCAAGTGTTGCATGCCCGCCTACTACTGTGCGTCTCGCCGCTCGCTGCACACAGCCGTACAGTACAGCCGCACGGACCGCCAGCTCAAACCCAGCCGCCGTCACAAAGAAGCAGGTCTCGCCCGCGGGCGTGGCTGCAGATCACCAATGCTATCGGGACGTGATGGCGCGAGAAGCTGTGCACGCGTGCTCCTTAGCGTGATGTCGGCTGGGGGACCGGCCCTCGTCCTCTCCACAGATTTGCCGTATGAAACGTTGTCCCTCCAGTCTAGCCTCACCCACACCCATTCCTCTCTGAAGCGTGCTCCCGCTATCTGCGGAGGTCCGAGGATGACTGTTTCTTCCCATGCTTTTTACGTGCAGAAGTCCTCAGCTTCTCGCATCCATACGAATCCTTACACCCACGCCTTCACAGACCGCTCGCCTGAGCTCGACACTTCCGGCATTAAATGCGATTCACTCCCTTCAGATGCATCGTGCCCTCCGCACTTTGACAGCTCTTTGATGGATGGGATTCGGCTCCGATGCCATCTCTTCGCTGCTTTATGCAGTGCGACCCTTCTCAAATCAGTGTTGGGCTATCGTGAATCCGGCCTCGCTGCGCCCATCATCGGCACTAGTCTTCCCCAGCCAACCTCTGGTGTTTACTCTCCCATGTATCCAAGCAACATCGAGGGAATTACCGATCGCACCGTTACTATACAACACGGCGACTGAGACTCTACGCGATATTCCTGCCAACAAATGTCTCTTTCTAATACGGCACCTCATCAAACAGCTTTGATATGCTCTCTCCATAGTGGCTTCTCCGAATGACCTCGGCAAGTACGGTTCCGATGTCAATCACCTCGATTTTACTGCACTTAGCCAAGTTTTCTTGCTGCGGCAGCGTGTTGGTAACGATCAGTTTCTCCAGAACGCTCTCCTCGACAGTCTTTAAGGCGTTGCCGCTGAGAATCCCATGAGTGACGAATCCAAACACTCGTTCAGTTCCTGCTTCGGCAAGGTGATGGGCTGCAAGGCAAAGTGTTCCGCACGTGTCCGCCATGTCGTCGACGAGGATAGCAACCTTGCCCTTCACGTGCCCGACCAGAATCATCCGCGAGACTTCATTCGCCTTCTTTCGCTCCTTGTGGAACAGTGCGAAGTCGACCCCGAGTCGGTCTGCTATCGAAGTTGCCCTAGTGATGACGACATGGGTCAGCCAAAAGTTTGATGCTGACAAGTGAGTTGACGCACCGCTTAGCGCCGCCGGCATCAGGAGACACAATCACGATTCGTGACAGGTCAAAGTTGCTGCGGATGTACTGGATCACTGAAGGCTCCGCATACAACTGACACAAGACATAAGATCAGTCGCACAAACAGAGGACTATACCACTTACGCTGTGAGAAGTCAATTGTGAGCTATGTGGTACAGCGCAACGCCGAACAGACGTACTTGTCCACTGGGACGTCGAAGAATCCCTGAATTTGCGAGGCGTGCAGATCCATCGTCTACGAAATGTGGCAGCCAGTGAGCAAACCAGTCCGGCGGGGGCAGAATCACGCAAATTCAACTCACGATAACATGGTCACACCCGGACTTTTGAATCATGTTCGCGACCAGCTTGGCAGTGATGGGCGCGCGGCTCTTGTCCTTCTTGTCCTGGCGGGCGTAGGGGAACAGAGGCAGGATGGCGGTGATCCGCTTCGCGCTCGCGATCTTGCAGGCGTGCACCATGATGCAGAGCTCCATGAGGGCAGTGTTGATCTGCCCGCATCCTGTGTTGATGATGTACACGTCTTCTTCGCGGACGGACTCGGCGATGCGGACATTGGTCTCGCCGATGCCGCTCTTCGTGACTTCAGCTTTACTCAGAGGAACACCGAGCCTGTGCGAAGCAACGCGAGTTGTCATTAGCACGGCAAGCAAGAGAGATGGTTGGACAGTTACCGTCGGGTTATGATCTCAGCGAGCTCAGGATGGCTGGTACCTGCAACGACGGCGAAAGATGAGCTGTCCGAGCTCTCCTAATCGATGCTGCTCACCGGTGAAAATCTTGATACCGTTACCGGTGAACATCGCATGTACATATAGGAAATAAAGATACGAAGCGAAGGAAAAGAAGAGAGAGGAAGTGATTAAAAGGGATGGAGGCGGCGTGGGGCAGTGGTGGAGAGGCCCGCGATGTCACGACTTCGCGGGATGGACATCGGGAGGCGCGCAAATTTGCCATTATGTAAGCGAGATCCTTGACTCCCAAAAATAGCGGTTGTGGAACTCGGCGACGAGTCGGCGTACAGCTGTAGCGAGATGGATTGTGATAAATGATTGTGTCGTACAAACACACTAGGCCTCATCGTGCACGTTCGATTACCTCAACACCCTGTTGTGTCCCACCCGGACGTCTCAACGTTTCTCGGAGCACTGCCTGGCGTCCATCACGGCTTCCATTACCCAGGCTGTGCTAGATTGAGCAGCTGTACCCACGCATTCGAGACAATTCTGCTGGTTCGGTAGCGTCTGAGCCACTCCGGTAGCCACTGGAGTGAAATCGGTCAATGTGTGGGGAAGTTGCTCCTCCTAAACAATGTCGAGTTCTTGGGAGGTTCCATGGCCTCACGGTGTAATGGATGCACGCTTCCCAGTTCCCAACACATTGGCCATGGGCGGTCCGACCTTTCGGAAGTGTAATTGACATGCTTCGAAGCCCATGAATGAATGCGCATAAGCGAACACATTGATCGATCTATTCGGCTGGATCCATGGCAGTCAATATTTGGCGTCTCAGCTAGTCATTTCTGTGTAACGTCACGTCTCAAAGATCATTGCATTTAAAGTCCTGCGAGAGACATGTCTGTCAGCGCTCAACACAACAAGTTCGAGCAATCCGAGACTGGCAGACACGAGAAAACATTGAGCACTACGCTACAAAACTACACAAGCGACTCTGCGAAACGGATATCGATAAGCAGGACACGACGAGGGAGAATGTCGCACAAGGCAAAAAGAGAGGACGTCAACAACGGAATAGACTAGATAGATATGTAGTAGCCGCATGCCGGTGAACGATAGTACTAAAGTAGAGGGAAAGAAAGACGAGAGCAACCTGAAACGGCGTTAAGAGAGATAGAGGTTAAAGAACACATGAATGCACTATCTTGCCCAAAGGGCAAAGTGACAAACGTGGAGGTACAGAGAGCCACTAGAACCAAGAATGATAGGCGCAACGTAAAGGAAACGTGGAGACAATGTCTGATATGCTACGAGTGATGCTACAAGTAATATGTCGTGCACTGCAATCACGAGAGACTAAGAGACAGGAATAAGTCATCGCGAGCCAACGCCGTTCATGAGGCCGGATGGCACGGGAGTGGAGCGGGCTGCAACGCTAGGAGTGTTCAAAATGGACAGCAGGTGAGCATTGTTCGCAGACCGCGCCGCAGTCATAGAAGACGGAAATCCAGGTGTGGGAGTAGGGACCGGCTCCCCGTACTGAGTAAACGGGAACTGTTGTGGAGGCATTGGGCGGATAGGCGGGAGGCCTGACTCGTTGCGCATAGCCATGGGGGGCAGCGCTGCTTGCGCGGGGCCCGAAGAGGGAAATGGTACTTGGGGAGCGAAACTCCCTGTGCTAGGCAGGGGGAGCGGACCGCGAGTATCTACCCCAGCGCCCATATAATGTCGATTCTCCTCGTTGAGGCTCGGCTTGCGGAGGGGCGGTGGAAATGAAGGCGGGTGGAACGCAGTGCGAGGTCGGACTACGAATGGGTCATCATAAGACGAGTCAAACGGAAGCATTTGCCGCGCGGAGGGAGGGATTGATGGAGGGAGACGATTAGCGGCCGGCCCAGAAGAATAGATTACAGGGGTATTGGAGCGGGCGAACATCACGGACGGCGGTGCCGAGGACGCGGGAGCCATGGGGATTCTGTCAGCAGCAAGGGTCTGAGGGGCATGCCCCAGTGTAGAAGCCTGTTGTTGGAACTGAGAAGAAAGCCTATCAGATTCCTTCACCACATTCTCCAGCATCGAAATGTATTTCATCTGCTTCGGGATCTCCGCTGGGCGCGACAAGTAGGGTGATATGTCTGCTGAGATCCTGGAAGCATGACGAGCACGCGCCTGCTGCGGTGACTGCTTTATCCCCATGGAAGTGGCACATCGTGACGACGGAGAATAGTGAGCGAGAGGAGGTGACGAAGTAGGTAGGGCGGCGCCACGCGAAGCCTCCGCAATGGGACCTCTGGGAAGGGGAGCGGATAGTGCGGGCGTGACTGTCCGAGTCGCAGTAGGGGAGGAAGGATGTTGAGTGCTGGAATCTGATTGTACAGATGTTGCAAGTGAACGGTCCATTAACGCGTTGGGCATACGAGCAGACCAATCTGAAGTAGCAATATGTGCTCCAGAACTGGTAGGCGACAATGATTTCGACGATGCTGAAGGCATAGACTTGGCACTGCCATTGGTGGACGAAGCGGATGCTGACAAAGACAAGGAGTTTAACAGGCGAGCGAAATGTGGATCCACGCCTTCCATAATCTGCAGAGTCCCGTCAACGCCAGGAGTAGCTTCGTGAGGTTGCAAATTGACTTGAGGAGCACTGTATTGCGGCGACGGCGTCTCCGGTTCCCTGTTGTCTGCGGACGACGATTGAGAGCTCGATTCCTGCGCGCTGTGGTCGTTGCTGGCTGTCGGGCTAGCTTGAGTGTGGTCGGCATCCTCTTCGCCAGGGGCATGCACATCCTGAGCAAATCGGACACTCTGCGAATTACGAAGGCGACGCGGTAGATTGCGGGGTTTGCGGTCATGAATGAACTGTTTCAATGGGCTGAGGAAAAATTTAGGCCTAATTCACAGCTCGTAAATTTAATAGCTCACCCGATGAATGGAGAAATTAGGTAGAACTTCCCCGGCACAGCTTTGCTACGCTTCCAAGTGGGCAGGTCCGATAATTTAAACCACGCGATTTTCTGTTGTCATAACATCGATATCGCTGGGCCATCATGAATGATTCATATCACTTACGCTAATCTCCTTGCGGGTCCTGGTTTTAAACGGGTAATCTTCCGGAATGCCATGGACGATGTACAGGGATATAGATTGCTCTTTGATGGATAGTTCAATAACATCTTCGGGAACGATTTGATCCTCCAGATCGTAGCCAGTCTCTTCGAGAACCTGCACCATGCGATGAGAGGACACAGCAAGGCCAAGGATGATGAACTCACCTCTCGTGCAGCGCAACGAGGTCGCGGTTCCTGCTCATTAATCTTGCCTTTGGGAAAGCCCCATCCAGCCGATGACTTCCATCCTTTCACAAGAACACACTGAAATGTACAACGGTCATCAGCCCGCATATGTAGACATTCACAGAATCGTACCTTTTCCCATGTATCATTCAGCATGATTGCTCCGCACACTGGCACCCTCGTCTTGTACTGCATGAACTTTGCATATGCTCGTTCGTGGTCATGAGCCCAATGCTGTAGAGGTGGGCAAGTTCGAAATAATGCCTCGGAGAACGTCTTAAGTGTGTACGAAGGAAACTTCGACGGATTCTGCTCTCGAATGAAATCCTCGTAGTACCAGTGTCTGTAATACGGAGAACTTCAGCAATATGAAACACGAGAAATGCGACAAGTATCACATACGCTTGTTCCACCTGGAAGCATACTCGCTCGAGGGACGCGAGCTCCTCGTCGGGTAAATTTAGGATGAACCGACTACCATACTGTCAGGTCTGAAGACCGTTTTCATCACAAATAATGACATACCTTGATAGTTCTTCCAGTACTTCTTCTTGTGTGAGGTGAGAATACTGTACGACATGCTGTGAGGGTCCCGATGCAGGTGGGGCGGAGGTGATTTCAGGTGACGATGAGGATGATGAGGCCATATCTAGCGGTTGAATGAGAGGAAAGTAACGGACGCCACCGCTGACAATATCAGTGGGAAGAGAGGTCGTATATAACGAATGCTGAGTGGTACCAGGATGGATGTCCTTGTCAAAGTCAATGCGAGGACGCCATGCTCGTCGAGGACAAATAGAGACAAACACAATGTATCACGGGACTGGAGTGGCTCAACCCCCCCTACAGACGCCTACTTGCCTGTTGATTATTTCCTTCTCCCCTTTCCTCAGTAAACCTACGACCATGCCTTTTGCTGTCAGAACACACTTTGACGTAAATCCTTCACCGGCTGCCGCGAAAGCCACCATGGAAGGAGCACAATACAACAACATGGGACGCCAACTCAGCGAGGCGGGTGATCTCTCAGGGGCCGAGCAAATGCATCTTCGTGCTATAAAGGTGAAGGAGCGCAGCCTGGGTACTGAGCACATCAAGACCGCGCTGTCCTACAATGCCATCGGCGAACTGTACACGAAGATGGGCCGCCTTGACGACGCCAAAGAGTTTTTGCAAAAGTCTGTCCGCATCCGCGATGCCAGTCGCAACCCCGTAGACGAGCTTGATGCCGCTGGGTCTCGCGAGAACTTGGCGATCGTCTACGAGATGCAAGGCAACTTGCATAGGGCGAAGGAGTTGAGGAGAGTTGGGTTCCCGGACAAGATGCTGTGCGCCCATTACTACGTAAGCCTCATGCCTCCTAAACCATCCCATCAAGACCCCTAATGCGTTCGACGTCAGTGTCCTCACTTAACTCAGCACAGGAAGAATTTAATGCAATGCCGTGGATGCAAGGTGAGCCGCTAACATCGAAGATTATATACGGTGCACTAAACTGTATCTATCCATAGTCTATCTATTATTGCGGGAAATCTTGTCAGGTACGTACGTCGCTCTGCCGTAAGTGTCTAGAGTTACTGACGCCGCTGCTTATCATATAGACGGCTGATTGGAGGCGCCACAAGAAATACTGCAAGAAAGAGCAGGCAGATGTGTAAAAAAACGATTCGAATATCGCTTTGTAGTCGCTGTCTTGTTGTATTGTATCGATAATTGTATCATATTGCCTGCCGTCGTTGTATTGTATCGAAATGTATCATATTTTCTGCCGTCTTGACGAGTGTAGTCCTTTCCTGCAATGTGTGGGCCGATTGTGTGATTGACTGGCAGACTTCGCCACCTGCGCATCGCTTTAATTACGTCACTCGGGCGCGTCCACATTGAACGCGTCGCGTCGCGCCTCGCGTGACCGCAGCGCGTCTTTTGATGTGGCTGATGGTACGGACGATCCCGCAATCTTGCGACTACACGCTCACCCGCGCATCTCCTTCCTGTTGAAGAAACGGAGACCATGGCTGCGAGGACATCTAGCAATCACTCTGGAGAGTCCCTTCCCCCGCCTCCGGTACATCCTTCACTCCGCAATGCGCCTTCCTCTCCAGCTGCGGCGCACGGCGTGCACCGGGTCCCACCCCCGCTTCCTAATGTAATGCGTCCTCGTAGACAGCAGGTATCCGAGGCGACTGTGGTACTAGACGAAGAGAAGTCTACTCCAGGCTCCTTCGGCACTGACGAATCTCCCGGCACTTCGCAGGACGCGGAAGAAGAATTGTCAGAAGTGCAGTTGCGAGAGCTTTACGACGAAGAAGAGATAAATCGTTTCTTGCAGATGTTCTCCGCCGTAAGCAGTGTGCATTCAAGCTCTTACGGTGTAGCTTAATGGCTCGCTATTACAGTATGTGAGAGAAGCTCGGGTCGCCGATGTTGCAGACAAGCCACCGTCGTATAGCGCGCCCGAAGAACTGGCATCTTCCGCTGACAAGATGTCTGTCGGAGAAGCTGAGGAAACAGGAGACTGGGTCTCTCTCGACCAGGCGACGCCGACGTCGTCTGTTACCCCGCCGCCATTACCTCCTCGCTGCAAACCCGACCGATGCCTCTCGGAGCGGATCGCGCAGGTACGCTTCCCTCGTTAAAATATATGTACCTGTAGATGTTGAATGCATCAATGGACAGGACTATGTACTACCTCTTCTTCCACCGGCGCGTCCTGAACCCCCTTCCTTCACTCTGCACCGTCTTCGAGTTTCTGTGCAGAGAATCTACCTGGCGACTATACCCTTCTACGGACATCTCCTCTCCCGTCTCATTCAGTTGGCTACTTGGAAAGAAAAGAACATTAGTCTTGTATACTGTGCTGTCAGTCAGCCTGATCGCTCATCATTTCCTCATGAGAGCGCGGTGAGTACATAAGCTGATTTTTGCTCATCAGGCCTATTGGATATTGTGGTACAGCAATCTCCTTTTGCCTGCTCTAGTTCTGCGGATACTCTTCGCACTCATACGGCGGAAGCTCCTTCCTTATCCCAATCTTGAGGAGCTCCGGCGACATCGTCGCCAAGTTGATGATGCCGAGGAGTTCAGCGCTAATCTAATCTCCCGTTTTGTACAATCGCCTCCTCATGATGCACAAGATGTATACAAAATATTCCGTGACTTCTATAGATCCAGGAAGATGAAGAAAGCTTCCAGTCTCGACGCTCAACGCAAGGCGATGGAGAGCCTTGATCAGGATGCCGTAGCGATCGAGGCTGACGTGGACGAAGAGGATACGCTTCATCAAAGCGATCCTGCCTCGTCACATGAGTCTGATGTCAAGCGTTCCGTGTTGGCAGCGTTGAACGAAGTCGCCGACATGCATGAAAGAACCAAGAAGTAGGCAGTCTTGTCTTGTCAATATGCTGTATGCAAATCAATTTAATCGTTCTAGTATATTTCTATGGCGGCGGCCAGCTCTGTCTGTGATGTATGGGATGGTAAGGATAATGACGCTTTACTTTGCCTAGCTGACTCTTTTGGCAGGCAATCTTTGCTCTATTAATCGTCAGCTTGCTCCCTGCATGGCTTCTGGTGAAATTATCAGGATTTGTAGTTGGGGTCGTGTTTTGGCACGTCATGCCAATTGTAACAGCTATCCCTCCTGAGGAGCGTGCTCGGTCAGTGATGCAATTCCTCGTGTCGTCAATCAACTTTGACAACTCTACGTCGGTACAGTTTCCCAAAGCCGTTTGAAGATGTGCCTACAGACGCCGAATATGCTATGGAATTGATCTCCCAGCGTGTCGCTCGAGGACTGGAGATCAAGCCGAAAAAGTCTCGTCCTAAAGCCACTCCCAAGCAGACGCTGGACTCAGGCTCTGCCTCCCCCGATGCCGATGGCATTGAACTCTCAACACAGTCAGTCGGATCGAGCAGCTCGAGCACTTCTGTGGATTGGAAAAAATGGGGCGATCGGGTTGCGACCACGAAGGCCACCACGGATGAAGTCAAGAACATGTTTAAGAATGGCCAGGTACGTGTCAATTTAGTTCATGGCGAAGATGCGTCGCTTATGTGTTTGGTGCTCTTTGCACAGTGGAAGCGACCGGAGAGTTGGCTCTCGTTGAATCCGTTGTCTCCCAAGATAGCGCTCCCTTCCGGATCCGCGGAACCACGAGTGCAGACATATAGTTCGTTTCTCGAAGTGCAATTAATTTCGCGTCTGATTTCGCCTATAGCCTTCCCGGCGCAGCACGCAAAGGCTTCTGGACTGATTACGCTGACATCCGATACGCTTCATTTCACGTCACTGGTGTCTTCTACAGCGAAGCTCTCGATACCTTTGGCCAGCATGCTCGGCGTGAAGAAGGCTGGCGCCTTGCGCGGGCTAAACGTTCGATGGGCGCACACGAGCGAAGATGGATTGGTGGAAGAACGCGAAGAGAAGTTCATGTGGGTTGGGGCCCGGAATGAACTGTTCGCGCGCTTGGTTGCGTGGGGAGGACGTCGTTGGGCAAATGTCTGACGCTGAGAACAATTATATGCGTGTCTTAGGCGAAGAGTTATATACGTCAAGATTACGAACGCTGCTGTCGACGTTCGTTGTGCTTCCGCAGATCCTTGCACGAATAGATCTTTCTAAATTAGGCAGGTCCTGTCAATCGACTTTCCGTGAACTCGCGTTCGCCATTCCCTTCACATTCTCCCTCCTTGCACCTACAGTCAGCATTCGACAAGTCTGTACTCTCCACCACAAGCTTGCGAACCCGTGGCATAGAGATCGACGCTCGTGAGCACGTAATGGGCCGCGACAACGGGTCATAAACAGACGGCTTAACCGATTCGTACACCAGATAATGTTCTTCACGCAGGAGCTGTTGGAGAAGCGCGAGAGCGGCTTCGGTCTACTATGGTACGTCTTTCGCATGTTGCAACGCCCATTTTTATCAAAATATGTTGTAATGAAGGCTGGCTGCAACTCTCGGCGCAAAGTCGTCATTTAAAAAGCTCCCCCGACGCTCCGTACTAACTGCCGATATTTCGCAACTGTGCGATCTCATCGCGGAACCGGTGGAGCCACTTGCTTTGAGGCTGTCGAGCAATTTGATGATCGGCGTCGCTAGGTATGCATGGTCTCTATATGCGCATACAAGCTCTGAATTCAGTGCGCTTTAAGGGTTTACAAAGGTGCATTGCCTGTTATGACCATATAGAACATGTCTAATGCACTACACTGCGGCATCGTCAGTGAAGCAAGAAATGTTCTTGACAGACGTCACAACATGCTACAACTCGCTGAAGAAAGCTGTTCAAGAACTCAACACGCTTTCCAAAGGTTTTGCCGAGCTACAGATGGGCCAGCCAAGTATGCGGTGAGGATCGCTCATTGCTCCGGTCACGGGCGTCGCTAAGTCGTCATTAGACCGGATGCCTTGACTCTCACTGCTGACCCCGGCGTGGCTTTCGTCATGGATTTCGGAGATATGTTCAAGGTTCGTGGTCTGGGGAGAATCTGCGCATACACTTGGACATACTGACGCATGACATCATAGGAATGGGACGAGAACGCCAAAGGTAGTCAGTTTTGCCTTGAACGACATCCATGGGAACATTTATCTTCTCGTATCGAAACTCAGATAAACGTGCCGCCGATGAAGAAGTATCCGATGATGAATATGACCCAAGCGGCAAGAAAAGCAAGCAGAAGAACAAAGCCAAGCAGAGACCTCCTTCGTCGCTTGTGGAGGTTCCGAGAGCGAATTTGCATACGCTCAATGAAAATCACGAGCACCTGCTTTCCGGCTCTATTGACGGTTCTCTTAGCGTTGCTGGCTTTGGGGCAGTTGGACCATCATCTTCGCAGATGGGCGGCGGCTTCGGCTTCAACGACGATCTGTTCGTACTGCCTGAAGGCATGGACCTTGGTGCAGAGATTGGCGACGAGTTAGCTAGAGAGCTGGGAGAGGGCTGGGGTGGATCTCCACAGAGACTGCAGAATAGGTAAGAACACGCGACGCAGCACATTCTGCAACGCTAAATTTGAATTTATCCAAAGCAATAAAGCAGGCACCGATCTTTTCGCGCTCGATCAGCACGAAAATGCTCTTGGACTGGATTTCCAGTTCAATGAAATGCAGCCAGCTGGAATTGCAAACGTGCGCATTTCACAAGAGGTATATCGTATCTATCTGTAGCGGTTCGCTCTATCGTGCTTACGACAATGTTGGAATTGCTTTGAAAACTGCCAGCCTGACTTCGGTGCAGACGGACGTATGTCATTGTGACCTCTCGTTCATTGTTGTCCCCGTGTTCACCAGTTTCACTAGACGCTTTTCCGCCGGAAGGCTCGATCATTGTGCCATTGATACCTTTCAGTCCTGACCGCAACGGAGATGGCGTCATCAACGGAGCTCCCAACAAACCCACCCTGAGAAAGGCGAAGCGCGTCAGGCTTCTCCTCGATGCGAGGACTGAATTGACCGATGAGGAGCTGAAGGTGGGAAATCTGCGAGGATTGCACATCTTATATTTAAGTATCACATTTTAGGCTGCAAGAGCGAACTATATGGAAGGTCAGGATCATATCCGGCGCGAAATAATTCAAAGGAAGCATGAGAAAGAAAGCGGGAGGCTGATTGAAGAGATGATATGGGGTGTTCCCAACGGCCGTAAGTGATGAACGCCTCCACTGCCAGACTCTATCCACTGACAGTCTGGCAAGTTCGTGCACCTGTACTTGTCGATTTCTGGCTGGAAAGTTTTAGACTGCAGGTAGAGGCTCGTGCCGGCGTCTTGCACTTGGAGTCTGAAGGTGTGCCTTATGAAGCCAAAAGACAGTGGTGATGGTTTGACTCAGGATCGTCCGATAGGGGAGCCACCGAGGAAGCGTAGAAAGATAGGTGAAGAGACATTCCAGGACGAGCAATATGCGGGCACCGGTGGCCCTGAGGCAAAGAAGTTCGGGGAACAGGGCATGGACATAGACATGGGTTTCATGTTCGGCGGACACGATCATCAAAGCTTCGGTGAGAACCAGCTTCGACGTATCTATGTAAACGCTGTTCACTAACAGCGTTGTGCATGACAGAACCTCAAGGAGGGAACAATTGGGAGCTAGATTCGAGACACCGTTCTTCTGAAGTAAGCACTTCGAATACCGCCTTGTTCTGTGCTATAATTCATCTTTGTATCAGGAGCCTGGTCAAGCGCGTCACGCATCCAGACCGTTGTCGGGTTTCGGCAGCCAGTTTGACCTACCTGGCGTCGGCCAAGATCTGTTTTCTGGTTCGCAGCGTAGCGCGCTCTTCCCATGGGACAATGCGGGTGCAAGCTCTTCCGTAAACGGCGCGACTCTTGACTTTCGCAGAGATAGCAGTGCTAAGCGTAGCTTTGGTCGTGCTGACACCAGATTAAGAGGAAGCTCGCTGAGTAGCAGACACGAGAGCCCTCTGCATTCCGGTCGATACTACCCAGATTCGCCTGCTGATTTTGGACTCAGAAATTCGCAAAGCGGAGAAGGTTTCCAATTTGACGGTATGATGCTCAGTCTCGGTGGCGTTGGTGGAACTCACGTTGCTGGACACAGTTCCTGGGGATCTGTCAGTGTTGAACGAATCCGAGCTGTCGGACGCCAACCTACCGACTCTTGAGCGCAATTCTTTCAACTTTCTCGAGTGCGTTCGCTATGATGCAACAATTCCTGTCTTGCAATATTGAACCAACGTTGTCTCAACAGATATGCTAAGATGCAGCTGAAAACGTTCCCTTCTTCGACTTCGACCCTGACTTTTAATGACGTGGTGCCAAAGGCGACGAGTACACCGCATGTTGCTGCTGCCGCCTTTTACCATTGCTTGGGTGCGTGTTGTCCCGCTGTATATCTCCTCATCTCACAATCATGTGCACTCCGTGGCTATCGGCCGCGACTTGCGTACCCTTATCCAGTGCTTGCGACGAAAGATCTCGTCAATGTTGCTCAAGACGAACCGTATGGACAATTGCACATCACTGTAAAATAGAGATTGGTCTTGTTCTCTCCTGAGGCGCCCGGTCTTGTTCTCCAATCCGATTCGCTTCTTTTGACCTAACATCGGTCTTTGCTGCTCCGCCATTCGTCCGATTCGTGCTTCCAATTTGATCGTGACCCGTAGCTTCATGTAACATATCATCTTCACAAGACCATGCTGAATGCTGCATCCGCTCTGTTTATCGCGTGAGAGGCCAACGTCAAAAGGGCAATGCCGTGTGAAGATGGTATTGAACGACGTCTGAGCGATCGGACTACCTGACAATGGCCACTACCATGCAGTCTCAGATTCTGGCGTCTTACCGGCGGTGCCAATTTTTGAATCGCACCACACTCATCTTAATTCTTCTCGTCGCTATATGAGGGGCAGCTTCGGCTCTCATCTGTTCCGTACCGTCGTCCAATCCACTCGCACCATGTCCTCGCCCGCTGTCGCTGCGTCTCGCGCTGTCCTCTCGACGATTGACTTGTCCAAATATGACCCAGAGCAGTCAAGGTTAATGGACGAGAGGTGCATCCTGGTGGATGAGCAGGACCGTCCTCTTGGTGCTGCAGACAAGAAGACTTGTGCGTGTTTCTCCCTGTTCAAGTAGTGGCATGCCTAGACATGCGGTTGCAGGTCATCTTATGGAGAACATCAACAAGGGTCTCCTCCATCGTGCCTTCTCTGCTTTCGTGTTCCGGCCAGACGACGGGAAGCTTCTCCTGCAGCAGCGGGCCAGCGAGAAGATCACGTTTCCTGACATGTGGACGAACACCTGCTGCTCTCATCCACTGGATGACTTTGAGGAGGAGAAGATTGAGAAGGATCAGCTGGGAGTGAAGGTTGCCGCGTCACGGAAATTGGAACATGAGCTGGGCATCCCTCAGGACCAAACTCCGATCGACCAGTTCCAGTACCTGATCCGCATACACTATCTGGCGCCGTCGAATGGTACATGGGGCGAGCACGAGGGTGAGTACATACCTTGCATATAAGCACTGCAACGGTCGTTGAGCGTAGAAATACCAGTGGACTATATTCTCTTCTTGACCGCCAATGTCACCGTGAAGCCTAACTTGAACGAGATTCGTGACCACAAGTACGTCAACAAGGCAGAACTGCAGGCAATGTTTGAGGATCCAGGTAAAGACCATTCGCTATATCGAACGGGACAAATCTCATGCATCTGGACAGCAAACTCGTTCACGCCATGGTTCAAACTCATTGCCCGAGATTTTCTCTTCGGATGGTGGGATGAATTGTTGAACCGGCGGGGTGAGGATGGCAAGTTGAACGCAACAAGTCTGGCTGGGCGCGTAGACGGCAGCAAGGTGGTCAAGATGGTTTGAATTATTAGTACCGGAATGTACTCGGAATGGTATCTATTGGATCCTATACTCATGTTCGATGTAGGTACAATCGCTCCTGACATAACGAATGTGCTACTACTTGTTTCTTGATCTACTGTTGCACTAATCGAAGGATTTCTGCAGTATAGCTAGGATAAAATAACCATAGAGGGGACTCGCGATTCTGTTTGATACTTTTGGTCGATAGGCTGGTACTGCGAAGCAAAGATTGATTTCAAGTCAGGAAGGGGGGCCGACGGTGGGAAGGCGGCAGGTGCTGGAATTACCCACTCATTATCCTGTGGCAGCAATTAATACGATGTGCAAGGCAATGGCGAGCATCGACCAGAAGATGAGTGCTTGAGGAAGGCTGTAAGTTACAGCAGTTAAGACGAAGCCGCAGCTGTGGCTCTCAATTGCACTCAAATGTTCAGCCTGCAAACCCAGTTAGGTGGTTTAGTGGGACAGAATTCAGACAATACGGACTACAGCGTCAGCCGCCATGTCCTCAGCAGCGGCATGAAAGTACAGCAAACCAACACTGGTTGCCAGGGCACCGAGGGATGTGCCGTTCGAAAGAAGGGCGAGGATTTGAGATATGGTTCCGGCGGCCAAGCCTCTCAGGCAGACCGATGCTCTGTTGAGGCTGATAAGCAAGTGGTTCCTGTATCATGACAAAGACGATGCACGAACAGAAGCAGAGTGGCGGACTGGTTTCATTTGATGTATCAGCAATGTGGAGTGCAGTACTAGTAGGCTGAGGCTGTTCTCACCACCGCACTCGAAAATAGCCAATTCTTCTTCAAGGAAGACATGAACTTGTGCCAGTGCATATGATACACCACTCCGTCGATATATTGAAGCTCTAGCTCCTTCGATAGCCTGTGCGGCGTTCCAAATAGAAGCACGGAGCACAGCCTGATCAACCTCCCATTGTGAGCGAACGGGACGAAGCGCTGCTGGAATCGACAAAGGCGCGCGTGCGCTTCCCCGTGAAATTGAGTAAACCTGTGTCGAACTGCGAAAAGTTTAGGATGCAGGCGCTGCTGAGCGGCAGCAGAGAACGCACATATGGAACTCCAAATACGTGCTATGAAGCCCAGTCAATAATGACACGCGTACGATGAAACACTGAATCAAAATACCAATGGTGCATATCATATACACATTGTCTGCAGCTGATTGAAACAAGATGAGAATTCAGCAGGACACCTGAACATGTGGAAAACATACTCTTTGCCTCGAGAAGGTGGAGGAACTTGGTACATTGTTCAGCATCATAGGGAAACGTGGAACTGTCGGAGGTCATTTGATCTATAGATTACTATTGTTATCGTACGTTGCTCCAGGTTCGTCGGGGTAAACTTGCCTGCAGTAGCATGGTACAGAATCTCTGCAAGTTCCTGACAGAGCCGTGGTCCCACGGCGCGGTGCGGGAAATACTCGACGTGGGTCCAGTAATGTTCAGATAGGACGTGTTCTGTCATTAGTCAGGATTAATTCTTCCGAGTGGTTCGCGTAACGTACTCAGATGTTCGATAGAAGTTGCATCGGGTAAATTCAAGCTCTCAGATTGGACTTCTTGAAGCCAGAATTCTGTTTGAGTATCGTGATCGACGAGATAATAACGACAACCTTGCCTGCCCTCCTCAACGTGCAGGTAGAGCTCACAGGTCGCCGGCAAGGTGAATCCGCAATTCCCAGCTAGGATACGAACGTTTTCAATGGACGCAAACAGCTGCTGGAAGATCTCTGGTTTGACGATTGATGCATCGGTGACGATTGGGACAAACTCGGACGAATTGACATAGTAACGTGCACCTTCCGGATGAATATGCTGTGTCCAACCTTGCGGAATATTAGGATGCCTTTAGGAAAGATTATTAATCGGAAGCCCATCATTGAGAACGTGAGTAATGCATACTCTTTCGGCAATGCTGTCGAGTGGACCCCAGCGGGCACCGTCACAGAACCCGGCTGCAATCTAATAAATTGGTCAGTATTTGCCGTTGCTGAGATGAAGATTCTTACACTTCATTGTTGTCATATCTTTCGTTCTGTATCGCAGTGATGGGCTGTATCGACCCCTCCTCGCAGTAAGCGGGCGGAAGCCGCTCTGGAGATCCCATATCTCCAGAAGACATGTCACTGAACTCGGAAAGGGCGGAGGCGGATACGTATCTCTCTGTAGAGAAGTGCATAGTGGGTATATGAGAAAAAAGTGCTTTTGATGGGTGAGAGGGCTTCGCGCGCAAGTACGATCCCTCTGCAGTCGCTTGCTTTATATACGTGCGGAGCATGCTAGGACAGGTGGATTACATGCAGTATATCAAACTCCACGATATGGACACCCGCGCCAGCTCCGCGCTTTGTAGCTATGGCGGCGATCGCTGTTCTACTGTTCTACTTCTGGATGAGTGTCATGGCATGAATGATGCTCACATCGCATTCTACAACATGCTGCGTTCATTTTAAGTCAAGTACTTGCCAGTATTAAACAGGCGATGCATGATGTCGATGAACAGGTGGGTCGTGACACGCAGTGGCACACCGCAGACCATTGCAACCGCTCATTTAACGCTACTAAATTGTAATATACAATGTACCTTTCTGGGTTATGAAGCATATTTATTAGGGCGTACCGTTGCAAAAGGTCGTACCATTTGCAATTTGCAATACTGTAGGAACTAGGAAGAAACGCTTTCATGCTGTGGTGTCAATACAGTTCAACTTGCACGTGTGACTTTGAGTTCCGACTATCTTGTGGCTTCCTCGCATTGCTGTATCATGACCTGTCATGAGGTCGCCAGCCTTCCGAATCGCCCGGGGTTCTCTTGGGAACGTTGCACTCTTTGTTTGAGAACTGCATTGTCGAAACCTGTGCGAATGCATTCGGCATCCGAGTTAAGTCCACATTGTTCTTGTTAAATGTGCGCTTGACCTCAACGAAGCTATAGGCGGTGTCTCATAGGCACTGGTGTGTGGTTCGGCACAGCCCACAGTTGCATCATGGCTAGTTGAGTACGTCCGCAGGTCCGCTCGTTCGCCGCCTATCGAGGGCATTTAAAACCTACGCAGCGCGATAAGGCAAACTCACCAAGCCCCGCTACTACCACGAAGTCATCTCCGCTCGGTCTACTCAAACAAAATGTTGACTACCACTGACCAGATTCCGCTGAGTTCTTCGTGAGCTTTTATACCACCCTCCTCAGGCAAGAACTCACAAATTAGACCTGGCAGAGAGCTCACCGCTGCGCCGGGCGAGGACGCTGCAACTGATATCGTCAAAGAAACCTACAAGCCGGACACCCCGAGGACGGAGTATGTGTATTCCACGCCAGTTCCCAGGCACGTCCTCACCAGCTTTGATTATGCATAGCGCCACCGCTTTTGACGATGCCGATGATTTCGCGTACGCCGAATTGACTCTTGATCGTACCCCCTCATAGTGATAGCTGATTCAATGCCTTGCAGTGATCCCAATTTGCTGAGCTTCCGTCCCCGAGGGAAGTCGACCGCTCCGGTAGCGACTGTCTCTAAGCCGAAGCCGAAGCCGGATACAACCACAAAGCCCCGGTGATTTCCAGCTAGCACTTCAGAAATGCCTCATTCCGTATTCCCTATGTAGTATTCTTGTATATATAAAAGATCGGACGGGCGTGGAGAGTCAAAATCTGTCTCGTTCAGCTGATCTACATCGTGTGCTGTATTGTTCTCCTCTGGACCATGTTCGTGGGGACAGAGCCAACATTTACACAGATGATTCATATGCAATCTTTTCAAAATTCAGAATGATGCTGTTGCATTTACAAAGCTTCATTTCAAGAAGACAACAGTGATGAATTGGCCCAGCAAGTGATCTACCTACTGTATACGTCAACACTCATCAAGGGGTTTCTAAGATAGCTCCTTCCCACCGGACCATCACATGAATAATTCAGTTGTACCTCATTCCGCTCCAGAGTAGCCTATATCTTCCCACAATTGTATGCAGACAGTGCTGGGAACTGCTTAAGGCACGGTGGAAGACTTTTCTGCGGATGACAGATAAATAATTAAGTGACAGAATCAAGTGACTCACCGATAACGAGTGACTGAATGGGAGTTTTCCGAGCACCTTGGGCAGAAGCTTGTTCGAGGACAACGTTCCCGATCTTTGCGAGACAAAGAGTCATCTCACACGTACTCAGTGAGAACATGCACGCAGCTCCTGAGTTCACATGGCATTTGATTGATTAGTATAAAATGTCGCGATTCATGGGTTAACGCCCTCCTGCGATGATTGTTGGACTCCCACCACCTCGGGTGAGGAAGAAAAAACGGCGGGGCGCACACCTGTGCACACACCGCGCGCCGTGCCCTATATACGTACGTCGCCCCCTCTCTAGCCTCGGGCGGCCGAGCTCCTTCCCGCCCATCCACCGCTATGCTCGCCGCTATGCCGCCAGATTGCGACACAAGACTAGACGCGGAAAGGCACTGCTTTGCCTTGGGTTGGCATAGTCACCCACGCTGTATTAGCATGGCTATCCGGGCATGTCCACAGGTCTGGACATATTCATCGCCTCAGAAAGACATATAAGGACACCGACGCGGTGCGATGAAGCCCACAAACTCCCCAGCTGTAAGCGAGTCATCCACACTCACTGAAGCGGCATAACTTCCGAATGACTTCTCCTGACCAAACATCGCAGGACTCGCAGTGAGTTCTTGCGCCCTCTTCTCCTGCCAACAACACACTGAACATATTCTTAGAGGAGAGCTCACAGCTACTGAGCCAAGCGAGACTCTGTCCAGAGAGCCTGCGGCTGAGGTCGAAGCAGTGGCGGAGGCACGTGAGGCCTCTGATGATGGTGAACTTCCGCTCGCGCTCCGACGCGTATGCACCGTTACTATCCGCCGGCGACGACGGGCCCCGCTCCCTCCTGGCGGGCTCAGAATCCCCCTCAGGGAAAACTGACCCCTTCGGTGCATGCTATTTCCAAGCCCAACCCCAAACCGACTACGAACACAAATACGAAACCGATATCGGAGCTCTGATGGACTTCGGATAGAAACCTGCGTTATGGGTCGTTCCATTGTCACATCTGACCGCATGTCTTCTTTTGTTAGTCTACCTCCGATATTACCCAGTTTGGTCCATCATTCTCAACAAGCCGAATCATGATATCGTGCCTGCAGGCTACGTTCACTTCGCATCTGGCTGTATCAGCCCGACATAAGGGCATATTCAAGAAGCAGTTCATCATGCACGTTCTCCGTGATTGGGAGCGACTGGCTCAAGTCATATCCATGAGAGTATACAGCAGTGCCGTCAGTAAACCAGTATGTTCATCTCTTGTTCTCCTGTCATTTGGCATATCAGAACCTACAAAATCGTAGAAACCTCGCTACTTGAGCTTACAAGGATATACAATGCCCACGCTGCGTATCTTTACGTACGAGCGGCATCTGACGCGAAGTGATCCTTGAGTCTCGACGCTTCTTGATCACTGTTCATGCTTTCAGTAGCATAGATCAAATATAGCATACTGATGTGCGATGGTGTGTATATCCTAAACATCCGGATTCACGACTGGTGATGCGAGGGTCAAAGCTTGTTTCAACGGATGTCTCCGATCGGCAAGTTTCAGATGAAATGCATAGCTCTCAACGTACAGCCTTATTTGGAAGCCATCGAGCAATGCAGTCAGGAATGCCCATCTGGAAGCGGTTGCTTCCGAGTAAAGTCCATCGACCTCCGAGTTGTGCCTCGGAATATCCATGCCTCCCTCCGCGGCCCAAGTCCCAACGCCGTCCTCAGACCAAACGGTACGCTCCCGTCCAGCTTGAATCCAATCGAGCTAAACGACTGCAGCATACACGCTGTGAAGAGATCGATATCCGCCCGGCGTGCTGTATCACATATGCCCTCGTCACCAATGCAGGATACTCATACGGACGAAACGCGGCTCACATCCGAAACGCTCTTTCTTGATTTCGATGATGTGCACGCCGTCCTCGTCAGCCGAATAGGAGGAGATCCTTCGGGGAAACACCGCTCGCAAGCTCTGTGCAAGCTGGCTCGCGACGTCCGTAGGGGCGTCGAGGAGCGACAGCCGCATTTGTGAAGCATTGAACATGGTCGAAAATATCCTCACGTCATAATCCGTCGAGGACTCGACGAAAAGTAGCCGAGGGGGCTTTCTCTGTCAACCAAGGTATTGGTCGGGATTTTCCTGTGCGGAGACATGTAAATTTACCGAGTTAGTCCGTACGGTCGTCAAGTACGAATATCCCTAGTAATAATGAGTAAAGATATGGAGCAGGTGAGTTCATTTACCTGTCGCGCGAGCACTGCGTACATGCTGCAGATTATTCGTTGAGCTCTGTGCAGGCGATCAATGAGTGCGGCGCTCGGAAATGTGACCTCAATGTGATTAGTGCGGCCGCTCACAAGATGGCATCCGACCCTGCGCTTCTCCAAGGCTTCCCCAGGAAGCGCACGCGCCATTTGTTGCCACGGCTGTCCTCGTACGAGATACCGGGAGGCCACATGGGCAAGAGCACCTCTCGGAGCTCATCAAGGGTGGGCTGATATGCGATGTCGTCCATCCGTATTTCGTTCCCAGAATCAAAAGATACGAAAAGGTGATCTGATAAACCAGAATCATTCAGATGTATATACAGGCGCCTAAACTACAACGACGGACCGGGTCTGAATCTTGCCAGAGAGTTTGACCGTGCTCTGGTCAGTCCATTCACCCTTTGTTTAGATTCAGATGTGAATTGTCTGGCGAGAGCGACAACACCGCCGGATGACGGATTCCTATCGTGCTGCTGCTTCTTCGTGGATCTGCGCGGTTGAGCTGGGGTCGCAGACCGACTTGGGACAGAAGCAGCAGTAGGCGCCGCAGGTATCGAACGACTGAGCTTTCGCTTGGGTGGTGCGGGCGTAGGAAATTGGGCTTGAGAGTCATACGACGCAGCATAGCCGGGATAGACGGGCGCTGCCTTCGTTTGCTGGGACTGGGGCGGAAGATAAGGATGATATTGGGTATACTGTGCATAATATGTTGCTTGTGGCTGAGCATACTGTGTAGTCTGCGGATAGTACGCGTCGCTGCCAGTACTGTATGCTTGCATAGCCCGTGAAGTTCGTCCAGATGAGAGAGAGAAATGAAAAGGGCACAGAGGCAGAAGGGGATCGAACAAACGATGATCTCACTCCGACCTCGGAGAGGGACTTTAAATTGGGCGGCTGCTAAGAAGCACACAACGTGCCATGCTCGAGGAGAACGAGGCAGGTCATGTATGTAGGATCCGAGGGCTCACTTGGCATGCACGAGTTCCCATGAGCGGGGATTTTATGATGCAGGCAGCAGCGGGCAGGAGGACCACACTGCGAAGGCGTGTCGTTGATTGAACTTCTGGAACTACATGAACTGAGATCGCGGTTAAAAGTTAACGATAGATCGTTTGACTATGTGGACGCGCATAAATATCATCTGACGATTGGTGTACCATTCTCACGCGACTAAAGCGTCGCACACAAATTGGCCACCCCGCGCTGGCCGTGGGCAACCTTCGCTTTCTCCATCCGTTTCTCACCTCTGACCACCCATGGCCTCGACATTCTATGCATGGTTGCGGTCTCCGAAAGCGCGGGAGTACTTTTTCAGTATGTCTCGCCGAGTCACAGCCTGCTCAGTCGATCACTGACGCGTCGAGCGCAGGTACTCACTTCTGGGGCCCGGTTAGTGTAGTCGTTTTCCAGGAGGAGATTGCTGCTGAAGTAGCAAAGGATAGGTTGCGAACTGGGGTCTGCCCCTCGCGGCCATAGCGGATCTGAGGAAAGATGAAGAAGTCATCTCGGGGGCTATGACTTCGGCACTGGCGTCCTATTCGTAAGTACAGCTCGCAATGGGACAAGTCGATCCTGCTCATCGTCTCCTCAGTTTGGTCTTCATGCGCTTCGGTGGGTAGCAACTGCTGCACGACGTGAGACGGGACGTTGACACCCGCACAGCCTGGCGTGTAGAACCAAGAAACTACCTGCTTTTCGCGTGTCATGCGACGAACGCGACAGCACAAACAGTACAAGGCATCCGCTTCATCAACTACTGGTACATGGGTGGACGCGAACGTGCGTTGGCGGCGAAGAGTGCGACACCTGCGAAGTGATGCACTCCGCACTGCAATCAACGTACTTTACACCTCACGACTTCTCTTTGGGTCATATGTATCGAAAATTGTTACCTAATGCTATCCAGCCGTATAATCAATATGAGCTGATCTTGTCTACCAGAAACCGTCGTCCGCGTCGCCCCCACCCTTCTTGCCACCCTTACTCGGGGCGAGTGCTTGTCGTTCGTACATCTCGGCGATCTGTCGGCCACATCAGCATGACAAAGCTCAGGTATGTAGCGGAGGGTGACCGACCTGATCAGGTCCTGTCGCGTCATTTGCATTCTTGTCATCCCTGACTCGGATGAATCGAGGGAAACGCAGAGAGATGCCACGCTCGTCAACCTGCAAGGGCTTCGAATTCAGGCAACAACACTAGTGGCCAGTCACGCAGTCTACATACCAGTCCCTGCGCCGCAGTATAGATGGGACTTAGACTCAGGTCCGCCGTGAGCACCTCCCAAACAATCTTGGGCTCGAACCACACGTCCGGCTTCGCCCCTCCGACCTTGATATCTCCGCGCGGCTTAGTCATCTCCAGCGGCTGAAGGATATTATAATGTGCCTGGAGCACCTCCTCGCTGAAACCAGTGCCGATCTTACAAATCGTCTGGTATTCTTCGGCGTCCGCATCGTAACACGCAAGGAGAAACGCGCCGTACACGCTCGTGCGCTTGCCCTTGCCATAGTAGCCGCCGACGACGACGAGGTCGAGCGAATCTCCCAAGCCTGCTAGGTAGTCCTTCTTAAGCTATTTGCAGTATGCGGCATCAGATCAGCACAACGAAGTGGCACTGTCCAGTCATCGGACATACCTTGAGCCAATTAACACTCCTATGGCTGGGCTCATAATGACTGTGTTCGCCATCCAGCATCTTGACCATAAGACCCTCGCAGCCGTCCTTCACGCTCACTTCCAGGAACTGTTGTATCTCTTCTGTAGTCTCGCAGTCTGACCCTTTAGCAAAGCAGAACTCTCCAGGTACTTCTTGGAAATGCTCCTTGAGTAGTTCCCTTCGCTCAATGAATGGCCTCTTCAACAAAGGCTGATTTGCACGTTGCGCGGGAGTGAGTACAGGGTAATAGGATGAAATAGGCTACGACGAACCTCGCCATTGAGATAGATGAGGTCAAATGCAAACAGGCACACTCGGACTTTGATGTCTTCGACCTTGACATCCTTGCGCTTTCGTTTGCTCAACTCCTGAAACGGCATCAGTCTGCCCGTCTCCTTGTCAATGGCAACGGCCTCAGCGTCGAAAACAAATGACTTTGTGTTATCCTTGATGCACTGTAGTAGCTTTCATCAACACGAGAGTCGGCAGCTCAATCGGGCTGATTCATACCTGTGGAAGCTGGTCTGCAAGATCAGGATACTTCTTGCTCATATCCTCGGAATTCCTGCTGAATATGTTGATCGTCCCATCCTCCAGTCTGTGCACCTATCAATAGCTCGGATGAATCGCGATTACAACTAGTGCCAAATGACAATTGCTCACCTGAGCACGCTCGCCATCGTATTTGTACTCGCAGGTGAAGTGGTGACCTTCAAACGTATCCAACACTTTGCCTATGCCGTTGGTGGGCTTGGCAAGCATCGGTTTGAGTGGGATACCTGGCGTGAGCTTGCACACTTCATGCAGCTTGTCGATGCCGACTTCAAGCAGAGAAGGTACCAGGCGATCGTATGTCGGTAGCTCACTGTTATAAAACTTCAACGTCGGAGAGCCGGATACTGGGAATGACTACTACCTGTATACTGTCTTGATGATGCCCGCAGCCTCTTCAAGTCGAGCACTGAGCTTGTCCTGCTTCAGCCGCTTGTCCGCTGTATAGTCATGAGTATGGATGATGTACATCAATGAAAACACCCACCGCGCTCCTGCTCAGCGAGCACGAACGAATGAGCGAGCGCCACCAGGACTGTGCGCTCCGCGTTTCCAATCCGCAGCTTGCCTTCCAAACTACGAATGATGTACTTTGCTTCGGATCCCTGGCATGCGGCGAGCAGCTTGGTGATGATGGAGACCTTCTTTTCTTGGGACTGAAGGTGAATGTACGTTAACGATCGTCCATAATTGTCTTTCGCAGACTGACTTTTTGACCAGAACTCAGTGCTATCTCCTTGAGGCTGGAGAATACGTTGGGGACGGTCAATGGCTTAGGTTTGAGGAGGGTCGTCTGGCTGTTCTTGGAAGCCTGCATGGACGTGCATGACAATTTAACTATTTGTTCAAGAGGAACGGCAATTCACGGACCATGGCCACGAGTCCGAGATCACCTTTTTTCTTCAGGTCGGCTTTGACAACCGCGAGACTCCTGCCGGTGGACTCGCTGATAGCCTTCACCAGCAGACTCTCGCCTATACCGAGTTCGATACCCTCGTAGTCCGGACTTAACTGAAAAGCGATGAGCAGGGAAACGAGTAGGACATCTACAGACGTACTCGGTTGATACAGAGGTACACGCTTTGCAGGAGGGACTTTGAGTCACCCTTAGCACTCCGCTGTATGACAAGGAGGAAGAACGCAGTCAAAAGCGCTGTCTTCTCCAGACGCTTCGTCGTCGCTTCGATGAGTGAGAATACCTTGACCAAAGCTAAATATGGTACTCTGAACATGCGATCCGCCGGTATGTCAGATCTTACCCCCCACCCCCAGATAGGCTCACGACGTACGGATCGCCGGCTTTCCAACCGCCCTTGATATCAACTTCCTCAGTTCTTGATAATGCTGCCTCGGCGCTGATACAAATTACATGCGTATGTCGCTGCGAATTAAGGGAAGCACTCACCTCTTGGACGCAGTACCTGCATCTTCTTCTTCATCCAAGACTTCTTCGTCCGCGGCTTCGGTGTCAGAAGAACTTTCTTCTACTTGCTTGGCACCGATATCATCTCGAACAGATGAAGCGACTTTCTTGGTTCGTGATTGCGGAAGTCTAGGCCGTTTCTTAAGGGGCCTTGTATCTGGTTCAGCTTCCTCCATCATATCGTCTGCATTTGTTGATGGCGAGGATATAGGTGGAGCAGACGAGGCTCGTTCAGAGTGTACTTCGCGTTTCAACTATTCAGGGTACAATTCGCGCGGTGCAGAAAGCATACTCACTTGATGTTGCATCATCATCGTCTGAGTCGATGATGCGACGTTTCTTCACTTTGACTTCCCGTTCTACATCAGGTATATTATGTCAAAACCAGCTGCCGGATCAGACCATGACAGGAAAGGATGCGTGCCATTTGGTAGGACTGATGACTTTCCTCGTCCTTGCACACCTTCTATCGTATGCCATTAACAGCGAACCACCCACGATAAGGATGAATCATGCCTGACAACTTCTTTGATTCATGAGCAGGGGATGCGTCTTTGTCCTCGGCAGGTGCATCTTTGCGTTTCGCCTTGCCCCATGTCTCCTCGAGTTTGGACTGTTGTGGCGGGGTGGCTTTGGTGCTTGCGGGCATCTTGAGGAATTTTCCTGTGCATTCCTTATGAAACACACGCGTCAGAAGAAGGAACGCTATCGTACTTAGCGTTTGCTGGCGGCCCATGCAAGCGTGAAAGGATGGGAGGAGCGGATGGAGATGCGGTAGCGCGTGCGCGACGCGACCTCGCACGATCGTGACCGTGAGGAACATTGGCTCGCCACACGGAACTGCAGCCCGATCTATGTGGTGGCACCGAACCGGCTCGGGTGCCCTCACGCGCCCGCACCTGCGAGTTCTCTTCCCAGCGCTTACTATATGCATGCTCAAGAATTTCGAAGAGGATTTCGGGGGAATGTTACTTCCGTCAGAGGTGACATTTGCTGCAGTGGCGTGACAGCATTCCACTTGATGCGCCGCTAAGTGTCTCATCGTGACGTACAGCATCTCTGCAGACGGGTGTGTTGATTGTGCATTTCAAAATTATGCGTCTACAGGCTGTGAGTTCCGTCCTCCCTTCCCCGGGTTGTGATCAATCCTCAGCGCTTAGCCCCAGTCTATTGATCATCGGCCCCCAAGTATATCACACACATCATGCTATAATCTGGGAATCGGCATCGACATGGGTAACAAACTCTGATGTGCTTCCTATGTCATCCATCAGGCCTGTAGTCGGGTCTACGCTTTGCAAGCATGTCTGCCGTTATTCGATGCACGCACAGTCAACGTTTCCATCCATGGGATGATGATATCTATCGCATGAACGACAGTGCTCGGAATGGAGAGCATTGTACTTGGTGCATCATGAAGCGATCACCGCCTCTCACGCGACTACATTTAGATTCAACGTCGACATCCGTGCGGAACACCGGGCATCTGTCAATGTATCCAGTGCTAAGCGTGCTTTCTGAACATAGAAGCCTTGCGTCGAGGTCTCTTGGGAACTCTTTCCGATGCTGTTGTTGATGACACACTCGATGTCGATGGATCTGTTCCTCTGCACAGCGCCCTATTGCCGAGTATATCCCAGAGCATGCCTGGGACCTGTCATCCGCCATCTCCCGTGCTCCCGCCCGTGGTAACCACGAGGAATCATACAATCCTCTACCATCATTGATACCCTGTACCGCTCTCTGCACTCTAATCTTGCTTCGCATGGTGCTACCTTCCCTGCACTCGCTCCCTTTCCTTAGGCTAATCGTGTCTGCTGGATATCGTATCGGTTACGGGCAATAGTCGAGCGGTATGCAGATTGAGCTGAAAATCATTGTCATCATCCTTCAGGTAAATCGTTCACTCTGCTGCATAAGAGCTCTGACGCATATTGCTCAGTCCGTTAGCATTGTCTTACTCTCGGTTTTGCTTGCCACGCCTGCTCGGAAACACCCAATCGTCAATACCATCATTGTCCTTGCCATTATACGAGCCATTGTGGATGTTTTGCCCCCTTTTCTGGCTGTCAGCAACTTGTACGACAGAGCATTAAGCCAGCATCCGATCACCCAACCAGCCTTAAGGCGATTCTGCATAGCAGATGCAATAATGTTCGTGAATTGCATAGATTGTCTGATGCCTTGCCCTGATGCATTTGCATAGTCTGAACTACTTGACACTTGCGAAGTCTGCGTTCGCAATAAGCTTCACAATTGTAAGTGAATTCCCCAACCTCTTTGACAATAGACTGAGCGGAGAGGTCAGCCATGCCTGTACTTGGCTTTGAAATTCACAGGAGCGCACGATCGTCTCGATGCCGACTCAAGCCCTCAATTCTATCGGCGTACAGTTCTCGTACTCTGTGTTGGTCCATTTGGTAGGAACGCTGCTCTGAAATCCGAATACGAACTCATGTCATTTAGTATGGGCTTCTCCCATAGTGTTTGCTATGATCCCTAAGCTTATTCACAATACGGGCGCACTCATTCCTGCATTACACGGAGTACGCATACACGACATTATCTTCATGGAAGGAGTGATGACATGAGGTCCTTTAGCCTACCTGCATCGTCAGCGACAGTGATGTTGAGATTCTGACTCTCATCCTCATGCTGATACCGCTCGCGATATCGGCCATCACCTCCGGCTTACTTGGAATTATACTCGTCAAGCACTACAAGCTTGCGGATTTCCGCCATAGCATGGAGCTTCTACATCCGATTCGCGTCGTCCGCTTTGCGTTGCTTATTTCCACGATTATCGTGTCAACGGTGTTATATTCTGTTGTGCTCTCAATGTGGGTACGAAACCGTGATGACAAGGAAAAATGGGGTCATTCCTTTGAGGCATGGTTGCTGACAAGTTCCACTTGGGAAGGTGAGCGATACCACCTTAAATGAGACAAGAAGCCTCACAGTATCGCAATAGCGATTTCTCCGTTAGTCTTCTTCTGCATCTTTGCTGCGCAGGAGGTGTATTCCATGTGGTATTCGTGGCTTTGTCGCCATCTGCCATGCTTTGGGGGCAGGCGCTCAAGCAACCAGGAGACCTCTTGTCTCAGAAAACCCAGACGATCTCACGCTTCTCGACGACCATCTCGCGCTTTCACATGGCTCCTCGAGCCCCGCGGCCACAACAGCAGAGCACATGACACCCGCGATACCTATGGTCAAGAGAACCTTACGTGCGACGGTATTCACAAAGGCGCCTGCGAACCAGCACCTCCGCCAGATCGTTTGCAGAGGCACATCGTCCATTATCCCCAGGTAGTTGGGAACAATTGCTTACAGCTGCAACAAGAAGGATTGTCCCCGGCGCCCCGCTCTCCGAGAAGCAGGAGTCAAACTCCTCAGAAATCACGAGTGTTTAGGACGATACCATCACTGTCTGCCTTGGGTAGTCGAGAGGCGGCAGGCCATGGGCCAAGATTGTCCCCTCCCTACCTGGACAGTCGCAGCTCGGAAGTGGACGACAGCGGATGCCACTCGCAGAGTAGCACTCACATAACCAGCGAGGGATCGCGATACGCGTCAGATGAGACGTCCCATATAGTCGACCAGACCGGGACATTTGGCCGATGCGGATAACCAGATTCGAGGCAGCTCTGACTCTATTAGTTCTACACGTACAAATATGAGGAATGAAATAGTATGTATCAATGCTCTAAAGTATCACAGGGACTTCGATACCATTTTTGATAATGACGGGTCCTCACCGCAACTTGTGTGTTCGTCTCGCAAGATGGCCTATCAATAGCGTAGCAGTGCGAACGGGGCAAAATGAAGGTCTGCGATAAGAGATAGTCTTCGCAAATACAGGTTCCTCTACCAGGAATGAAATTGCCGCCAAGCAGAAACATCAATGAGAAGTAATTCATGAAAAGACCATCGACAGAATCCGAGCTGTGGCCCAATCGCGCGAGAGAGCATAGAGTCTAATCGGCGATCACCGAGCTGTACAGTTCACCTCTTGTGGCTGATTCACAGTCCCCCACGTGCTACCAGACGCCAATCTGGTACTGCCGACCCAAAACATTTCGTATATACTGACTCCTCAAGGCCGACCCACCCGCCATGGCTGATCACCAAGTACGTGCATACGGGGCCACTTTCACAATCATGCCCTCACTGTGTGTTCCCGGACACTTTAGGTAGAGAGGGCGTACCAGAAGCAGTTTCTCTTCCAAAACGCGAAGGCCCGCGGTATGTCCATGAATGCGCGGTTTATATATTTCACGGGTTTGACTGTCATACTGCTATTGCATGTATAGGCGGGAAGAAGGTTTCTACGAAGGAAAAGCGGTGGTACAAGGATGTCGGTCTTGGGTTCAAGACACCTGCTGAGGCGATCAGTGGTACATACATCGGTACGTCCAGCCAGTCGACTGCACAGCAGCTCGCGAAACTAACGGTCTAGACCAGACAAGAAGTGCCCTTTTACTGGTGATGTCTCCATCCGCGGACGCATTCTAACTGGCCGAGTCGTCTCGACGAAGATGACCCGCACTATCGTTATCCGAAGGGATTACCTTCACTACATCCCGAAATACAGTATGTATTCTATGGCCAAGGCTTCGTAGTGCCTCTCACGAATCGTTCGAACCCTAGACCGGTACGAGAAACGCCACAAGAACATGGCAGTACATGTCTCGCCATGCTTCCGTGTCGAGCTCGGCGATATGGTAACCGTCGGTACGTGGAGCAGTTTTCATGATCTCTACCGCGCCTTTATCTCTCTTTAGGTCAGTGTCGACCACTTTCGAAGACCGTTCGTTTCAACGTGTTGCGAGTGTCGAAGAACAAGGCGGCTGCGAAGTCGTTCGGGAAGTTCTAGGCTGTGGGAGGAGCTGGTGGTTCTGGTGTATATGTTATGGTTACTATTGCTTCCTCATGTTATATGCATGCATCCAAAATGACCACTATGGACGATGCAACACTCGGAGGTGCATCTCGCATGATTTGGACGAGAGCGACGATGGCCGAGAACGAGGATTTACCATCGTGCTGTTCCATTCATGCGGCCGGCAGCGGTAGCAGTAGTGAACGAAGTTACCTGAAGTTACGCGTTGTAAACAATAATCAAACAAACACACCTAATTGTGATTGGGCGGTGCCTCACTCAGCCTCGGGCTGCACTAGCAAGCCCAGTTGGTCGACGCCTATCCTCATTGCAGCTCGTTTCCTCCTATCTCTCTCCGTTTGTAATATAGACGTCGTCCTCGCCGCTCCCGGCAACATTGACGACGAAACGATCGTCACACTTTTCATACCCGATCCCATTCTTACATCGTTCCGACAAATTAGTCCAAGCTGGCGCCTACACTCCTGTCTGTCTTCACTTCCAGACTTGCTAGGTCCCGGGCGCACTGTCCCCAGCCAGGCTCGCCATCGACTTCACCTCAGGCCCTCCCAATGGGCCAAACGCAATCCAAGAGCCGTCGCAAGGGTGGAAAGGACAAGGACAACGGCACCGCAGAACCTGCCACGCTCTCTGACGTCGTAAATGGCGACGATAGTCCACGGCAAAGCCACTCTTCTCGACCTACCACCGCAGACGCAGCCAGCGATTCCCAAACATGTATTTCTACGGACGGAAAGCCAGACATCAACGTCTCGAGACCCGATGGCTCCGTGTTGCAGAACGGACACAGCCCACGACCTACCGGTCATGATACCCTTTCACCTCCCCACCCGAACTCGTCCACGAAAGATGCTCATCTCCCATCACCGGCTACATCCACTTCGCCCTCCACCTCACCATCCTTGTCCGCCAAGCCGCCTCCGCTGGACATTCCCATGACTCAGACCATTCTTGCAAACTCGTCACCGTATCCAACCCCAGGATCCACCAATAGTTTTAGCGTGGATCCTCTGTCAGTGTCGAATGGAGCACGGACCGGGGATCGAATGAAGCAACTCGATATCGACGACATGATCCAACGGTTGCTAGACGTTGGTTACACCGGCAAAGTCAGCAAGTCACTGTGTCTCAAGAATGCGGAGATTGTCGCAATATGTCAAACAGCACGCGAGGTGTTTTTGAGCCAGCCCACACTCATTGAGCTGTCCCCGCCTGTCAAGATTGTGGGAGATGTCCATGGCCAATACTCGGACCTCATACGGCTGTTCGAGATGTGTGGCTTTCCTCCTGCGGCCAATTATCTGTTCCTTGGCGACTACGTCGACCGAGGAAAGCAGAGTTTGGAGACGATATTGCTCCTCCTATGTTATAAGATCAAGTATCCAGAGAACTTCTTCCTGTTGCGCGGCAACCATGAATGTGCCAACGTCACGCGAGGTGAGCAGTTACTGTCGTATACTCTTCTCATTAGTTAATGCCTGTCACCTTCAGTTTACGGTTTTTACGACGAATGTAAGAGACGGTGTAACATCAAGACGTGGAAGACATTCGTTGACGTGTTCAACTGCCTCCCTATTGCTGCCATCGTTGCGTCGAAGATATTCTGCGTACATGGGGGTCTTTCACCGTCATTACATTCTATGGATGATATCAAACGCATTCAGCGGCCGACGGATGTTCCCGATTATGGTTTGTTGAACGACCTGTTATGGTCAGATCCATCGGATACCGCTGTCGACTGGGAGGATAATGAAAGAGGGGTCAGCTATTGCTTTGGAAAATCAATAATCAACGATTTTCTGGTGCGCTACGACATGGACCTCATTTGCCGTGCGCATATGGTAGTGGAGGACGGATACGAATTCTGGAATGAGCGGACGCTCGTCACCGTGTTCAGCGCGCCAAACTACTGCGGCGGTGAGTTCCTGGCTCGTTCGACATTCGATTCCACCTCACAGCTTCTCCGCGCAGAATTTGATAACTATGGTGCATGCATGAGGTCTGTTTGCCAATCTATCTTGAGCAATTCCCTAAATGTTAATATCCATTTACAGTGTTTCTGAGGAGTTATTGTGCGCATTTGAGCTGCTCAAGCCATTGGACGGTCCAGCCTTACGGAAAGAGATGACGAAGGCGAAGCGGAAGACGTACGTTGTGATTCTGATAAGCATCAATGTCTATTTGATCATTCGTTCGTGTTAGCTTAATGGCTACTACGACTTGACCTAGTCAAGAGATATCCTGGAATGGTGGGTATACGATTATAATTGGTGGATTTGCTTTGGCTACAGCACAAGTCGGCCAGCAGACGTGCGGTTGCGCCAAGATCCGCAGCTAGAGGAGGACGTCAGGAGGCCGTCACTTGTGCTTACTTGCCACTCTTGCTTCTGCTTTGCTGCCTTGGTGGACGAGGCAGTTGCGCGCCCCTGCCTGTCATGTTACGCTAACTTAACTTAATCCTGTCCTCTATCATCATCCCGTTCAAGCCGCGGCTCTCAGTAATCACTGGGATCCCGGACTTCTGTCGTGTACGATATTCGCGCATATATCGAGGTCCACGTGGGCTTGATCACTTGCATTGTTTGTTCTCGTACTATCTCGCTGCTGGTTCAACTTCCTCATCTGCATTCCGGTCCATTAGCTGTCCAATTTTGTGCTGTAGCTACATTTGTCGAAATACGTATTCATTGTCGCCGGGGTCCATGGGAGTAATAGATCGTATGGAATCTCTTGGAGCGGATTGCCAGCACATACAGCTGTGACCAACCACGACCACAGTATGAGGTTATGCACCGCCAAAAGGAAGCGATTTCTAGACATAGAGAACCTAAGTTACTCGAAGGACATTGTACTTTCAAGGATGGGATGTGGAATCTGCAGGATGTCGTCTTCTCGTCATATCATATGCAAGCAGTGCAAAAGCTATCACAATGGAGCCGGATCCCAACAAGCCCCAGGGAGTAATGGTCTCAACAGCGCCACCGAAAATGATATCCGAGATGAATACGAGGACAATTGTCAACAGGCTTCCCACAGAAGTGACAACGGGCCCCCAGACGCCCAGCAGGATCTGCATACATAATACACGTGAGATCGACAAGATAATCGCGTATGATAGAAGCTCACCATGAAGCCTGCATTAAACACCACGCCGCTAAGAGCGATGCCCGCGATTGCGACCACCTGTAGCGAAGTCTTGGGCAGAGAGAAGGTAGAAATACCGTAGTAGTCGAGGATTGGAATGGGTATCCACAGTACGAGTAAAGTGAGCACGCCGATAGCAGATGTCAGCATGTTGGGGTACAATCCAAAAGGCGGAGGATAGACAGCTTCATCTGCTACCTGGGGGATGTTGACAGCTGCTTCGTCAATGTCCAAGGTGCTATCATATGAGGTAGGAAGTCGTCTGTACAAGGCGTCCGTCGGGACTTCATCATCGAGTACCTCGGGGTCGGACGGTAGGGCGGCATAGATCTTGTAAAGTACCTGGTATAAGCCGTACAGGACAGACGCAACGAGCGTCAACAGATCGCCGATGAGGGGTGCCGAAGGGACAAAGACTGCTCTCCGGAGAACCGAGGCAATGGAGCGCTTTCCCCACAAGCTGGCCTCCGGCGTGTTTGCAGTGCTACCACCATAGACTACAGCAGTAGCACCCAACGTGGCAAGAATGACGGCGGCCAGACGTCGCGGGTCCCAGCGAAGCTTGAGGAACCTCACGGTGAGGAGGTACGCGAAGAATGCGTTCGTGTTCCACAGCGCGGTGACATCAGTTACTCTGCGCAGATCAGCGTAAGTTCTCTGTGTAGTCTCATGCAACTTACGAAGCTAGAGATACGGCAATGAACCACAGTAAAGCAGGGAAGGTCATGCCGGCCGTCAAGAATGAGAGAAGGCGAGCAAGTCTCCATGTCGGAAAGTCTGATGATTGAGTGACCGGGCCAGTGGGGGGCGAAAGATGTTGTCGGAGTGCCAGCATCAATCCGGCCCACAGAGCGCGAGGAGAGTTCTTGCCCGACAGCGTCAGGAATAGCACGTGCAAGGGTAGCATTATGGCGAAGGATGAGTGAACGATATAGCTTCACTCCGTTGTCAGCTTCAGACGTACGACACGAGCAGTGAATCTCTGAGACATACAACAACAAGAAGGGCTGTCGGAAATCCAGTTCGGTTTGCACATACTACACGCAGCGTAATCAGTCCCGACGTCCTGCTTCGCCCCACGTAGATTGCGGAACTTACCTGGCTTAGCTGCGTCTCAGTGACAAAGGCCACAAGCGCTATGATGAATACCACTATGGCGGACTTTCCGCCCAAGTTTACCGATACGTCATGGTCTCTGGAAGCCATTAGTTCGATGCGCTACGATATTGATACCAGATGTAATCCTTCGCATAGAGGGGTGCCCAGGGCGCAGAGAGATGCAGGTGGGAACAGTGGACTGGCAACGGAAATGACCGTGCCGGTAATGCTTTGCCTGTTTGCGAGGAAGTCCCGTTCAACGATAGCTTGCCATATCAACCGAGATGGATTAGCGCCAAGCATCGTGGCGCCCGTGAAGTGGCTGGGCCGGGATGCCGAAGAGCGGGGACTCTGGCAAGGCTAGTCAGTGTTCACCCTGTCCATCCGATGGCTGATGCTGGTAAGCCGACCAATCACGCGCACTACTCATCCTCTATTACTACCACTCCTTTTCACGGAATGCGTCACCGAAGTAGCACAGCCTGCACAGATTTATTTTTCCACGGGAAACCTGATGGAAAAATGGTGAAAATATCTTAAGTCTGGATATGGAAATAGTTTGGAAATCGGGTGGAGACAATTGAATTATGTTACAATTGCTTCACCGAAACATATCAGTATCACATATTTTTGGACTGAAATATCTTCCTTTGGGAAATAGTTTCACTATTGCTGATATGTTTCAGTAAAACAATCGTAACATAATTTAATTGTCTCCGCCCAATTTCCAAACTATTTCCATATCCAGACATAAGATATTTTCACCATTTTTGCATCAGGTTTCCCGTGGAAAAATAAATCTATGCAGACTGTGTAGTCGACTAGCACTGCGTACGCGTCGGGAAAACCCAAATGCGGCTTAGGACACTTTTATCCGCTTGCCGTCAAAAAAGGCAGTAAGCTCGAGAAAGTATCAGGACCTTTTTCTGGGTTAGAAGCTTCTTATTGTGCACATATCGGCTTGTACAAGCCAATACAGCAAGAACAAGTCAAGAAGGAGGTTCTCGAGTCACAAGTTGATTTGAGTTTTCCTGATGTAATCCATACCATATGATAGATATAAGGCGTGGGGAGCTTCACTGACTCCAGTCTCCCATGAATCCCTGCATTTGACGCACTAGTGAGTACGACTTGCTACTTGCAAACCACCTCGTAGTTCATACTTCATCATTGCAGTAATCCACGCAGGAAAGTCTATAGCAACCATTCTCGGTCCCCGTCCGTCTCTCGCGCACAATGAGGGTAGGGTATCTTTGTCTTGAGTCTCATTTGAAGGCAGCGCTAAGGTTATGCTTGCAGAACCTGCTTGATATTAACGGCAATGCCATCTTTACCAATAAATGGTACAAGATCATGCTCTCTGATGGGAGTGAACTCGGCTTTGGTGTAAGCCTGGACGGCGGTAAATATGGCTGCGCCCCCGTCCCAAGCGGTCAGGGACTCGTCATCCGATATCGCCGGCACCAAAACGATGATCTTACGATATACGGGTGGCCTATCGGTGACTGTGGCTATTTCAAAGGCTACACCGTCACGCCGGATGGTGGCCAGGTGCTCATCAAGCACCTCAGCCTGTCTAACGGCTCCCCGCCTCTCCTCGCTTGGTACGACAGTGACGACTCTTACGGCTTCGTCGCGAAGCAGCTGCCGGGCAACCGCGTCGCATTGTATGCCTTTGACCAGAACAAGGCAGTAGCCGGATTGAAGGTGCAGAATGTAGGACAGGGATTGTCTATGCATGGCGTGCAGGGCGCGTACCCGATTGCTTTGGACTGCGCTTTCGTGGAGGTCGGTCCTTACGACACCGCTAACATTTACTTCTGAATATCCGGATATCGTGACACCCATGCGAGTGAGCATTCTGATCCTAGTAGTCATGATCGCACCGCGATTTTCATATATCAGTGGAACGTGTTGGTCTGTCTGTCAATTTGTCAGTGGAGTCATTAAATTGTATGGCGCGGTTTTGTTCATGGTAGCACGTTAGCTGCAAGCTGCATGCAATTTGTTCACCGCCGAATGCGAATGTAGGTTTGTACAGGTGCATTTGGACCTGAATATCTCGGACTGAACTCACCAGGAAAACTCAAATCCGGCCTAGAACACTTCCATCCGCTCGCCGTCACCAAAAAAGACAGCAAGCTCGAGAAAGTATCAGGACCTTCTTGTTTTGAACTTTTTTCTGGGTTGGAAGCTTCTTATTGTGCAATTATCGGCTTGTACAAGCAATACCAGCAAGAACAAGTTAAAACAGGAGGCTCTCGAGCCGCAAGTCGATTTCCTGGTGATTTACAAAGCTCGCCTTATCACCGGGCGTGCGCGTGCAATGTCAGCGTCTGCCACCACCAGCCCGGGCAACCAACTAAGGGCCTCGCCATCTCAGGCCGGTGTACTACCTTTCCTTTCGCCTCTCCAATGCCAATCCGCATTCCTCCATTCTGACAAGCAGACATTACATTGTCAATGTTCTGCACAGATAAGCCTCAGTACTGAGTCCAATTCACGAAAGTTCTGGTGCCAGTGGTCCCTTGATGATCTCAATCCAGTAGCTGCATGCGATACCCTGTCAGCTGGCCAGTGGCCAGTCACGCCGGAGAAACACACCGCAACCACTCACCCATCGGGGTCGAGGATGAACGTCTTCCCGTCCGAAAGGCGCTCCGTCCGAGGGGCGCTTCTGAGACTTAACCCCGAGGAGCTCAAAGCGTTCACAGACCTCCTCGACGTCGGGCACGGCGGTGGCGATGTGAGCGAAGCCGCGGCCGGGATCGCTATTGCCGGACCCTGGAAGTTGGGGTCTGACTCGATGCCGTGGTTGTGCGTCAGCTCGAAGACAACGCGTGACGTGGTCTGTGGTCTCACTGCCGTGGTTGTAGGAGAAGAAGTAGAGCGTGAATGTTTCGAATTCAGCCTCTGCAATGTGATCAGTCGATGCGGCAGTGAGGGATCAAGGGCTCCTGGCTTACTGTCCGCGAGACCCATCCCAAGCACCTAAATAAGCATGGTGAGCGTCGGCGCTCGGGCATCGCTGCAAAAGCAACAGCAAAGCGCGATACACCTCGACGTAGAATTTCAGCGACACCTTCGGGTCCTTGACGCGCAGCATCGTATGGTTGGATTGAGAGGGAACTACGGTGAACCGTGAGCCCGCGATAACGCATCCACAATCTGTCGAACCTTGTAGTTCGCGGTTTCTGCTGGGCGAGGCATTCTGGTCAGGAAGTCGCTGGAGAAGGACCTGGACGGATTCGACGAAAAACGGAGAGCGGATGCAAAGCAACGAGGAGCAAGATGGGGGCGAAAGGCAAGAAACATTATCTGATACAAGCAAAGCCATCGCTTCGCTCCGGCACCAGAAGGTGTAAGACGCTATAGACAAATCTATTGACTCTAACCTTGATTCAATGATCCATCATGTACAAATCGCCAACTCAAACTGAAATTTCATGGTAAGTGAAATTAGTTGTATTTGGACGATGAGGCAACGAGGAAACTGAACACATCCCAGGAGGCGATGTGGAACGCTGAGCGTCGCTGAGCGTGGGGCGAGATCGTGGCGGTTGTTGGATTCGCCGAGGGAGATGAACATGAGCTAGTATGCCGCCGCAGCTGCTACCTTCTCGTTCTCCTTGAGTTGCTCCGCGAGAAAATGTTCCATATCCGCCTTCAGTCTATAAGAAAGGCCCACGAGGTGCGAATAGAGACAACATGAATATAGGTATAAGTTAACATCGCGGACGCTAAATAAATAACGGAAACGAGTGAGTATCAGGTTATGGGATTAGAACTGACCATAGACCACGAACAGAGTGCACATTGCCCCAATGAAAATTTTCAACCCAAAAATTTTGACGTACCGCGTTGACTGGTCTTGACTTTCTTCTTGATCTTGTTCGAGGTACTTGATTTCCATCGTCTTTCGCTCGACTTCCGATCGTGCAGCTTGAGGTTGTGTGCCTTATGCAAGTATTGCAGCTCATCTCGCATCACGTTTGACGCATGCGCGGGCAGATCCATTTGTCCTTGGGGAAATGACAGGATCTACTGCCATCGTTGTCTTGAGGGTTGCTAGCCGAGTGAGCTTAACACTGACCGCATCGAAGTGAGACCTTGACAGCTGTTGAATGTCGTCGCATAAGCGGAAGCAAGCAGGAGCTGACGTCGTAACAGGGTATGACCATCATGGTGAAGTAGATCAGGATCTTGTCGTCTTCCGTGATGCTGATTTCATCAATTCTACGTAGAAGCTGAACTGTCATCAGTTGGTTCCCAACCGCCACCACTACCACTCGTACATTTTTACCAGTCCTCTGTCAAGGAAGAAGTTTCGGAGCAAACGATAGACAGCATTCAGTTTCACAGCGAGGGAGTGTGAGGGAAATGCCACGGCGAGCATTAGCGGTTGCGGAACACCAGCCACCGGCGAGGGCGAAGAAGCCAATGACCATAAGGATAGACACTGGGACGAGGCGGATGAGTGGGAATGGCAAAATCACAAAGGGGCAGCGCACCTTTTATACGGTGGTCAGAGAGACATGGACGGCATTCAACAAAAATACATGAGATGATTTGTTGGCAAAGACAAAGACGAGCACGATAAAGAGCACAAAGAACATAAGCGAGACATATGAAGACTCGGAAGTGTATTATGACAGGAAGACAACTTGAAGGAAGGACGGCAGTGAAAGTGGCGGGGATTACACGTGACCACAAGCAGGTGTGCCCCCCCGACACAGTCGCGCGAGTCTTACCGCCTCCTCGACGCCCAACATGTTTCGCGCACTCCTATCCTCCAGCAGGCCTTTGCTTTCACGTCTTCGGGCGTCCGCCGGTCCTCATGTGCACAATCACGCGCATTTATTAATCCCTGCAACCATGCAGGCGACACCAATGTTGGCGAGAGGGATGAAGGTCCGGTCGTCTGTGAAGCGGATGTGCGATGGGTGCTCCGTCGTCAAGCGCAAGGGCAGGATCTACATCATATGTTCTAAGAATCCGAAGCATAAGCAGGTATATCCCCCGCAGGCTCGTTCTCCGTAAACTTGTCTCACTCCCTGTTATAGCGACAAGGATGACGGTTCTGCTAGTGGCGACTATTCACCTTCCCGCAAGACCACAAAACTTACGACTGTGGGATGCGGTCGCTGACACTTACGCGGAATAGATTGGAAGGGGTTCAGCGTACCCACATCTGAAACTCATACTGTATTCCATTTTCCTCCTGTACTCCCTCCGGCACCTCGAACCCTACCCAATCCTGCAGCTCCTTGTGCGATGCTTTCCTCCACCGGGCCGTTTCTGTGTTTGCTTCCTCCATCGCCCGGAAGTCCGGCATGTATACATCGCATTCTTCAAAGGCCGGGGACAGTATGCGTGTGAGCAGGATGCGGTCCACGAACGACTCTGAAGACGGCGGGAGATGCAGCGTGTCACGATATAATGCCGCACCGCCGATGACGAATGATCGGTGTATGGAAATATGCAGTTTCTCTGGATGTGATAGCCTGTCCAACGCGGTTTCTAGAGAGGAGTGCAAGTAGACAGGTGCTGGTGGGGTGGGTGCGTCCACTGGCATTCTGGCGCTTTTTCAGCGAGTGAACCAGTCATGATGCATACGAGTCGACCCACAGCTCGTATCGCTTATTGCTACTTATCACGACGTTTATGCGCTTCGATAGGGGTCTGAACTTTGTCGGGATGCTCTCCCATGTATTTTTGCCCATGAGCACCGCGTTCGCGCTGCCTTCGGGCGCGTTTGATGTGACCCGCGCAAAGTATCGCATCTCTTTGGATAGCCGCCATGGGAGACGTGAATTCTGGCCGATACCATTTGTGAGTGTTGCAGCAACGATGAGGGTCAGTTTGGTCATTTTGCACGATGGAAGCGTTCACGTTTAAGCAAGAAATGGGCCATAGATCGAGTATCAATCGGACTAGTACGCGCGCATCCGACGATCGACATGCGCGTTTGAGAGCTTGAATTGCATGGACAACGAAGAATAGGGGAAACTAAAATTACAGCTCTTTTGCAACTAATGACGCCAGGTTCCTCAGTCAGTATCAGTACGATCGAAGTATTTCTTCTTCTTCTGCCGCCACTTGTCCTGCGCTATCACGTCCTCAATTTCCTTCCGGACGATCCCAACCCAGTCGAAGCACGTCCCGCAATCCTTCACGTTGTGCGTCTGGCACTTAAAGTCCTCCGAGCGAGGTTGGACGCGGACGGCGCCGCGCTCGTACGCGTTCTGAGGTGTGCGCTCCTGTGTTTCCAAGCAACGAGTTTCAGTTCCAATCTTCCAGCCGTGTTGATTAGCATTGAAAGATAATGGCGCGTACTTCCAGGTCAAAGCGTATGGCATCATCGACGAGCTCTTGGAGGGCGTTGTGCAAGTCATGAACGCCATTATTGCCATACCGATGGTCACAGGTGCAGTACGGGCAGTATTCGCCACCATGCCTTTCGCAGAACATGAATCCATTGACGACGATGTTGTCGCCGAGGCCGGACATGGTGGTGGTGAGAATGATTGATATCGGCCTGGGAAGACACTGGTTGCATCATATGCTCGAGCCCGCAGGCATGTGTTAACACTATTGAGAGAATTCAATTGTTCCTCTGGAGATGCACGTTCCGTCAGCAGCCAGGATTACCTCCTTATTGGATACCATGATCCATGCACCATGAGTGGACGACAGCCTGCCAACCACATTACCATCAGGCTTCTAGGACTCGCAGCGGGGAACATGCAGTGCGAGTGACAAGGAGGAAAACAGATTTGCATTCAAGACAGCATGCGCGACAGCACTGAACCATGTAGATCGACCGATTTGCGCATTACCAAAACAACTAAGCACATAAGAACTTGAACCGAATTGACAAGCGGAAGGAACGTTATACGCCCCACTTCTTCCACTCGCTGCCCTCAGGCGGCTTAACTTCCACCTTTGACTTCTGGACCTCTTCCCAATTTGTGCTCAAGGTGGTTCCGCCGCTCTCCTGGTAGCTTTTCAGCATAGCGCGCCGAGTGTCTTCATCCGCGTCCGCATACAGCTTCTGGAAGAAGTCGTTGACGGCGGCATCGCCGCCCGCGTTGGGGTCGTCCGACGACGAGGGGCTCTTCTCGGACGAGAGAATTTCGGCAGTGACCGCGTCCCAGTTCTTGCGTGGTTTGTGTGGTTGCTCAGTTCTAGGAGGACTAACATTCCCTGTTGGGAAGGCGAGGGCTGTTCCCGCGCACAACGGTGAGCAAGTGCAACAGCGCGATAAACCTCGTGGAGGGACTCACGATCCGGGCTATCACCGACGAGCGCACCCCAGCGCCCAGGTACTACTTTCACCAGGCGAATTTCGACCTTGAACTTGCCCACCGTGTAGTCACTCTTCTCTGTGTCGATCTGCCCCTTCAGGGGCTCCAGATGGAGCTTCTTGTCGCCGTTCTCGTATGTGACCTAAGGCGCCACAGCAAACGAGGATCAATGCACGGCAGGAACGCGTCGCAAGCAAGGCAAGCGCACACTACGATGGCCAAACGTCACTTGCACATTTGCGGGATCTGCGCCCTTGTCAAAGACAGAGAGAGTGAGCTTCTCATCTGTCTCATAGAACTCGTGTCTGTGTGCCACACTCAATTGAAGCGCGATCGATAGGAGATCTATCTGTACGTACATACCTAAGAGTGGTCATTTCGGACTGTGAGACGTCCACAGTTCGGAGAGTATGATATATCGTGAAGCGTCCAGGGGTCAATTGCAGTGGCCACGCACAGGAGGTCGGCGGGAAGATTCTAGAGGCCAGCACGTGAGTGGGACGCGTCTAGGTGACGCGTGACAGACGCGATGTGTGAGTGTGACAGCAACGTGCCCTGACTGTCCCCGCCGACGTCATCGCGGCGGACAAGCGCCGGCCGTCCCCGCATGCACGCGTGGCAGGGCAGGCTAGCCACTGCACGCCTGCCTATAAATCTTGCGACCGACTGCTCAACCACCTCCATCACATCCCGGCTCTTCTTGAACACACGACGTCCTCAACATGTCTGCTGGTGTGCCAAAAGCTGCACTCTACTACTTCCCCACGGCGATCTGGCCGTCTGCTCGTGAGTTGAAGCGACACATGTTCCAGAATCTACACTCATCGATAGCATGCAGCACTTATGGCATTGTGAGTTTGAGTTCCTTCGCAGCGAGCTGCAGAATCAACCTTTCAGCTCAGGGAGGAAAAGGGATACGGTCCTGATGAGGTCGATTTAAAGCTGGTAGATCTAGGTATGTCGACTTTCCCCGGCATCTGCTAGGGATCATGATTGAATCTCAAACTGCTTTCAGCCAAAGGAGAGAATTTTACCCCACAATATCTACGTCTGAATCCTCACGGTGCGCTGTGTCAGCGACTTCGATTGCATCGCGCTCTGATAGCTTGCAGGAACGGTACCTACGCTTGTTGTGCCTCTTCACAACACGCTCTCCCCCGAGATCGAGAGTAGATATAAGGCTCTCCAAGATACGAAGGTTCGCGGCATGGATTCTAGATGCCATCACCGTTCATGAAGGCTAACGATCTGCCTGTCTGTCAGTCCATCGTCGAGTTCATCGACAAATCGCGTTCCACCCAGTCTCGCACGCACACTACCTCCAGCGCGCCCTCCCCCTCGCTCAGTCCTGCGACCATTGCCTTCAGTGCTATCTCTGATAAGGTCATCACGCTACTTCACTCCGAACCTGCGGACCCCAACGCGCTCCTCTACCTCAGTGCCCGTGACGAGGCGTCCCTGCGTGCTCTCGCGAAAGCACGCGTTCCTATGTTATCCGCTCGACGCAACACGCTCGCTCAACTGCTCGAGGACAGTGCGGCTGACAGGATTCATGTGTCTGAGAAGACGCGTGCATTCTGGACAATGAAGAAAACAGCCACCGAGAACTTTCTCGACGTGTTTAAGGACGCGGAGAAGCCTTCCAGCGCGCTGGACGACGTTGAGAGGCAGAAGCGCGAGGCGTACCTCAAGGACGCGAAGTTGACATGGGCTGGGCTCAAGGAGGTGCTCCCGCAGCTCAATCAGGAGCTCATCGGGCCGTATGTTCTTGGTGAGCTCCGGGCAGTTGATCGGCATCATTTAATTTGCAAGCTGATGTATGCGTATACAGGCGATCAGCTATCCGTCGCCGACCTGCACCTTGCTGCATGGCTTGCTCGGATCGTCATGCTCTCGGGAGGCACGATTGAAGAGGATGGCAACACAGTCGTTGGCAAGCTCGAGGCACACGTTGGCCCGGGCTTCACGTTGCCCAAGGGCATCTCCATTACGGAGGCTCGCCGCCGTGCTGGGCTGCCGCTGCCGGAGACGGAAACGGATGAACGGCAAAGTCGCCTCGCAGCGTTCTGGGACGCGATGAAGGAGAGGCCGAGCTTCCAGAAGATCTATGCGGATGGTTTGCACTGAATATTGGATTGCTCGCCGCTGAGTATATCAGTTGGTGATTGCAGAATGTGTGAATTGCAAGAAGATATGGAATAGGAATGTACTTTAGTACTCAGGTTGCTACAATATATCCAACCTAGTCTTCTTCCGGATAGATCCACGGAGTTCGGCGCTGGACGTTTAATCAAGAAACATCAAATGAGCTGCAATTATATGCAAACGGATAATCAATAAATTATATGCCCCGCACACTCGTTGTTCTGGAAGCCCTATAAATCCTCCAGAAACTCGCCGGCGCGTGCGATTTAAGATGTCCGATGTGGCAAGTTGGCGAGCATACATATAAACTGCAGCTGTCAGTCCGCCCTGGGTGGTGTGGACGTGACGGATAGGCGTTTGCAGTCTGCTTTCGATGACAGGTTCTAGAGAACAGTGCAGCCGTGCTCGGTTCAGCGCTCGCGAGTGATCACCATGCGCGGGAACACCGAACGTCACATTGCTCCGTCTCGAAGTCCACACCTTGATTGTGCGCATATCGCGGAGATTGGTCGGATGCTCGATTCAGGAACCGGGAGGGGGGAGTGCGGACATTATCTATAAAGCTGGATTCCCGTGGAACAGCATGCAGATGCGCTCGATGAATCGATGACTCCTATAATGTCGATCCTGTAGAAAATGTCGGGATGCTTGGCGAGATAAAAGACACACAAGCGATAGAGACACATGACTGCCTTGCAGTGTGTAAATGCCGAGCGAGGCATACATAACACACATACGACGAATTTGATACGTGTGGGCAAGAAGCATCTATTGGAGGCACGATGATTTAAACAACACTCACGCCTGGTTCTGAAACCCGTCATCATGTTCAAAATGTCATTGTAGCGGCAACTTGATCGCGTCAAGAAAGCTGAACGATCTGACAAGGGCTAATTTGTCGACTAAGTGGTGGCGGTCCGACTTAGCACTGCAGTACTAACAGTGAACAGCGCCAAAGCCCGACCTAATCTGACACGACCTCCACCAGGACGGGCCCCCGGGACGTGGCCCGAGCAGAATACCGACAATGTTTAACAGTCTGTCGTCAGAGATGGGAGCAGATAGAAGACCGCAATGTCGTAAACTTGACCTCGCAGGCATTTGTTCAGACCGAATGGGGAATCTGACGTTCGATAGCCGCATCTTCCATGACCCGCAGAGCACATATGGGGGATGCAGGAAAACCTGGAGGGTGCAGGAAAACCGTCGCAGCAACAAGAAGCTTAGATACGACGAAGTACAGGCGAACTCGAGGATGACTCGAGTGCTTGTGGTCCGGAGGACGAAGAGCATGAGGACATAAGATATAACTGCGTACCCTGGTTCAGTACACATTGTTTTTGGCACACCGCGCGGCGACTACGAGCGGCCCGCAAGCCGAAGTGGAGACGATGAAGCACTGTGGGAGGACATATGTATTGAGTGAAGTCGTTAGGTGCCATCGACAATGACCACGAAGGCGACGACTGCAAAGCGGCACGATACGAGTCATAGGATAAGTGGTATTTATTTTAGAAATGCTAGTTGGGAGCATCAGATCTGATGTCAAGACTAGTCCAGTCCGTGCGCACTGCGCAGTAACAACCTGTAAACTGGGCGATGCAGCCGTCCCGAACTGTTTGACGGATGCATCGCTGTGCCATAGCTGTAAGCTGGGCAAGAGAATGAATTTCGAAAATAGATGAGGACTTGCTGGCGGTGACCCGACTGGGCAAGCCGAGAGCGTGTGTTTGCTGATGGCGCCGTGCTCTTCGCTACCACTGAAACGACATCAACAGCCGCACGTGGAACCAGACGGCTAGCGTCGCGCAGATTGAGGAGAGTAATCAGTGCGTGCAGAACGATGTCTCTGGCGAGCAGGTGGACACGGCGCGCGGAGGAGGAAGGAAGTGAAAAACGTATTTAGCGGAGGCTGCGCATGGGTCACAGACGCGCTGTAACGGCTTCATCGTTCTCCTGCTTGTCTACGCTTGAGTGGATTCATTTCTGGGCCTGCGCTCAAGCTGCTGCCATTGTCTAATCTCTTCTGCCCGCGGCCGTGCTAGCTGCCTTTGCTCCTCGCGCCGCCTCCTACCGCGCCCACGCAGACAGCAGGTTCTGAGCGCCCCGCGACGTGATATTATACCCACCGCTTTCTTTTCCTTCGCGACCGCTGCTCAACTGCCCTTTCGTTCTACTCTCCGCACATTCCTTGTTCTGCTCGCCATGTCTTTTCCATTTAGTGTCTTTGGAAGCACACCACCACGCCCCCGCATCCAGCTCACCCAGGTACCAACACCCCCACGTCCTCTAGATGAATACGACGAAAATGCCTCTGACTGCGACCAAGAGGAGCAGCCCGTTCATTCGGGCACGCATCTTGACCATCCTCATCTGCGCACTCCCTTCATTTCTTCTGCACCCTCCTCTCCCGACCTCAGCGCCCAGGCTGCGGAGCGCCTCTCCGACCGCACCCTGCTCTATCCTCACTCTGGCGGCTTCGCAGGTTATGTTCATACTCCCTATTCGACCGCATCGAACACGCCGTTGCCATCGCGTACGCCCTCTCCCTCGCCGTTCTTCTACTCTTCGGGCGTGTCGTCTTGCAGTTCGGACAGTGACAGCGAGCATGAAGACGTGCCCTTCACGGCACGAAATGCACATCTTCGGTCATCACAATGGAGAGAAGAGCGACGTCGTTGGTGGATTATGGGCGCGGTACGGAGACGCCGAAGGAGAGAGCGCATGGGTGGTTGGAGGACGGTCAAGAGAGCGATAAGACTTCTCATCCGCCATCCATTCTTTCCCAAGACCCCCATTACCATTGTACGTGACGTTGATATCAGCGAGCCTCTGGCCACGTTGTAACTGAGTATCGTCTCGCTGACTATTGCTGCAGTTGCTCACCCTCCTTCTCCTTACAATCTTGGGCGTGTCAATCACGTTCCTAATGATCTATATCCTAAATCCTGACAAAGAGCCTCTTCCATGGCGCGGCTACTGTACCATCCCGCAATTCTCCACTGCACCTCCCTCCTACGACCTCCCGACGACCGCATCGTTCCCGCATTCCCTACCAGAGAACTTCACTCCTCCGACATTCCCATCGGTAGATCTGGATACCCTCTCCCCGGCGGGAGTGTTCGTAGGCGTGTTCTCGATGGACAACGCGGTGGAGCGTCGAATGCTCATCCGCTCGTCGTGGGCGAGCCACCAGCGCAGCCGGGACGGAGCAGGCGAGGGTGACGGGGGCGTCGGAACGTCTCGGACGATCGTTCGCTTCATCCTTGGCCAGCCGCGCAAGGAATGGCAACGGCGGATTATGCTCGAGAATGAAGGTTCGTCATTAATGTCATACTGTGTGCGCCTTCGCTACTGACTGCCGATGTGTGGTGCAGTGTACAAAGATATGATCATATTACCTGTCGCGGAGAACATGAACAACGGCAAGACGTATGCGTACTTCTCGTGGGCAGCGCAGCACGCGTGGGTGCCGCCGCTCTATTTCGATACGTTTGAGCGCGTACCACAGGGCTTGTCGTACGCGAACAAGGCGCATTATGTTGGAGCACCAGCCGCGCATGATCCGATACAAGCTCGGCAAGACTTCGCCACGGGCCACCCACAACTGTGGGTAAGACCCGACTACGTGGTGAAGACAGATGATGATTCATTTGTCATACTGGCGGAGCTAGAAGCACGATTGCGCGTCGAACTGCATGCGAAGCCTCAGAAGCACCCACGCGCTGACAACGGCACAGAGTTCTCGACTTCTGCGTCCGCTTCTGACTCTCAGGGCTCGTTTGATTCCACAATTTTGGCGCAGTCGGCCTCGATCCTGGACTCAGCCACTACTCCAGACCTCACGTTCTCTGCTGCTTCTACTGCGGCGCGCGTGGATGCTTTCGTTGCACCTACTACGACGCAGACAGAGCGCGCTCCGTCATCTCCAGTGAATGAAGCGTTATCTTCTACGGACCCGCTTATTTTCTGGGGCTATCTCGTCAAAAACCGCTTCATGGCTGGCGAGTTGTACGCACTGTCGTGGAGTTTGGTAGATTGGATCGCGCATGACCCGCAGGTAGCGGAGTTGAAGAAGGGCGCAGAGGACAAGCAGACGAGCAAGTGGATGCGACTACATCCCAGAGCGGACGAGGTTCGGTGGACGAGCGAGCGGTGTTGGATCTACGACCATCCCCGAGCGAGCACCGTGTGAGCATGTTTTTTAATATTTTCACAGGGTTTTGCTCATTGGGTCACGTTTGTGCGTTGCAGATACTCTCACGGTTTCCTCTTCCCATCTGAGGCGAGGCGAGTGCAGGAAGGCGTCATGGACGACATTTCGCGCTCGGTACCGCTGGAGCTCGCTGCCCAGACTACGGGCGCGATCCCATCGCCGTTTGGTCTCAATGCGCCTATTCCGTCTACGTGGTCACGGTCGACGGTGTCCAAGTTCGGCACTCGTTACAGTCCACCATTACCCTACCTGGACCAGGACACCAGCATTGAGGCACTCGTAGAGGGCAGCGAGATGTCCAGGCTGACTGAATGTAAGAAATGTGCACTTCTGCTATCCCTTTCTGCATCTCTAATCTCCCCATTCGCATTTTAGCCAGCGGGGTCAACCCGTGGACGGTATGGCAGCGCCGTGAGGGCAGACTTGCGAAGTACGAGAACAAGCGCGTTGGCGGGACGATCGTCGTGCACTTCATCAAGAAGAATATGTGGTTCCTCGAGACAGCCGCGGCATTTCTCCTGGGCGAGGACAGGACGGAGGCAGAGCGCGCACGCCATTGGGCGCATAATCACCGTGTGAGACCATCGTCGGGCAGGCCCGCAGATGTTACGAGCCCGTTGGATGAAGAGACCTTGGTGGACGATGCTTCCGCTGCGTCTGATCAGCATCAAGGACAAAATGCGATTATGAAGAGACATCGGCATCGATAGCGCACGAACGCCTTCCCGTCCATATTCCGCCCATGACGCGCCTCACTTCGCCAGCATAACCTGCATGGCGCGTCCTTGTAAAATATATTGGCCAGAGTCATCGTATTTCCCAGCCGCATATCCTCGTCTCATCTAGTGGTCACCGTGGGTTTTATGTCTACCAAATCGTAATCGCATGGCCTGCACGGATTCCAGCTTCACGCGGCGTGTATTATCGTAAATACCTCCATTGTTCATACTCCATGCACATACTACTGCCTGCCCCTGACGTTCCGCGCAGTACCACTAAACACTGCTGTTCCCGCATCGCACACCAAGCAAGTCAAGGCGAAGCGTTATAATTTGTTCCAAGAACAACTATTCAATAAGTGACGCCGACCTTAAAGAGCTGAGTTGCCGGGCTCCGTGCCTTGTATGAGCAGGTTGCCGTTGTAACCATCTAGCACTATCGCTGGCTCGGTAGCTCTGCCGTCATCTGGCTCTCGCAATGAAATTCGTGACCTCAGCCGACCGGTCACCGCCCTCCTAATCGTGCCTTCCCACTGCTGGAACCACTCTCCCTCTCTCAGACCGACAAGTTTTGCCATCCCTGATGGTGTCTGCATTGTCCTATCATCAAGGATGCCGGCGTCCAAGGTCGAGAACGGGGGCGGCGGCGAAGACTTCGTCGAGCTCTCCCTGGTGGATGCGTCGACGAGCTGCCACGTCTTCAGCGCATAGGCGCCGCCGCAAACCTCCCAACGACCACCACCGCGCCGACCGAACCGCTGGTACAGCCAGATGAAGGGATAGATGAGGAAGAGGAAAAGCAGGAACTTTAGCCACTTGTTTGAGAGCGTGCGTGAAAGCCAGTTGTCAGGGCGTATGTGGATCTTGGCGTTCGTCAGCTCAAAATGCACTTCGAAATTGCCCGTGTAGTATGTCGATTTGACGGCGGCGCTGATGGCTGCCTCTAAGTTGGCCAGATTCCAGCCGTAGATGACCTAGTAGGGATGACGCATTGCCGTGCAATGAAAATAAGGGGTCTTGACATGAACATGAGTTAAGGGCTCTGACGGTACCTTTCGGTAGGTGAACTCTTTCAGTAGTTTGTTACTGGCACAGTATTCATCGGCCCACTGCCGAAGAGTCTTGGATGACTTCAGTACGTTGGCCTGTATTGCTAAGGCATCAGCACCGTGGCCCGCTTGACTCTCGTCTATTGCAGCCCAAGGAGGCAGCCCTTTTGCCATCCTCTCCTCTCTATGCGATCGGGCCATCTTGATTTCTTCTTTCGTAGCTTTCCTTCGCAATGTTGTAAACAATGCCTCCTCTTCGTCGGCGTTCTGGTTGCTGGCGTATATGTCTACCTCTTTGTACATCTTTCCTCTATACGCTGGCTCCTCATCAGGCACACTCCAATGGATCGGACCTGATGCAATGTGTTGCCCTACGTCTATCATGAAGTCGAAATCTGAGCGCAAAACCGCATTAGTTGCGAGTGAAACCAGACAGGAGGCGTACATGCCTGTGACCTCTTCAGTGTCGTGTTCGCGCACCATGTGGCGTTGACCGCAGCTATCCTGGCGAGCCACCAAATGAGAGACAGTTTCTTTATGTGAGCCGTATATCCGAACGTGGACACCGGGGAATGACTCGGCATGCGACAACAGAAAGCGGTATAAAGCCTCTCCTGAGGGGTTTGTGAGGCTCGATCAGCAAAGCTTGACTGCAATGGCAAGAATGCAAAACTGACCGTCTTCATTCAAGTGGGAGTCGTGCGAGACGATGGCACCGTGCGCTCCGGAAACGAAGTACTCTGCCTCGTATGGAGTAAACGCTGGAGGGGGCTCTTCACCTCCTTGAGGTACGAACTGCTCCGGGCCCTTAAAGTGGCTGCTGTAGCTCGGTGCGGCTTCATCAGAGCTAGGAAGGTTGATGGCAGTCGACGGTCCAGCACCAGGCTGTTCGGACTCGTCGACAATGTGCGATGGTGACGGCTTGCTATCTGTCATGGTGGTTCCGGTTCAGGAGGTGAAGGGAACGAGAACTCGTGTCATCGACCAGTCACGTCGTTGTAGTGACAGCCCTGTTCCGTCGGTCGCGGATGGTCGGCGGCGCAGCATATTCAGTCCAGTCTCACGTACGGTGCGGATGCTGCCGATGGCGGGTATGTGTGGCTGCACTGCAATCCCGAGTCGGCGGTATTGATCTGGCAGTTTGTTCTTCGCAAAGTAAAATTGCAAAAACCACAGCACCTAGGATTCCCGCGTGGTCCCCCACCGTGGTACTAACTAGGCGGCGCTCTGGTTAACTGCGCGTGCTTTCAGAGTCCTATGGCCGTAGATGTGCAGTTTGCTTTTGGGTCTTCTATGAACCATTTTTCGTTCATTTAAAAAAAAGGCAAGCCCATACTCAGCCAGTGAAGTTGATATAAAATACTGCAGATGTACCAAACCCTGGAAGAAAGAGAAAGGCTCTCTACCAGTCAAGATCAAGGTGAACTAGAGTATCAGGTTAAGAAGGTTCTCAATTCCAAAATGTTCCGAAATGAAAGAACAGGTTATAGAAGACCCAAAAGCAAATTGTCCATCCACGGCCATAGGACTCTGAAAGCACCGCATCCCGTCCGATCTGCGCAGTTAACCAGAGTGCCGCCTAGTTAGTACCACGGTGGGGGACCACGCGGGAATCCTAGGTGCTGTGGTTTTTGCAATTTTACTTTTTGAAAGCTGTGTGCGAAGAAGTTGTGACCCTGCAATCATACAATGGCCCACAAACTGGATCAGACATGCTGTGTTCACCACCACAGGGAAGTGAGAAAGGAGTGCTTAAGCAGAGGAAAGGCTCAACTTTCCCTCCTGCTGCCTGCTCTGAAATAGTAATGGTGCACAAACACTGCTTAGATTCTATATCTCTCATTTGGGACTATGCACTGCACCATCCGGTATTTCATGCCAAAATCCATCAAAGGTAGACTACAGACAAACTGAAATGTCCTGTGAATAGCAACGAGGCAACTTGAGTCTAGTGTCCGTGATACGCGGCAGCATGTCCATATATATACGTGTTAGGAGCGGCCAATGTACGTCGTCATGAATGTACGAAAAGTTCACTGAAAGCAAGAAGCGATATGAAAACTACAAACACACCGGAAGTCTCAATATCACAACATCATGACTCGTCTACAGGAGGCGCAGGCCATTACGTTCAATCTTGCCGAGACGGCTCCCTGAAAGCGTCTCCCCCGGCGCTGCTGCTGTCCGGCAGGTTTCGTATCTAGATGCCAGTGAGCTTCCAAAATGTCGCCAGTACTGAATTCACTACTCACCACTAGCCGTGATGTCGTCGGATCATCGAACGGGTCCTCGCTCGCAACGGAATAAATCGACGACGCCGCGGAGTCCCTCGCAGGTACATCCTCTTCCACCTTAGTCCCTACACCTCCACTCTTCTCCAGCCTCTTCGGGTTCCTCGGCGGAGGGGAAAGCACATCCGTGTTACTCACATTCGTCGCCGTGGACGTCTCGCCCTCATACCTCCTGTATCCCAATAGTAAATCATGGCTGCTTGCGCTTGTTCCGGCGATGTGTCCAAGCCCAGCGGAGCTCGTGCCATCTGTGCTATAGCCATACCCATACACTGGCCGTCCAACAAACGTGTCAGGCGGAGGGCTGTTCATCCGTGCAGGCGCGTACCCATCCTTGCGCTGAAACCCGAGTGTCGCGGGTAGCGGCGGATGGACCGTGCCAAGAGCTGCATATGGATCGAAGCCGTTCCATCGCGTAGTTTGCGGGCCTGCAACAGGCTCATCCAAGTAACGCGATGACGGTCGTCCACGCGTGCCGAGCAAAGTCCTCGTAGCATCGCGGAGGGCGTTGTTGCCAGTCATCTGCAAACTCAGCCGCTGAGACATGTTCGGTGCCTCGTCATCGCGGTCAACTGGCGCGCGGTTGAAGCCCGCCGCTGCGAGCGTGGACGCAACCACTGTGTCATGCTCTATTCTTCGCGCACGCAACCGCCGGCGGATGCAGAAGAATATAAAGATCAAGATCGTGGCAGCAGCTAGGCCAACGATCAGGAAGACTCCAGCCACCGCGCCCTTATCACGGAAGAATCTGGAGGGGAAAACATTACGCCCAGCGTCAGAGCGTGATTCGCCGTTGAATAGATGACAATACAATCACTCACTCAGACATTGAGGCAGCATCGTTGTTGACGCTTATCGGCGTCGGATTTGCCGCAACAATCGTCACATAACTCGCTGCTCCGTTGCTCCCAGTAACCATGGAGGTCTCTGTGACGTATGGAGGAGCAGAGGTGACGGTCTGACCCTGACTATTTGTAGTCGTGATGTAAACGATGCTCTTGAAAGTCATGCTATAGAATAAACGAGATCCCATCAGCACAAGATCCACATTTTTCAGACGGTACGAACGTTGCTGACGTCTCCTGACTGCTGGTGAAGGAGCCCCCTAAGCTCGAAGACGTTGCAACATCACTGCGGATCGAAGTCGTTCTAGAGGACGTGGGCACGGGCGTCGCAGAAGTCGCGGATGACGTCGCGGGAGTTGTAGTCGTTGCTATAACAGTAGGCGTTGCGGAGGAGGTAAGTGGCTGAGAGGACGTAGAGCTTGATGTATGAGAGCTCGTGACGGAATCAGCACTCGATAACGACGTCACAGAAGACGACGACGACGAAACTGATGAAGGCGGAGGCTGAGAGGATGAATTCGCGCTTGACGAGGACGAAGTAGGGGATGGAGTTTGGGAGGATGATAACGAAGTCGTCGGCGTCGAGCTCGACTGCTGAGTCGACGACGCTGTTGACGACGCAGTGGACGACTCGGTGGAATGAGTGCTCGACTCAGTCGGGGATTGGCCCGATGTCTCTTGCGAGGACATCGTTGAAGGGGACGGCGAAGTAGAAATTGCGGCCATATTACTCCGTGTACTTACGGACGTCAAGCCGGCGGAAGACGACATAACTGCTGACGCACTAACAGCTGCCGATGTAGCGGAACTGGCCACAGGAGAATCAGTCCATCATGGTGAGAGGAAAGAACGTTAGTTGCAAAGCAGGTTGTTCACGCAGTGGATGAGGACTCCGCGGATGATCGTCCAGCCGGAGTTGACGCGGCGGAGGAACTTGAAGGTTCGTGCCTCGAGGACCGTTGAACAGCAGAAGACGTGAGAACTGACAAATGTATGGACTCGGTCGCAGCTGCAGACGAAGGGCATAGAACGTGAGCTCTTAGCAGCAGATGCAGAACTTGCACACCCGACGTTGTTCAGGCGTGCTATTGGTCGCTATACTGGCCATGAAACACAAGTAGCAACAGCTGAGAGGTTACAGCACTGGTCGAAGAGACACCCATGGCGGATTCCAGACGGCAAACTGCCTGGGAACTAGTAGGGAGAATGCGATGTGAACACGCGACGCGCAGGTTAGCAGTACGAAAACGAAGCCGATCAGTCCGGCACCGTGGTGTGGCAAGAATCATTGCAAGAGCAAACGCAACACATATGGCGTCCTGCGACCATCTTCGAGCCACGGCATTGATCCTGCATCCCAGAAGCTTCGAGGGTCAATGTTTCAGGACGTGTGTAGGGAGCTTGTTTGAGACCAATTGTAAAGTTGAACGGGTGCCGGGTCTGGTTCATGATGTACAATCGCTGAGAAAGACTGACTCAATTGACGCAAGAGCGGGAACTAGACCTGCCCAATTTACAGCGTATCCGAATCCGGCACAAGGTAGCAAGACACGAAAGTCAGACATCATCCATAAATTCTGGCATGCGACAAAAATGCAACATAAACGACAAGGGAGCGTTCGGTCTATCCATTGAACGACGTAGAGACAAACTAAGTCCCACAGGAATCCACTTTCGATATTCTCGCGTATGCTCAAGTGGTTGTGAGCCAATCGCATACTTACAACGTGAGAGTAATGCCAATAGCATAACATTGTTCTTCTAACACGAGCATACGTGAGCGATGACAGTGTTACAGAGGCAGATAGGGCCTGAGAAGGGAACGACCTTTGATCATATCTCCTTGGAATTTGCTATCCACTTAGGTATCCTAATTCTCGTCTGTCAGATATACGGTCGGGTTTCACGAGGACGTTAGACTCACAGAAAGGAACTGCAGCGATACTTTCGAGGGCGCCTGCTCCTTGGAGTCGGTCAGCAATGGAATCGCGGACTTTCGCGTAGACTTCCTCATTCAACTCCATAGTCTGATGCGCTGTAAAGGCATCCATCGCCTTGAGACTACACTACCAAGCCAGAGCGGAAGGCTCACTGGTGGTCCACTGTGCTTGCTTCAAATTCCATCTGGTCCCAAGGACAGACGTCATCTCCACGTCGGTCATCTCGAGCAAGAAGGTGAGCAGGCGCAGTTGGATGTTACCTTCAGCGGGGCTGTCGATTCATCGTCATCGTAAGCATAGCGCGTACTATAGGCGAGACAGAACGAACACTGCAACGGCGATTTGGAAGAATGAAGCATGCTTCGATTTCGATATCGCATCGCCATTCATGAGTTCTTGCCCTTCTGAGTCGGCACCGGCCGCCTGAAGCGCGTACAATGCCCGAACGGCGAGAGCGTATTCGTGACGGGTCCACGTCGTCTCATTCTCCAGTGCAGTGAGCACCAGGTCGTCCACGCTGCCCGTTCTGATCGTAGCTGTCGAGTTGCTCCTGCGGCGCTTTCGTCAGAACCCGTGCAACCGTATCTGTAATAGAAAGCAAAACTGACGACGAGGTCACGACCCAGCCGACATTCTCCAGGTTGGATTGGAACTGGGCGGCCCACTTCTGAGGGTCGTCGCGCGGATCTGCGCTGCCGTTGGCGGCAAAACGGCCGAACAACATCGAGTACACAGCATCTTCCTGTTGGGCGCATTGTTCAGCATCGTACATGCGATCAATGAATGTAGCTACCTTCTGCTGAGGCGAGAGATCGCTAAAGGCATTCAGGCCGAAGGAGGCCACGGAAATATCGTTGCGCGCAGGAGGTTTCACGACCTCAGACATGGTGGTGGACAGCAGACTGTAGATTAGCCAACTGGGATTGAACGTATCTATAGTGGTCAGGCGGGAAGCAAACCGCGAATGGAAGTGGACATGCTCTGCAGACGTTTCTTGCGCACGTTCAGGGTCTGAATAGTCAGGCGCACTGATCAGTGGAGTCTGGAATGCCAGCACGCATCATTTGGAGCATTGAGAGACTTAGGACCCTAGGAAGCCAATACTCGTGTTCTCCAACGCCGAGGGTCTCAAGGCGGGTCAGTTCATTCTACTGACCCTATTCTCGGAAATTCCCTCTCGCCGATGGCCGATGTCTGGCACTCCTGCTCGATGCATGGAGCCCTGATCGGCAGTGTTAGAGAGTATTCCGTTGCCGTGAATTTACAATTTCAATCATTCAGTAGACGACTTACCGAGACCCGCCATCACTGCCGGCGTCATTGAAGCATGAATGATGCTGCTACTAGAATAGTCTCACTGCGTGGCCGCAATGCGCGTATAATTCGACCCTTTGTTCGGTCACGAGTGATCGGATTGCGGACAGTGGCTTGGAAATCAGCTAACTCGGAGTGAACGTACCCACAGTGGTCAAATAGGAGGTACGAATGGCTTTGTACGCGAATGGAAGTGATCGTTCATGCCTGAGACGTCATTGTTTTCGCGCAGCAAAAAGTCTGATGTAAATCTTGACCTATTATCATCGATGTCTTTCCTTTGAATCACTCATGGTTTCAGCCGTATATTCGAAGGCTTTGTTTCAGAGTTTCCGTGTTAATTCATTATCCTATGCCTTCAATGTGGGTTCCATCGTACCTGTCTGCGGATATCACCTTTCTCCGATCACCGTTGCTTGCCGCTTTTACTTGATGCATGGAACATGGACTCCGTCAGTTGGCGGAGACACGTTCTGGAGCACGCTGCATCAATATGCGGTGAGTAACACATCACAAGGAGAACGGTCGACCGGAAGGTTCGTGATTTCTTTGAGGGCAGATGATACTGTCATTCTTCCCGATTCGTCGTGAACGCGGGACTTTCTCAAAGGACACAATGTGAAAGGAACTTTGCCGGTATCCTGATGGATGATAGCGACGATGGATCCTTTCTGTCGGCTACTGGAGTGCCTCTTGTTCGGGAGCCTATAGACAATGAACCTTGATTGTGTATGAGTTCTTGGCTGAGCTTGTCAGTTTCCCGGCTCAATTGCTGTCAAAGTAGTCAATTGAAGAGTAGCGTCCTCATCGGTCGGTGGCAATTCTTCTAGCCAGGAGCCTGAACATCTGATCGGCATTGCCAGGACGTTTGTCACGTCCACTCCGCACGGATTTACAATTTCATTCTGAATGATGACTTGCCGGCGGCGGCTGCGGAGCATGAATGACGCTGCTAGAATAGTCTCACTGCATGCGCTTCGACCCTTCGTTCGTTCACTGGTCACAGGCCCCCCGTGAACTAGCGAACAACAGAATCAATCAAGTCAGACTGAACGTAGCTATAGTAGTCAAGCGAACTCGATTCCATTGCTGCTGTTCTCGGAGATCACGTTTCACCGATGCCCGGCGGATATGTTCTGGAGCATCCAGGTCAGTTGCGACATCACAAGGCCCACGATCGATCGGGATCTTCGCGGTTCTGGTGACCTATGCTGGTTGAGTTTGAACTTGACCACTTTTGGACCTGGCTGCCCTTCGCGCTCATCGCCCTCACCACCCACCGAGCTCAACGACAGGTACATGAATTGTACTGTACAATGTCGCGCACATCATGCCGAACCGAGCAAACGCTTAAAGTTTAAGTGGCAATCGAGCATAATTTTGGGTACGAAGATAGGTCTCACCTTGAGGCTTATTATACCTCGAACAGTCGAGCTCATCGTCGCCGACGATGACAGGGCTGTACTCTGACTGATCTTGATATGCTATCGTGAGAATCATTATGTAATCAGCGCTCAGCCAACATAAAAACATCAAATGCTGCGTTCAATTAGAGTACCGCATCAGTTATCATTAATTTTGGGAGGCGCCGTTAACTGCACTATCATGTGGTCAATGTCACCTCAACTTTAAATCTGCCCTTTTGCATCCCATCTAAAATGTGCGCAGTATTTGATATTCCTCTGGGCAAGTGACTGACCCATTCTGGGAGTGGACGAAGGTCAAACTGCACTCAAGATCAGACGGAATCCCTGCAGGCTGCTGCCACCGATTGTTCTCCGAGCCTGACGTGGCAAAGTCGTACCGAGGAATACGAAGCTTGAAGTCGAACGTTCCTGATCGGACCGAAATTGTATATGCTATACAATCGTTCCTTCTGCCATCCAGAAAAGTCCTCGTCTTTGCAGTATCCTGACTATCCCCATCTGCCTACCCTCGCTAGACAAGGATGGCTCCTCTAGTAGTATTAAGCCCTATTCGGGATCGCACAGGATGGAGTAGGAAAATAAATTAAACAGCAGCGTTCTTTCCTCAGTCGGAGACGGAGCTGACCCGATGACTCTTGGCTTCTGCAGCGACACTCGTAAAGGTCATCACGATGGCATTCCGTTGGTCTGGTTCGGTCAAGCCGTCATTGTGCAAGAGCCGGCTGTGGAGAACAGGGTGGAACACACGTATGCTGAAACGATGACTTCGAGCATCCATGCATACGTCTCTGGCAGCATGGCAGCTCATGGTTGCTCCCCGCCTCGTGTTTTCAGGGTCCTTCTGATGCGTCAAAGCAGGTTTTCATGCTCTTTATGACAAAACTTATGTTTTTGCGCCCAGGCGGCGACACTGCTAGCTACAAAAGCCTCGGTGAGACAGCTCTGTACTCCTTACCCATCTCGTTCAGGTCTACTCCAGCTCAGCTCTAACTTCAACATGGCCACTCTTGAAGACCACCAGAAGTTCGTCCGCAACGTCAAGCTCGCCATCCCGCCTCCGCCGGCCTCGACTGGCGTGGGGCACGGCGGAGCGGCCGCTGCTGCTGCTGCAGATGAAGACACGGCTGCAGTTGTCGACAGCTCCGCGATCTCGTTCGTCGGCAACCTGTCCGGACAGCAGAAGGTGAGTTGGCTGCTGCGCGCAATGTTCTCCGACGAACTGAGATTGAAAAAACTCATCCTGCGCAGTCCGATGTGATGAACTCGTCGCTGTTCGCACAGTGGGCGGCGAACGCGCAGTACGACCGTAACAAGAAGGACCAGGCCATCAAGTGGTACGAAGTGTACAGGAACACGCTCGAGAACGTCGGCTGGATTGTTCAGAGCTTCAGGTACAGGGCCTGCGCACTTGGACGGCAGATGAGACGACGCTGACGTTCTTTCTGCTGCCAGTTTCATCGATCTCGCCAATGCGAGCAGCTATGGCACGGTCGACAAGGCGATCATCTCGATCATGCAGGCGTTCCTCACTCCGACGCTCGTCGAGGCGTTCCAGGCGATGATCGATGCCCTCAAGCGTCCCGACACTGAGGGCGCGTACACGCTGTTCAAGTCGCACTCCTGGGAGGACACCAGAGCCGACTTCCAGTCGGGCGTGTGTGTGTACGTCCCGGTTTCAGCATTCTACCCGGTGCATTTTTCCTGACTCCGGCGTTCCGTTCTGCAGCCGCGATGTTGGCTCGAACGTGATGTGGCGCATTGGGGCCTACAACTACGAGACTTCCGGATTTGACGGAGACATCCTCTTCTTCCACTTCGGTGCCGACTCGGTTGCGTTCCAGTACAGTATGTCTCGCCTTTGAGCGCGCTTTCTGCTGCTGACTTCATGGTCGTTTGTCTTCTAGACACTCAGGACATGGTGCTTAACGAAGAGATATACGCGAAGGTGAGGCAGGACATCGTCGACAGGCTTGGCGACCACGCGCAGGACTTTGTCAAGAACGTCCCTCTCAAGCCGCCCACTCGCAAGTGGTAAGTATCTATAAGTATCATCGTGAAATATCATTCACCAAATGATAGAACAGATCTTCCAGAGTTACTGGCCCTGCGAGTTTCTCTTGTCGTTGTCCAATGTATAACATGATCTTGCCTGTGTGACCGGTTCTGTACAAGTGTCATGAAAACGGAAATAAATATACATTTGTTGTGACGTAAACGTCTTCACGCCTCAGGCCGCGTGCAGTGTGTGCCGTTTAAGCAGCATGAGGAGCTAGGTACCCGACTTACGCGAGCAGCATTGCATCAAGTCACTGATTGATTCACATTATTCCGACCATTTCAATGCATGATCAACTGAACCTGTCCAGGTTAACCGAATAGACTATTGTATTAGATAGACGCGTTGCAACGTTCTCTGAATCTTCCCTGCCTCAGCATTGACAAGGTAATAACACGAATAGACCTTTGCACTCCAAATCCGTTTTGACATCGGTGGGATAAAGATTAGATATGACAGCTGTATTCAAAGTGATCATGAGATGCTTGCTAATGCCTCCAAGCGGCGGAGATATTATTCTTGAAACGCAAGATGAATATTACGACTACAGAATCCCTAACCTTACAGTAGCGATAGTCGTTCAGTGACTGAGCAAGCAGAATACTCCCTCCGTGCTAGCTCTTCTGAAATGTCGACTTACGCAATCTTTGACTCATTCCTGTAACCGAATGAGCCTGGTCTTCGACGCAGCTAACGTGTTAATACGTGTTCGTAAATCTACGTTTTGCTGTGTTATGAAAGTCAGGTCATGAGCAAAACTTTGCGTATTCGAAGTGGGAAAGGCTCCCTCGTGCTGCGTCCCACCATCGACGTCTTCCACACCAAACCCCAGAAAACGACCATGTGGACCGTGGCGCCCTCTAATGCGAGCAAGGAGCTTGCAAAACACAGCCTGGGGTGGTGTGCTCATGCCGGGTCCATGATCCCGCTTGTCATCGTAGGTGCTGAGGTCACATTGCCCAGATTGATGCACACTGTGGACAAGCCACACGGTGGATGACAATTTTGGATCAATGAATATATGCGTGATACGAACCAACGATGGGATCCGATGAATTAAAGCTGGTCATGGTCCAGAATTCCCACCATCCAGGGAATTGGGTTACTCTGCCGTGTACATCGACTCACTGCGAATGCGGACGGAGGTATGAAAGGCATGGAGCCCACGTCACCTTGGAGCAAGGTTTGGTCAGGAGGCGGATGGAAGCATACCACGCTTTCATCAACCGGGGTGCTCTGACCGAGGTAGCTGGTCATCACGATTCGCGGTGCTTTCGAAAGGATGACATGCGCCTCCATTCATGCGTCAGGTACTGTCTATGCTTTCAATGGAATTGCTGGCAGGTGGACCGGGTAAATCAGCGAGGCACAACAGCAGAATATGCCTGTTGTTGACACGGAAAGCGCTTGAATGAATATGAATAGAGTGTTCTCCGGCCCAAACTTGACAAGCTACGTTCATTCTACCGTCGCAGTTAGGCATTGTCTGATCACGCATAACGCATGCGGCCAGGGCTACCTAATAGTAGCCTGGCATCAGATGACACACTAGTGGCCTTGAGATCCCCTTTCCTGGGTTGTGGGCGTTCCGCAAAGCGAAGAGACAAGATCCAGAACGTTGGTACTATGGAGGATCTTGGAAGTGCATAGTAAGGTTTGTCAACGCGGTCTTTTTGCTATGAGCTCGACGGCGTTGGCTGAAAAGAGCACTGCTCGCCTCTGAGTTATTAACGGAAGGTAACAAGATTGGATCCGTCTAGTTTCACGGTGCCATTGTCGACGAAGCACCTGTTATGTGGAGAGATGAGCTCGCCGCTCGTATAGGGCAATGTGTACCGAAAGGCAAATGCATGCCACGAACGAAGCTTCCCTTGCTGAATTGTCGACGTCGCGTGCTTGTCGAAGGTGGCCGAGGCACATTTCGATGGAGAACAGACGCCGGAGATCTGACCGACGGGATGTGCGTCTATTGGCCCTGGCTTTAGGTTACCGAACTGATGTTCTGGAGCCCATTCATGCGAGGCGAACGTGCCAGTACAATACCAAACCAGCGGATACGACTAACGCCTGTATATGCGAAAGTTCTCCGTCTATCGCTTCCGATGTCAGGTACAAGACAAAAACTACAAACATGTCAAAGAATCCCGCCGGTTGGTAATATCAAAATGATGGTGAGGACCGGAGTAACTTGTCAACGTCGTTCCAAGCACGGCATCACATCTGTTCTCTAATCTTCGATGCTTGGATTCCGACGAATTTAGAAAATGTGAAGGAACCGCAAAAATCACATCCGATGGAGTGTCGGAGGGCTTAGTACTGCGGCTTCCATTGACTGCCCGTTTTTGAGCAGATGGAAACTTAGTGCAGTGTACGGCCCTGAGACTCGCATAATTCAGGCTACAAGTTGTCACCTGTGGTAGCCAGCTCAATGTATTACCATTCATGAAATCAGGTGCAAGTCGTAGTGCATCCTTGCTTCATTAGGTCCATCTCCAATTTGAACCTGAGCAAGCGGCAGAAATTCACGCACCGCGTGGCCGGGGAGTCTACAAAAGCCTGCATGGGATGAGGAGTGGGGAAACACCCTCCCATTGACTGCCTTACCGAAGCACATTCGTCATGAGCACTGTCAACGAAAGCGTGAACTTCGTCCGTAATGTCAAGCTCGCCATTCCACCGCCTCCTCCTCCATCTGCTCGGGCAGAAGGAGCTGCGGGCGGTGCTTCCGTCGCCGCCGCCGATGAAGATACGGCAGCGGTTGTCGATAGCTCCGTGATCTCCTTTGTCGGAAACCTCTCTGGACAGCAGAAGGTGAGTACAATGACACACGAACTTTCGCTGCGGGAATAGACGTCCTCATATCTATGCCCCCACCGTGTCCAGTCCGACGTGATGAACTCCTCGCTGTTCGCGCAGTGGGCGGCAAACGCGCAATACGATCGCAACCAAAAGGACCAGGCCATGAAGTGGTACGGCGTGTACAAGACCACTCTCGAGAACGTGGGATGGATAGTCCAAAACTTCAGGTCTGCGAATTCTATGAGCTTTTCGTTCCACAAAAAGGCTGACCCACCTTCCGCCACCAGCTTCGTCGACCTTTCCAACGCCAGCGGTCATGACAGTGTCGACAAGGCCGTGCTTTTCGTCATGGAGGCATTCCTCGGCTCGTCTGCCATGGAAGCTTTCAAGGCTATGATCGATGCTTTGAAGAGACCCGACACTGAAGGTGCCTACACTCTGTTCAAATCCCACTCCTGGGAGAACACCAGAGCGGATTTCCAGTCGGGCGTGTGCCAGTGCGTGTTTGATGTTTACCTTACTCTCTGCCCGACCTGACACCTTTCGTGTCCTTTCCTGCGCGGTGTCTAGGGTTGACCAGGGCAAGAACGCAATGTGGCGTATCGGATGTTACGATTACGAGACGTCTGGTTTCGACGGAGATGTCCTCTTCTACAAGTTCGGGTCTGACTCTGTGGCCTTCCAATACAGTGCGACTGCACCAATGCGTTCGTGGTTGTCCCTCCACTAACGCTGAGACATCCATGCCAGGTACCCAGGACATGATCCTGAATGAAGAGGTGTACGCGATGGTTAGGAATGAGATCATAGAGAGGCTTGGGGATCATGCCCAGGACTTTGTCAAGAACGTCCCTCTCAAGCCTCCTACTCGCCGTTCTTGGTGAAGCAATTCGTTCTTCGATCAAATCATTGCGATCAACTTACCGCTGAATAAAACAGATGCGCTAGCGCTTGTGCTCTACTCGGTCATAACTGTGGAACGTATCAGAGTTTGCGAGCTATACGCATCCTGAAGTTGTTAGTATGGAAATGTATGATGTGTTATGGCAGCGTATCCTCATGAGGTGCCATGAGACCCGTTCCACAGCCGCATTGAATGGAAATGCCTGTGCTATCGCTGCCCCGAGAATAAAGACTTCAACTTGACTGTTAGTACCAACTACGAACCTGCGCAATTTTTCCTCTGAACACTAGCGCATGGAAGCACGCCACTCAAGTCCTTTTCCTTCGTTCCGTTTCCCTGGTATAGTTTTCTTTCCTCGCTAATCCATGCTTTGTGGGCACGTTGAGTCAGTCCATCAGTACGGTCTAGAAACGTTCTCTTCCGACGAGGACACATTCACTCACGTGGCTGACATGACTGGGTTGTTCTCTTCCTGTGAAATGAGAAAGGCTAAATGGTAGTAGTCGTACATTCTGGTGAACTGTCAGCGAATGGTTTAAATGTCACGTATCAGTGACTCTGACGATAAACAGCGCTCGAGCAAATTATACTAAGCGCCCGAATATTGCCCGACCGTGACGTGATCGTTGAGAGGCTACCGCGACGCGCGACTGACCAACCACTGTTCGAAATTGCACAGTATGTACTGCCAGTGACTATGCTTGCAACTCCGAGAAGCTTCGAGTTAAGCAATGGACTAGTGATCCATGACGCTTCATACCGGCAATAAGTAAGTGTGGGGAGTGCTACGGTTGATCTCAGTGAATTTGTCGTTCCAATTTATCTACAAGTACGTGAATCCCGGGCCCCTCTACCTCTTCAAGTGTTGAAATGGGTTGCTAGATTTAACTCATGACATGATTGTAGAAACGGCTGGACATGCACTTGAGCAACACCAACAAATGCGAGGAATATAAGAATTGAATCACAAGCTGTAACGAGAAACATGGCGAGTACAAGTCCCATTGGAAGCGGTGACTATACGACTTAGAACGACTCATTGTGAGATGCTAGGCAACTGTCAAGGGTGATAGTCAGCCTCATTATTGCGAGATGCTTGCGCATTTGTCTCGATAATCCTGTGGCCGTACGTGAAGACGATCTGACGTTTTAAATCATCTAGACCAAGGCTGATGACTGGACTTACCGCTGCAGAAGTTATAAGAACTGAGACCGTTCCCAACCGCCCATATCTGGATTGTCATTCAAATATGACCCTCCATTTTCAGACGTTCAGGTCATGACTATTCAGCGTGGCGAGGTCAATACTGTTCAAAGGTCGTAATCGCTCACCCCGGAGACATTTACCCGATATATCCAAATCCACGCTTTTCGTTGCAAAGCTTCGCGCAGTTAACGTGAGTAGTACCACAGTCCTTGTTATGGGACGTCATTCTACTGAACTTTCGTCTTCTTAGTATCGTAGCAACTCCAGAAAGCTGCTGAGATGAAAGTCCCCGCATGATGAGAACCCATCTTTGATCTGGTCAGTGGTGTCGGCCGCATGCATCTATCTCCCTAAAATGTGCAGTCATCAGCACCGCGTTAAGCATCCTTTGACCACGCATTGGTGAGTGCCTGAAACTACAGGATTTGTCGAATCCTGCACACTCAATGTCGGAATGAGTCTCTTGCAGACTTCCCTCCTCCTCAGCATCGTCCTCGACGTCGAGCTCGTTCATCAGCTCGGTCACGCAGATCGTTACGTAACGTGCTAGCTCACAGTCGGTCATACAATCCGTTTATTTAGAACAGATCTGTAATCGAAGTTCTGTCGGCAGCCACATGTAAGTCCAACATTGGTTGAGATTTCGTCACGGGACGGAGACCCTCAGGACCCAGATGATGAGCCAGACTCATGTCATGTATTCCTACTGGCAGCAGCCACAGGCCAATACGTGAGTTGAGCGTTCGGATGCGCGTTACAGACCACCAACGTTTCTTAAGCATGCCCTATATCTCGAGGTATCAAGCGCAAAAGCAAGCGTTAGCTGGCGCCATGTGAGTCGCACCTGAGGGTACCCAGGCTGCCTGGTGCGCGTTTTCGTCATATCACATCATTCCTACATCTCACCGGAGCGCATCAGGCCAGGCGACAACCAATACCAATGCGCGCAAGGCTACAGCTGCCCGAAACCATCTCTGTCCATCGACCCCTACTTGCCTTCCGGAAACAGGTACTTCGACATCGGCGCCGGCGGACCAGTTCCATTCAATTTCACGGCGACCAGCAACGTCACTTGGGTGACAATGTCGCCCGCGGCAGGCTACATATCGCCTGACGCGCCCGAGCAGCGGATCTTCGCCACCGTCGACTGGCGAGCACGGAAACCGCATTGATCACATTCGAGGCCTATCCGCAGGGCCAGCCGTCGATGTCTCTTACGGCGACGCTGACCGCGAATTACACGCAGGTGCCGAATAATTTCACAGGTATGTACAACCAGTCTGGTCACGCTAGATTGCGTTGATTTGCACCACGTAGGCTTCATTGAGGGCGATGGGTGCGTCTCGATCGAGGCTGCGCGCCCTTCAAGGAATACTACGGTCGAAGGCATTGCGTGGACCAATCTCCCGGGCTACGGCCGGATGCTCTCCGGCGTCACCCCGTGGCCTCGCGGTGGCGACGAGCTCAACTTCACAGTCGGCACCGGTCCCAGCATGTGAGCGTTCGTTGGTTTCCAGTTCGAGATCCGCATACTTACACCGGTCTAGTGAGTACGACTTTTACACTTTCAACACCTATCAGGATAGCGGCAACGTCTCCATCACGACCTACGTCTCGCCGTTACAGAACTCGCATGGGCCGACCCGGCCCCTTGCTATCGGCATCCAGGTCGACTCGTGCGAGCCACAACTGAGCTACTTCGTGCCAGTTGTAACGCCGGGGACATAGCCTGTTGCGTGGAACGGACTTGATGGCTGGGTGGCGACGAACGTCAACTTGATTTACATGAACTTCACTGCTGGACCGGGCGCCCACACGTTAACAGTAAGCACAAAACAGTGTGATCATAAACATCGGTGTATTAAAAATTGAACAGCTCTGGATGATTGAGCCTACTGTCGTCGTGCAGAAGATTGTTATCGGTATGTCACCATCTCTGAATTCTATGAAGTGCACATCTTGAATCCCGCATTGCAGACACAGGCGGTGTACAACCGAGCTACCTCGGGCCACCTGAAAGTATACGCATCCTGCAGTAGTCACTACTCGAACGTAGCGTACGCTAACTGTTGTATGTACAACTGGTGCAAACACGAAGATGTCCCAATAACCTGCGAGACATCGATTGTGAGGAGAATTGTGCACGTTCAAGCGAATAAATTACATGGCAGAGCGTGGTGACCTCTTTCAGGCTGTGGAATGAGTCGGGTATGTATTTACAAGTCACGATGGGGTATACTTTGAGAACAAATCACAACGCCGGCTCCTCGCCTACGACGAACATATGCAAGTTTCGCAGAGCTTCTCTCTGCCCCTGGGTCAAAGCGGACGACAGCACCGCGACGCCCATGTTCCTCCTGGTTGCCGAATGAGCAGCATGGTTGCCCTGTCGGCGGACGCTGCCACTCCCACTGTCAAATAGCACGTCCAAAGTATTCTTGTCCAGCACTGCCTTGTCCGTGTCAGACAGGCACGCATGTATAGTGTCCACAATATTGCTCCGCCACACGTCAATGTCAGTGTGATACTGCCGTGGCTGTAGCTCAGCCAGCTGGAACCCATAGCGCTCTGCGATAAGCTGACGCGCCTCGTCGAATATTGCCCGGTTCGCAAGCAATTTGATTGTCTTGTCATGCTATAGATGGTGAGAACAGTCATGAATTAGCAACACACGCTGAATGTTGAGAGAGAGGTCAAAAGCTCACAGCGGTGACCTCCACGTGAAGGTCGGCAATGGTTTGACGAAACTCAGCGTTCGTTTGACGAAGCTCAGCGTTCGTTTGACAAAGCTCAGCGTTCCTTTGACGAAGCTCAGTGTTCGTTTGACGAAGCTCAGCATTCGTTTTGTTCGTTTGACGAAGCTCAGCATTCGTGATAGCTTGTTCTGCTGCAAGCTTCTCAAACTTGGCATTGAGTGCAGTGAGTCCTCCATCATGGATGCTCCTGCTTTCACTGGTGGAAGGTGCTGGAATGGGGTGCTTGTGTGGAGCTTGATGCAACAGATGTGAGCATGTGGCACACAGACACAGGGGAAAATGGCACACCTGCAGGCCTATGCTTAGTCTTTCTACATTCAGCATCCATCGAGGCAATGAGGGCACAGCCATTGGCTGCTGCTGTAGCATCAACAAGGCTTTTGAAGTGAGCCTTATCAACGGGGTTGACGACAGCGAGGTACTTCAGGTTATCGCTTTGAGCATCAATAGTAGTGTCAACTTCTGTCGGATCGAAGGCTGCTTGAGGCATATCAGAATGAGGGATGACGGTGGGAGGTGGAGACCCACATATATAGAAAATGACATCAGGGTCCTCCGGGAGAGCCAGCTCCGCATCCGGAGCGAAGACAATGTCGGTGAGTTTCTTGGCCACGTTGGTACGCTTGGGGGTGACCGTGGGACCATACCGGTTCAACGTTTCGGCATTGATGACCTCGCCTTGTGGTAACCAGATGCTCTCTCTCACGGTCATCATGTGAGTCCCGAGGAGCCAAGGCATCTCCGCCTTGTCATCGTATGTATTGGCCTGAGTTTTTTTCTTCTTGCCTTTGGGCATGGTGGATGCGTAAGAGCTCAGGGGCACGAGAAGTGGGTATCAACGAGTGCAACGTGACATCAGTACTACGCACTTTCGGATTACATAAGCATTTTCATCTCCGAAACGCGCCGATTAGATTTCAGACGACACGCCGGTGGCTGAGATATCCAGTCGACTACCTTCTCCCTTTTAGGTCCCGCATCGCTATCGCGTATACACAGCCTGCACAGATTTATTTTTCCACGGGAAACCTGATGGAAAAATGGTGAAAATATCTTAAGTCTGGATATGGAAATAGTTTGGAAATTGGGTGGAGACAATTGAATTATGTTACAATTGCTTCACCGAAACATATCAGTATCACATATTTTTGGACTGAAATATCTTCCTTTGGGAAATAGTTTCACTATTGCTGATATGTTTCAGTAAAACAATCGTAACATAATTTAATTGTCTCCGCCCAATTTCCAAACTATTTCCATATCCAGACATAAGATATTTTCACCATTTTTGCATCAGGTTTCCCGTGGAAAAATAAATCTATGCAGACTGTGTATAATAGCCCAGGTTAGCCGGTGGACTCTGGCTTGGTCTATGGTGTTTTAAGAGACCGCCTCGATTGCTGAATGTGGACAGATGCATGCATGGTGCGTGAAGCGGAAGCTAAGCAGGTGAAGAAAATACTTTGAGATGTCCGTTGATACTATTATACACAAGATCCGGATGCATGTAGAGAAAGATGCGGATGACTGCAGACAGAATAGTAGATCCATCGAGGATTATGGAGTCTAACGCAGAGAGATGAACGAGAGATGGCGGATGAAGAAATCGTGAGGCATAACAGTTATGAGTGAGAATGAATGGGCGTAGTAAAGGACTGCCTACGTCGTGAGAGGCATTAACGAAATGATAGCCTACGGCACCATCTCTGATGAGGACGTGTGAGAACGGCTAGCTAGAATCAGAGCAAGACAGACTCACAAAATATTTCTAACTCGAAAGTCCAATATCGAACGTCAGGAGACACACTTGTCAGCAACACTTGCCGTTGGTGCCTGGTAGTCGTAGCTTGATATTGCCCCTCCTTCGCGATCCACTCAAGCTTCCAAAGCTAAGCCGACTCGAACTATTGACTCTCCGCAGTGCTCGGTCACCGTAGCTGACGCCGCTTCCAGCCTTCTCTGGATCGAGGATACCAGACTCTATCGCGAGCAGTATCGACCGTGCACAGAGGAGGAACGGAGCCTCGACGTTGTCGCCTGATAGCGACGATGCTTCTAGGAAGTGCAGATCTGCGACAGTGTCGTAAGTCATACATTCTGGCGACGTTGCACAAACGGCCGGCGCACCATTTTCGGCCGCCCATTTGCTTGCCTCTTCCCAGTCCACCTCTCGGTCTTCTTCTCTATCCGACTTGTTTCCAACTAGCACTGTGACGAGATGCGGGCTGGCAAGAGTACGTGCATCCGCAAGCCATTGGGACAGGTTCACGAATGAAGCACGGCTAGAGACGTTGGTCGGCGTGTATAGCTTTAGCATCAGCGTGTGCGCACACCTAGTGATATCGTATACAAGAATGGCTCCAGCAGCTCCTCGGTAGTAACTTCTGGTTACTGACCTAAGATGCAGTCGTTGTAAGCGAGTCACAAGAACGATGAGCGTGGAGGATGGAAGCCGGACCTAAATCTCTCCTGTCCTGCAGTGTCCCACAGCTACCGGCCAGCTATTGACCAGTATACCACAAAGTAAGTATCAATGCGCACCTGCAGCTTTATGCGCTTCTCCCCCAGCTTGACGGTCCGACTTGAAAACTCCACCCCGATCGTGTGCGCCGAGTGCTCTTTGACTATAGAGACGGCGTCAATATGGTCCGCAGGCGGGAAACCGCGCACGTACAGGCGTTGTGGGTGAACTGATGCAGCAGACAGGATTTTCCTGTCCCAGCCTCTCCTGCGTTGCACCTTGAGCATCGACAGAAGATCCGACGATATCGAAAGTCGCACCGATGATGATATACTTCATGAGGAAGTCTTGAGCATCTCGTGAGTGGTGTACCTCACGTTCTCAAAAAGCCCAGACGCACCATAGGTCTCCATAAGCTCCGTGGCGCCTGCATCGTAGTCGTCAACAGGCATGGTGAGCAAAATGGTATGGGATCGGAAGCGGTCAAGAGAAGGAAGTATATTGGAACCGAACTCGAAGTGCTGCAGTTACCCGACATGAAAACCGCCGGCGCTGCTTGTCGCGGTACACGTGCTCCAGCTCGCTCGGACTCGCCGTGGGCCCAGCTCGTCCTCCTTCCTCCGGACCTGCCACTGCCACCACTATTTTTTTCCTGACTCTCGTGCCCTTCTTCACAGCAGCGCGTATCTGCGCGCGATGGCCTCTTGTTATATCGTACGGCACGACTAACAGACTCTCCCGTACTCATTACTGGTGGTATACACAAGGGTACGCTTGGGTATTTTATACATACAGCAACGCGTCAGAAGTGGTTCACCACCCCTTCCACGGCACCCACACATCCTCCACAATATCCCCCCGACTTGGCATGGACGAATCGACGACATAATACCAAGGATACGCGGCCAAAATCAGGCACGCATGCTGTCCGACAATCTGGACCATCTCTCCCACTCTGAGCCTGTCGACTGCATCCGCTCCAGTGAGCTCCGATCTTCGTTGCGTTAGCACTCCGTGTTCCTGAGATATACGGCTAAGCCTCCACGGCCTTGTCACGACCTGTCCGAAGCCCTCCTGTGGCCCGGTATCTTTGCTCATTGCGATAGCTCCTGCGTCGCACAGAGCTTCATCTGAGCCCCCGTCCCCTCGGCCAGGGTAGTAGGAGATTACGGTCGTCAACACGCGCTGTGCGACACGATTCATTTCCACCAAACCTGTGTGCAACTGCTGCAGGTCCAGGAGGGGGTAATTTCCTGCAAGCACGTTATCCTGCGTCCTCGTCTCAACCATTGGTATGAACTTGCCTGCATGGATCTCAAGTCTGCCGTTGAGGTGAGCTTCCAATTGCTGGCGGGTCTCAGCTGTGGCGGCGTGGGCTGTGGGTGTCGAGCCGATCGCGAGAACGAAAGGCTCATGATGAGATCGTGCTCTAGGTATGGTTGTCATAACGGACAAAGCCAGTCCTGCTGCTGTATTGACTGCGTTCAGCTCCTCTGACAGGTAGAACGCGGCTTCAGGCATGGATGTCGATCTGTAAGAGTGGCCGCCATGTGTATAGAAACCATACAGAGAGATCACCGGCGACTCGAAGACAGTCTGCAGCAGGTGTCCAAAAAGCGGTGAACGCGGGTCGAGTCCTGCTCGCCTGCATAATGCGTTGTAATAGTGTCCCCTTTGATTCACTTTATTCATACTCACTTCTGTCCACAGTCGATTTTGATGAACACCGACCACCTGCGAGGATTTGTCCTCGATCTCTCAAAGGCCTCCAGGAACTTCACTTGCGCTGGATTATCAATTAGGATCCGTAGATTTGCGTCGAACGCCGCGATCTCTTCCCACAGAGAAGAAAGGTCCTGCACCTTGTTCAAGGCCACCGGAAGGCCATAAAGTATCTGCACTCGATGAGAGGTTGAGGTCACTGCCAGTTGTGTTTCAAGTACACCATATTGAAGCTTACGTCTTTGACCGTCCCATCGGCGACCAATCCATCTCGTATAACCTCGCAAGCCTCCATCACCGTGGACACGACAATCGCGTGCGTCTGCCCTGCATCTGAAACGAGCTGCAATCGTATGCCTTCTGACGTCTATCGGCTACGATCAGTACCGGCTCGAGCATCTGCTATTGCATCCTGACCTTGTGGGATTTGACGTGCGCCCTGAAACTCGCGCCCCATTGCTTTGCGTTTTCGTGCATGAGTGCACAATTTTTAGCAAAAAGTGCTCGGTCTATGACCACCGCGGGTGTCCTGATCGCATTCAGAGCCTTGCCTCTGTATTCATCGACCAGCTCTTGCTTCTCCGGCTTCGCACTGATATGAAACGGGGTTTTGGTTTGGATGGTTAGTCCCGACATGGTGGTTGGCAGTAAACTTCCGCAGGTGACGCAGTCCCCCTTGCGAGTGGTCGTTGTTAGACACGACGCCCTCCACTTCACGCTGTGATATCGATTCCAAGGATGACACGTGATCATGCCGTCCTGCTCGTGTGCTCCTGCCGTTCTTGAGGCCGGTCCGTGTGCTGTCCTCGAGGCCGTGACCGAGCGTTAACCTTACCATGGTGCGCTTCTCTTTCCTGTTTCGCAGTATCATGCCCGTTCCATTGTCATGCTGTAGATAACGCGCAATTATAGTTTCACGGCCGATATAAGTATCGAATTGCCGGAGTTTATCATCCCCATCACCCCCCCCCCCCCACAATGGCTGCACTCGAACGACAAATTCATCAACCGATCCACCCTGATGTGCTGTTGAAACTTGATCCAGAGTATGTCGAGTTCCACAACAAGACTGCTCTGTATCAGGTTCCGCTTCATCTCCAGCCTTGGAACCCTGCAGTCCGTACGAATGCGCCGGTTGCTGGTGCTTCCGAGCCCTTGAAAGTCGGCAGCATAAAAGACCTGTCGTTAAGCAAATGCGCGATGCGCGTCTTCACTCCTGAGGGTTCGGCGCCGTTGTCAGGATGGCCTGTTCTCCTGTACTTCCATGGAGGCAAGAGGACTGCTGTTCGCATGCTGATCGTACGTTCTGAGCCATCGATGTAGGTGGATGGACGCTAGGCAACATCGACACCGAGAGCGCGTTCTGCACCAACATGTGCAAGCGTAAGCAAATTGCATTGAACCATGCTTGTAATGATGTCGAGTATTTGTTGTCTTGCAGGGGCCAACTGTATAGTCATCTCGGTCGACTATCGATTAGGGCCGGAGGATCCGTATCCTGCCGCCGTCGAAGATGCGGAAGAGGCACTGTATTGGGTTGCTCGAAACGGCAAAGAGCAGCTTAACGTCGACCCCAACAAGTTAGCCGTTGGAGGATCCTCTAGGTGCGTTCCTTTTTCGATCCTTGACATTCAACCCTCACGAGACCTGCAGTGGAGGAAACCTTGCCGCAGTCGTCGCTTTGAAAGCTGCTGCCGCGGAGCCGCCGATTCCATTGGTCCTTCAATTCTTGTCGGTGCCGGCGGTGGACAACACGGCGACAACTTCTGGCGAACCATACAAATCGTGGTCGGAGAACGCCAATACTGTCCAGCTTTCTCCAGGGCGGATGTTGTGGTTCCGCGACAACTACTTACCGAACGAGAAGGACAGACTAGCATGGGACGCTTCCCCTATATTCGCACCCGAAGAGCTGGTCAAGAAAGTAACAAAGGCGTGGATCGCTGTAATGGAGCTGGACATCCTCAGGGATGAGGGCATTGCATATGCTGAGAAGCTGAAGAAAGCTGGAGTTGAAGGCGAAGTCAAGATGTACAAGGGCGCACCTCACCCTATCTTGGCCATGGATGGTATGTTGCAATACTCATCCTAGGAGCGCGTCGCTCACGTTGAACGATGAATCTCTAAACGATCCTTTGGATATGCAGGGTTAGTTGTTAGTCATCTCACCCTTACGTTGGCTGATCGACGACTTCACGCCACTAGCGTTTTGACGATTGCCAGGACGTTTTTCTCTGATGCAGTCCAGGTGTTGACAGAAGCATTCAAGACCAATTAATGACCAAGACAAGGCGGATAGGTCTCATCGTGCGACATTGTAAACCTTTATCACGATCTAGGATACCGAAATGTAAAGTACTAGGATGTGACTGAGACCTTACCTGAATGTACTTCGGATTTACGCGTGCGAAGTTGTGTGGAAGGCAACCTTGAAGAGCGTGAATCCTTGAATTTGAGACACGAGGTCCTATGCTGTGAGCCCTGCAATTGCTAACGTCGCATAGCATCCCAAAGGCTTCGAATGTCTTCATTTGTGCGGCGCACTTCGCGAGGTGCTTGCGGTATCAGCAGTCTCTCCCTGACCCTAATGTCACTGTGAAGCTTCGCATATGCTATCAGAGACGTCACCTGCGCAACACAGGATAACGCGAATTGAAGCCGCATCCGGCAGAGTAATAACTCATCCGCTTCATCGAGCAGAAACCAAATAGTGCGAGATGTCAGGGCCTGATCGACGTGCCCGGCAAAGTCGAGTGCTTCCGTATTCTATCACAAAAAGACTAGGTTGAGAGCAATGATTGACGTATTTCATTGAGCAAACGTCAGTGATAAACCTGCCTCAATTGTTGTAATTCCACGGAATATCCATGAGCGATGAGAAGCGAAGTTGACATCTGCATAGTATGTCATTCTTAGAGCGTCATCACGGTAACAAGAATCGAAACAGCACAGATATACATAGAATCTCGTAGGCTCCTGTGTCACAAACGAGATATTCAGCATCAGAACCATACAACAACCTTAGCCTCTCTTGTTAGAAGATATCACTGGTGTGCTTGCATAATCGCGTCCGAGATGAAGGCGGCCGAGACTTGATTGCCGCCGAACCAACGACCATTCAGGCCTTGCACAGCTTTCTTGGCCGACTCGACTGAGTCAAACTTGACATAAATCTCTCCCTGAAGAGCCATTAGTGTCGAACAATTTATAAATATTTGCACAAGTACCTGCGACTCTTTCTCCACCTTGATAAATTCGACTTTGCCGTACTTTTCCTCGCATTCGCCCTTGACATCCTCGGCAAGCTCCTTGTCCCAATCACGCTCGGTTTCACTGTGCCCAGATGTTATTACAAAGCCTCAAGGTTTTTTTCGCAGCAAAGGCACTCACTTCTCGGGATTGAACATGTCCTTCAGAAGGACCGAGCGCGATTGCATAGCCTGAGGGATATTGGGCTTCATTCTGTAATTCAGCAACTACGATTGAGCGAAGGCTTGGCATTACGAAGAAGTGGGCGTACATCGGAAGTGGCTGCACAACAGGCTGATCGATTCTAGCAAGTTTCTGCATCAGCGCCTGTCGTGAAGCTGCGTTCAAATTACCACCTAGAGACAGTAGAATAAGTCACAGCTTTTGTCAGTCCGGTTTGAGATCGCTCACCGCCGGCTTCGTCCAGAGAATCCTGTTGCGTGTACTTCACGGTTCCTTTCTCGTGCACCGTATTAACTCGTAACTGAATTATACATTTCATCAGCACCTAGCATAAGTCACGAGATGGTCGACGCACAGTACGGCCTGCTAGTTCAAACCCTTCCATCTGCTCCAGAGCCATTCTGGCATCTTCCGTACGTTTGTACCTGCAAAGCCGACGAATAAGCGCTTGATAATGCAAAACAAGAAGATTATACCCACTGCACGAAGGCATAACCCTTGCTGCGGCCTGTCATTGGATCCCTGTGGAGATCGACAAATTCAAGTTCGCCAAATGGTTCAAACACTTGCTTGATGTCGGACTCCGTAAGGTTGAAATGCAATGAGCCCACGTATAGTCTGGCGGGGATTTGTTGTCAAACACGAAATACTATAAAATTGTAGTAACTCACTGCATGCCACCATGAGGCGCACTAACGCCAGGCGGGAGGTTCAGATTGCTGTCAATCAATAAGCGCCAGACTCTCATGAAATTAGTCCGAATCATTACCCGTCTCCTGGATGAAGTCTGTTTCTCTCGGCTTCAGTATGTTGAACTTGGATAGGAAGACCCATTACGACCGTGCCACTGAGAGCAATAGCTCTATCTACAAGGTCAACCGAGCGGAACTCCACATATCCGATCCTGAAATTGTCAAGTTTGAGAACCCAATAATTTCGGAGCGAACAAGCATGGCATACCCTTTGGATCGCCTGGAAATCCTGTCGGTGACAATTCTCGAGTCCATAACGGTTCCTTCACCGAGCTTGTCTTCGAAGAAGTATCCAAGATCACGAGCAGTGAGCCGTGCAGCAAGCTGAGAAACGAAGACGGACCGAGCTTCGGAGTCGTCTTCTTTCGGCTCATCGTTCAAAAGATCCTCCAAAGGCGGCTCGTACGAAGGGGATGGGCGCCTAAGAACATGTGAAGTTGGTGTCTTTCTGGTCCAAACGAAATTGATGGAAGGAACTGACCTGACGGGAGACGCTGTGTGGTTGCGACTTATTGGAAGCACTTCGTCGAGCGGAATAGAAGGTCCACGCTCTCTGGGTGCCCGCTCGCGTTCCACATCGCGTGGAACGTCCCGGCGATAGCGCAGCAAGTCATCGAATTCGTCGCGAGGATCACGAGCCCTAGGCCTGTCACCAAACCTGCGGTCAGGTTCACGTGAGCGATCTCTGCGACGGCGAGGACTATCAGTCATAGGAGGCGGCGGGGGTGGAAGTCCAGCAGAGGGCGGAGGCGCGGGAAGAGAGGACTCTTCCGGCCCTTCGTCGCCCTTCTTTCTCTTGGAACGGTCATCAGGCTCCCGTCCATCAACTTCGTCCGTTTCATTGCCACGCTTTCTGCGTCGGTCTCTTGGCTCCTTGTCGTCGTGTTCGCGATGGCTGTGACGACTTTCGCCCCTCGCTCTCTCGAGGTGACGTTCTTCCCTGCGTCGCTCGCGGTCCCGATCCTTGTCACGATCACGGTCTCTCTCTCTGTCGTAGACTCTCTCCCGGTCTCTATATTTCTCGCGCGAGCGATCTCGGTCACGTCGGTCGCGACTTCGACTTCTTCTACGTCTTTCATCTGGTTCGCCACGTTCACGTCGCCTCTCTCGTCTCTCTCGGTCATGGTCCCTGTCGCGCTCCCTTGAGCGCGAGCGGTGCGAACGCTTTGTGCGGTGTGTTTCCGTCGAATGGTTGCGAGACCTATGTGTAAGCAGAGTCATCAAAGGACCAGCTAACTGGATTCGTGCAACCACTCACGACTTGGATTTCCGGTCAAGAGACCCCTCTCTGTCTACATCCATCTTGTCAGTAACAGACGACATCGCGGAGAGCACTGCTTTGTGAAGAGACTGCGAGAGAAAGTTTTTGTACGACGAAGTTGTGAATGCCGAACTGGGCCTAGGGCCCGTGTACCCGTCCTGTCACATCCATCACAAGACGTCACACCACCAGTCACAGGACTCTAAAATCCGACGCCAGACGCCACTGGCCTTACGGTACGCCAGAGTCCGATGAAACGGACGAGGTTGGGTCCGAGTGTGACGTGCCAAGGCATATGGCATGCACAATAGCAGTGGTCAGGAATCCGTCTTCAGTATTTTTGTGGAGAACATGGACGGTGGGCAGACACGGTTTAGGGGATGTCGATGAACTCTAATTATGGAAAGGTGTACAGTAATTTGGTGGGCTCCGTGATTATTGAGGGCTATGATTTGCTAACGCTGGCAATGAGGCCCTCACAGCAATCGTGATGTGGTATCGCTGCTAAAAATGCTTACAAAGTGAGATATAGTTTCGTCGATGAATCGACATGGTGGCGCCAACTCGAGCGCCCTTCAAGCCGGGCAGGCAAGCAATTACTAATCTCCCATCTGAAAGTCCCAGCAGCAGTGAACAGTTCATGCTCATGACAAGAGCAAATTCATTGAATGCCGCCCTCCGAAGTGTGACAGTAATAGATGCGGTACTTACGAGGTCCGACTCGGTGAGTAAACTTGAAGCCAGTAGCGTGGAGTTGAGCATCCAGAGCTCAGTTTTATGTTTGACCACCCTGCTTAATATAATAGAAGGCCTTGTATAACTTCCAGACCCAGTCCTCTTTTTCGGAACCCGGAGGTCGCTCCACGTAGCACCTTACACAAAGGCGGGTTTCTCATCGACCTTATAGACTTTCCAGTCTAAAGAAGTGCGAAGATGGAGTAAGACATGGAATCTATGTTTGTACATGATCGTAAAGTCTCAGAGGTCGCTACAGGAGATTCGCAAGTCTGGATCGCACTCTCTTCTCCGCCTGTACAAGCTCAGTTTCTTCTGCCTTCTTGTATAGCTGGTTGAGAGGATTGGCATCCCCCTCCTTCTCCAGGTCCTCTTCGATCTTGCTGAACTCAGCACAGAACTTGCCGTTGAGCACCTAATCATCACCATTCGTTATACCAGTGTTCTGTTTTCGCGAAGCGCACGACACTCTACCTGGTTATACAAGATGTTCTTGAAGTGCTCACGGGCGGCCCGGCCGTCTAGCGCCAACGACCCGCTTAGTTGTCCATACTGCGACACCGTTGAGTGGTATTTGAGCTGTATAAAACTGTGGTGAGAATTGACTTGTAAAGCTCGGATCAAGTACAAACCTGAGCAATGAAACCGTCTTCAGCTGCACGCTCGAAGATCTCCGCAGGCTCCTTGGACATCCACCTGAGACATCATATCAGATACAAAGTTTTGGACGGTGAATTAGCGGACAGCACTCACATCTCGTAACACAGTGCCTCGTCTGAACAACCTGCTTCCTTCAGCACAACGAACGCCTCCCTGCGCAAGCGAGTTCAGCTAACGTGAACACGGAACTATAACCTACGTGCCTAAATAACATAATGATGTTTGGCCAGAGAGCTTGCTCTGCCATCAGATCCATGGCAGTCTCCTCGCGCACCGAAGACGCGATAGCACCGGCTTTTGTCGCTCCGATCGCTCGCGAGAGCGCCAAAGCGATTACAAGACCATTGCCTGTTCCGTCCTGCTCTACGGAGACGAAGCACGGAAAGCCCTTTCCTTTGACGTAAAGGCTGCGTACGGACGATCCGATCATCCTGATGAAATGTTAATCTTCGATCTGCTAAGCGAGCGAATATATGCTCACCGGGGAGCGACCATGACGACATCTTGTGAGGGCTTGAAGGTCAAAAGCTTGAAGTACACATTGTAGCCGCTGGCGACAACGATGGTTGTGCCATCCTTAAGATTAGGAGCAAACTGCTCGTTAAAGACACGAGGCTGAACTTGATCAGGGATCAGAATGAAGACCACTGTATCCCAAGGTACGGTCAGCTTTGTGTGGGGTTTGTAGACCGTATACAACTGACCATCCGCAACCTTAGCGGCCTTGACAAAGTCGTGTTCAACGTTGAAGCCCTTCGCCTTCGCATCCTCTGCGTACGAGTCGGTCCGGTTCGCGATGAGGATCTGCTCATTGGAGACGCCAGTATCACGGAGGTTCTGAGCCTGCGCAGCACCCTGGTTTCCAAAACTGATACAGTTCGCATGAGCGGCAAGCAACCGCTCGCGAGAGAAGCACCTACCCTAAGAAGACAATCTTCTTCTCCTTCAACAGGCCCAGATCGGCGTCAGCGTCGTAGTAGCTAGAGATGGCGGCAAACCGTCAGCACGTCGATGGTATAGGATATGGCTCCTCGCTCACATCTTTGCGGAGGGCATCGTGTTCAATGTCAACGAGCAAGCCTTCGACGACAGAACCAACGGCACGGAATGATGACTTTTATATCCCACTTCACGTTCGTCCGTTCGGAAGGTAGGACCGTACCGTGGCTTCGCGGGGTAACTTTTAACGTCTCTCTGCACATCTGACATAGTCATCATGCCCTGCTTTAACAGCAAGCGTCGTCCCTGTGACATACCGACGGAAGCAGCGGTCCGTGAGCAACACTCCAGGCATCAGCCTCAGCTTCCGGCGCATGAACTGTTCAATTTCATGCGGTATCAGATAGAGCAGCAGCACATCGCCCTGGCCTGCTTGACGCAACGTCGCGGCAGAGCAGTCCCCGAATCATGTCAGGACTACTTCCGAACAAAGTTGTTTGCATCACTGGCGCGTCGCGAGGCATCGGGCGAGCTTGTGCAGTCGAGTCTGCCAACCAGGGCGCATTGGGGCTCATACTGCATTATTTGGGCGACAAAGAGACGCAGGCAGAAATTCAGGCTTTGAAGGAGGAGATAGAGACACGATATCCCAACGCGCGCGTGGCGGTAGTCCCAGGCGACATCGCCGATCCCGCCACTTCGACCACGGTGCGTCGTCTCACGTGCGCCAGATTGCGATCCTCTCAACCACCACCACCACGGTCGTAGATCGTCGAGGCAGGCGTTGCAGCATTCGGACGCATAGGTGAGCCCTCAGGCTTCAGATTGCAAGTTCGCTAGGTGAACGTATGCTGAAGATCATTCCTTGAAGATGTGCTCGTTAGCAACGCTGGAATTTGTCCATTTGCTGAGTTCTTGACCATGCCGCACGCGACATGGCAGCGAACTCGTGCAGTCAATTTGGATGGGTCGTTCTATATCGTCCAAGGTATGCCATAAATTGTACGAGTCTACTTGTATAGTTGACTTTGTACTTGCAGCGGTGGCAAACCAGATGAAGTCTCAAACGCCACAGGGTGGGTCGATCATCGGCGTATCCTCGATATCTGCGCTGGTCGGGGGCGAGTTTCAATGGCACGTACCCTTTCAAACGTCTCTGCGAACAAAAAATCGACCGGCTTTTTCTAGCCACTACACCCCAACAAAAGCTGGCATCCTCTCGCTCATGCAGAGCTGTGCGCTCGCCCTCGGGAAGTACAACATCCGCGCGAACGCCGTCCTGCCGGGGACAATCGCCACGGACATCAACAAAGAGGACCTCTCGAATACCGCGAAGCGCGACTACATGGTCGGTAGGACGGCCCTCGGCCGACTGGGCGGTGAGTGCATACCCACACACACGCCATTCTCAGGGTTGAGCAGATACGCCGGCTTATAGCACCGGAAGATATCGCAGGGCCGGTTGTGTTCCTTGCGAGCGACCTAGCCAAGTACGTGACCGGAGCACCGCTGTTGGTTGACGGAGGGCTTTTTGTGAACCTGCAGTAAAGAAAGGAAAGCAGCGATACCGTCGCGCAGAATATTTCGTCACTTCAGCATTCATGCGTCTCGATCGCACTGTGGAGTTTATAAATTTACGGAACACTGAGAATCCTGAGCGCACGCTTGACTCTATGCTCGAGGTAGCCTGCAGATCCCGCGGGAAGACACACTGGCACTCCGCGTTTCCAGGACCCGATTTCATATTACGTTTGGCAATATATATCTGGCTCTAACGGCTCGCCGTTCACCAGAGCAGGCTTCGCATCCACCAACACCGATACAAATCGGGTCCATTCCGGACCAGGGTTCCTCCAAGCGTGTAATGTCCCGCGCTGAATGACAATGTCCCCAGGCGTCTCGAGTGTCCTCTCGGTGCCGTCTTCCATCTCCAGTATGAGCTTCCCACGGACTTCGGAAAGCAGTGTCGTATCAGCCTTGACTGATCGACTCGCTAGATATGCAACTCACTCAGGACGTTGTAATCAAAAGATGATGAGCGATGCTGTCGTACTGGTGAGTCCGAACGTTGCCAAAAGGTATGAATTAGCGTTACCATGAAAGCCATCGCTCCCGGGGCAATGTCCGTATACCTCAGGACTGTCCCATTCCTCATAACAAGTCCAAAGTCCCCTTCTGTTTGTCTTGTCGCTCCATCAACGCTGTACGACACGGCGGTCCTATAGCGTCTGGCAAAACCCGCACAAAGAAATACTCACTCGTTGTTATTGTCATTCGTCGGTACGCTGTCTGTCACCCATAAAGGGGCGCCTTGTACGCCCAAAAAGCCTGCCGTCTTCTGTCATTCCGGCCGCAATGATATACACGCCACATTAGCATACGTTCCAAACAGCACGAAGGCTACTACGCTCACTTTAGGCTCCACACGATCCTCGCTCCGGATGGAAGACCACCCAATGTCAGTATGTCCCGTCACAATACGGAGCGGCGGTGGAAGTTCAGCTGACATCGGTACACAAGAGCTCAGATGACGATCGTCGGAATGTAGCGCTAGCATCCTTTCCACGACCGACGGACTCCTAAAGCCCTGGCCGCTGCTCACATCATATCATGATCGGCGCCATCTGATTGACCGTCTTCCTCCACGTTTGCGACTACAGCAGGCTAGAACACACTCTGAAATGCGTTAGCGATACATGATGGCGATCGTATCGACCATGTGGAGATAAATGCGGAGATAGACCCACGATGAGCTCACTATATGCTCCTGGCGAAGGGCCGTCTGGACATTCGCGTGTTGCTGCGCGGTCCGGAAGCACAATTGAGAACACCCAACATTCGTCTTCGCTCAGAAGCGGGGAGGTCACGCGTACGCGATGCGCGACGCACGGCCCGTAGAAGAGCAATGGAAAGCATGAATATCACAGAGATCAGACAAAACGATCGTCACAGGAGCAAGCCGCATGAGAGCATTAAAACCTAAGGAGCGGTATCTGTTGCACGAAGTCAGCATCGGAGATTGTCACAAGTGCGAGACAATGACGAAGACGACGTACAATAATGATACTCGTCGATGAGTGGGATCCAATCCCTGATGAAAGCACTGAATATGTTCAGCAAGGGTACACGCGCAGTCCTCGCTGCGAATGCCTGAACCTTTGGTCTGTTGATATTCAAGTTCAGCGATAGAGCCAGACCCCAAACGACCAGGATCTTACCGCGTATACGTCTGCCAGATGGACCCCCGCAAGAGGTACCACAGCATATCCCTATCTCTGTTCGCATATTCTGAACGTTCTAGAGAACCGGATCGTCCGGGCACACGACGCAGATGGCGTGATAGCAGTTCCAGGAAGAGAACCGTCGTGAGCGGACGGTTGGTCTTCCGGTCTTTGGATAGCATGATTGCTGCAGCGCCGTGCGTCATTATCACATGCCAAACACGGATTCCGCTAGAGATACTGACCATAAACAAGAGGGCGGAGGATGTAGATGATTTCAGCGAGCCAATCCTTAGGAGAAGTCAAGGGGTGAACCAGCGCCGTAGGAGCCTTGACGGAGGATGTCGTCAACGCCTTCGGGAGAAGGAAGTCTTCGACAGGCAACGGTTCTTGAGTAGGCGGCGGCGGAGTGAGTAGCGGGTGCAGAGGTAATTGCACATGGTTATTCTTGAGATGTTCTGGAGTAGAAGGGAGCGAAGCAGGTGGAGACGACGGAGCCAAAGTAGGAGATGAAGTATCGGAATCCGGAGGGAGAGCAGAGGGGTCGATCTCTCGTTCAGGAATAGGCGGTGTGAGCAACGGCCGTCTTGTAATCTTCAGCAGCAGGAGACGAAGTACGGCCCTGTAGCAAGATAAGCAACAGTAACGACTATCACACATCGGACGCGCACTTGACTAGCTCAAGCAACACAATGCCTCTCCATCGGTTGCGTACAGATACCTTCCTCCGCAAGCCCATTTCAATCAACAACTCTGTGAAGCGCACGAGCTGAAGAGTGCGCGCTGCCCATTTGTACCTCCAATCCTTGTCAGACCATGCCCGAGTATAACGCGTGTGCAGCGATGGGGGTATCAGTGCCTTGTACTTTGGGTCGTTCTGCACGAATTGGGCTAGCAGAGTATCATGATACATGCTCATCACGTTGAGAGTAGCCGATACTGCAGTACGATTGAGAGAGCGATGCAATTGTTATTCGAGAACACACGCGGCAGCAGAGTAACATACAGGCTTCAGACGCCAACTCGGCATCCCTGAACCTGCCTGGCAGGATCCAGGTAATAGATCTCAATGTCGACTCGAGAGAGGATATAGTAGAGACATTCTTGATGAGAAATGATTCATATCGAGCCAATGCTGATGACATGGAAGAAAGCGAAGGAGAGCAGAGAGGCCTGGACGAGAGGAGTGGGAGGCTGGGGGTTTGTAGCGCCTACACTCAACTCCCTGACAGCGCCTGCGGAATACGATCGGTCTGTTTGATCACCAGAGGTGCACTTTGCTCACTTTGCTCACTTTCGCATCCTCAATATATCTGCTGGTAAAATCCTAGCATGCTTGCTGTTGCATAAACGTTGCGGGAGAACGCGCGCATACTATGCAAACGCGGATCTCTAAGGTGTACAAAGAATTGAAGACAACTGTATCTTCCCGTCGCTACCGTCGCCCTCGCCTTTACTGCCAGTGTTCGTCTACCAGTGAGCACGCGAGTGAACGGGACTCTATGACCGGTGGTGGTCTGGATAAGCCTCTTCGTATATACGACAGTGGTGCTGTTGCATACACGCTGGTGCTGGGAACAGCCACTAAACTTCACAGGATTCCTTCGTCCTTCCCTTACTCAATCCCTCACAAGTCTGGTTCATGATGCATGAACGACCACATAAAGCATACAACGCAGACTAAATCTCCATTCGCGCGCCAGGCCTGTCTATAGTCTTCACTCATGCCCAAGGAGCGCTCTCGAGTCCAGTCTTTCCGACTTTCCGAGACATAGCATCTTCTAGACCCGAGTCAACAGAGTAGCGTGGCTCTCGATGTATACGATTGGTTTTGAAGGACTTCCGGCTGAACATAAACTGTGTGATCCGGCGACTGATATCAACAGAGCTGCAGCGACAGACAAGATCCTACGGAGCATCGAGAACGATCCAAAGCAGGATGCTGGGATGCTGAGGCGTCGCACTGAAGAGCAGCAGGAATCGCAGGCCTGAACGGGCAACTTGAAGGCGTGTGCCTCGGTGCTGCTTTCTCTTCCGCCGCACGTTGCACACACGCCCCCCTTCACAATGCATCTCGAACGGTATCCAACTGTGCGTGGCACCCGGACATCTATTGTTCTCGACGTGGTCCTTGTCCTCCTTTGCTTTTCGCCTCTCGCGAGCCTGCGCGCTTTCTGTGTATACACCCCTCCTGATCTACGGCGTGCACCCCCACGCGGCGCATTGGAAAATGAGCGCGCCTCACATGAATCGCCCGTTGAACTATTTCCAGCAGAGCCCAGTGCGTGGACAGCTGGAGCATCCAGATGGATACTCGAAAACAGGGTGGCGCTACCTGCAGTGTACAGACACGCCCAATGAGCTGAGGGTGCGCGCCATCGTCGCAGATCCACGACATCCCGCTCACATTTCAGATATGTTAGGTATTGCTACCGCCGAAGACAGCGACGATCTATGGCCACCTCCTCCAAGCAGAGCTTGATGAGCTCGATAAGGGCAGGGACGCTTCATGGGACAACATCCTCCAAATCCGCCACCTCAAAGACCGAATCATCCGCAAATGCCAGCGGCTCGCGCAAGCATCCAGATCGACGGGATCGGCGAGCGTAAAGTCGTCCGCCCGCTCCGTGTTTTACACCGTGCACGCCCCGCCGGACTTCAGACTGAAAGAGATGGAACGCTGGTTCAAGGCGCAGGGCGGCGAGTCTGGTGTGAACCGCGATTCTGCGCCCGCACATGACCGTCCTGCCGCCTCGTGTAGCTGTGAGCAGTGCAACCCGTCAAAGCCGGTTAGACAGGGCGGGGGCCACCAGATGAGGCGGCCGTCCACGGGCGCACGGAGCCGTCCGACTGGACCAAGTGCTGTGGAGCGTGTCCAGATGAGACGAGCTCAGTCGGAAAGCCAGTCTACGACATTATTGGATCCAAGTATCGCTCCCAAGAAGCCACAATACAGACGAGCATATTCAGACGCATACAAGACCGCTGGACTCATGGCTCGGCAGTTCCCCCAACCTCATCAAGCTACTCAACCTCGACAGAAGCCTGTCGGTCGCAAGAAGTCGGTATCCGCTGACGTTGCGTCCGAGCCGCACTCCAATCGCCTGAAGCCGAATTCCCCCGAGCCCATACCCATCCCGTATCGCGCAAGGAACACTGAAGCGGATGCCACCGCCATGGCAGACTCGCCGCAATCGACGCTGCCCGCCTTGGACGAGTTCTCCCCCGTGGCGTTGCCCAAGGAACCTACAGTGCCATCCTCACCGAATGGTCAAGTCTTGTCCCCCATATTCGAGGGTTCTGAAGGAAGAGAGGCCGCGGAAGTGTCGCAACGAGCTATTCCTCGGCGGCGGAGCAGCTTCAAGAGGGCTAACAGCTTGAACAGGCTCAGCGTGGCGAGCCAGACAAAGTCTGTCGCATGGGCCATGGATCGCGACTGGATCGAACAGATGGAGAGCTACATGAAGGCTGCCAGCGAAGCTGAGGACTTGGGTGCGTACCGTCTCGGATGATGTCAGGCCTACATTGCTGACGCGACTATGTTTCCTTCACTAGGCCTGGGACTCGACGCGCTCCGCGCAGGATACCAGAAAGAGGTCGAGGCGATGCGGCGCCTGTGCCGGAACGTAGTAGATGCATCGGAGCGCATCCGCCAGGAGATGGAGAAGCTGCAGCGCGACGAGGAGGCGGTGCGCAGGCAGGAAACCAAGCTGCTACATGCGTTCGAGCAGCTCGAGCGGAAGGAGAGTCTGTTTCGCGACAGAGGTGAGCGCGTGTCTCGCCTGCCGTGCGCGGCTTCATATGTGAGCGGCGTACTAATCCGAGACATCGCGGCAGTTCTCTCAGTCCTTGAAGAGACGAAGTGCGTTGTGCACTTGTGTGACAAGAAACGCGAGATGCACGAGATCTAGTGCACCCTTTTCCCTGTAGACTCTTCCGCGTGCGCAGCTCTACATTGCAGTTTCCCCCATGCCTGCTGTGTATCATCACATCTTTTCACCTACCGTGTGCCATCAACGTCTCCGCACTTTGACTTCGCTCCAGGGTACAGAAACAGACCAGCAAATGTATACCAATACGCTCTGCTCTTTGGCAATAGATGTCCATGTGAACATATATTCTATGTGTAAATACTTTTTCCTCTGCACAATACAGCCTGAATTGAAGAGGTGGGATGAGGTTAAGTCCTCCAAGCAATGGAGCGATAAATTACGATCGCTAGAGTCGGAGGTGCAGGAACCCGACACATACAGCTTATTAAGATCGCATACTGCTGAGGGCCATATTGCGGATAGATTATTCCAGGGTCCCAGCGACGGAGGATGTCAGAACCTCGTTCGCCGCTTCTGCTTTGCCCACACCCACCATTGCCTCACGATAAAGGCATAGACGAGTATGATGACGACCGAAAGCGCGATGACGACAGCGAATGCATTGTATTTGTTCCCCTCGAGGTCATTACTTGGAACGAGAACATTCATCGAGAACAGACCTGCCAACCAAACGGAGAAACATGAGATGAGACGTTCGCGCAAGTTCTTGAGGCAACGACGCACCAATTAACGTCTGCACGCAGACTACCCCCAAACTGACGGTCGTCAGGGTAACAACTGCAGTGTCTGTGCCAGACTGAACCTTGGAGACGGATAGCCGGAGATGGGAGAGGTATATCGGGTGCGCCTGGCTGAGGACGCGTTCGTAGTGCGCAAGCGATTGTTGCAAGGTCAGAATGTGATCTATGTCATCATGACATGGCGTTTAAGCCTGGCCTTGCTTCCAGATCACAGGAGAAAACCCACCTTGGACATCCCCCATGTAGATATAGACATCCTGGTCGTGCTCCGTTCCATGTCTCAATCTCCATTCTCCCACCGTCAAGAGCCGCTTCTGCAGCTGCGCCACCACCTCATGCTTGTGATCCAAAAATCGGGCGAGAGAGATGACTAGCCTCCTCGTACGGGCCATCCGGTGCACCGTAGTCGTCGTCGTCACAGTCGGGGTATGCTTGAACACCACGCGGAAGTGCCCGTACACCTCGCGGATATACCGTTCGAAACGGCGGACAAAAATAGGCCATCGCTTAGGGAGGACAAACTGGGTCTTCCGCTCGACGGTCTTCCAAGGCTCGGGTTCTTGGTCGGACAATGTAGAAGTGAGTGTTACTATCTCGATCTTGTCCTTCGTACCATCCTTTTCACTGTCGGCGCTGGGTATCAAGGTGACCTGCGAGCGGTTCACAGCATCCTGGCGCCCAGGCTTTGGGTGGGGCTCCACGGGATCGGAAACCATCAAAGTCTCTATCTCGTCGACTTCACGTTCTATGACTTTGAGAAAGGGGAAGAATGAGTCAACAATGGAATCCATGATGCCATGGGCAATCCAGTCTAGAAGACATGAGCACTCGGATACACTATATCACGTAATATTTTGGCGTACCGGAGGACATGTTGATATTTCCTGATAATTGGAGGATTTTGTGCCGAACATGCTCAACGTGTTCTAGCTCACGAATTAGCGCAACTGTTGATACATCATGGCCACGAGACGTACCGCCTATATCCGCAAAGTGAAACTGGGCGTCGACGTCAGCGATGAATAGCTTTTGAGTGAAATGTACACACAGAGCAGATGCCTCCACGGAAGACAATCATGTATACGTTCACTTCGCCTACAATCCCCTCGTCCAGTGGTGAGGGCCTCTCCTGCGGAGACCTACGAGCGCGTATCCTTTCTCGTGTCTTCTCACTTTCTATTGCTCGGAACGCAATAAAATAGTATCCGAGCTTGGGGAACAACTCAAGCTTTTCTCGTGGATCTTGCTGTAGGATATCCTCAAGAGTCAAAGGGTGGAGATGCAAAAGCTAATTGTAAGATTTTACGGCGTCAGCCCATCACTTTCATGCCGTATTGAGGTGACTAACCTTGCCAATGGCACGCATATCTTCCCAAGTTGGAGACGAGACGTCGAGCCACCAGGCCTTCTCCGCAACAGCCATACTCGACGATGGGGCCGGGGGCAGATGTACCGTAGCAGGCGCAGACCCTGCCCTCCGCTTGCCCTTTCTATCTCTCCTCCCCGCCTGAGTGTTCGGGTATATAAACAAAGCGGGACTCCCCAGATCGTAAGGCATCATGTAGCTGTGGTGGAGGAAAGGGGAAGTGGGAGAAGGTGACACCGGTGCCGCCGTCTCTGATCGAGTTCGTCGTGCGCGCCCATGGTCTCTCAGGACTGAACCAAGCCGGCTTATGACAAAAGGGAGGGAGTCTGTATGCAGGATTGGCGTTCTCTGTTCGGCCTTGATAGCATTTGCGGCCTGGCCCTCCACCAACGTCCCATCAAGATCCTCGGGGCTGGGAACATACAGGTCAAACGCACGAGGAATGATCCTCGACTCCTCGCGAGCTTTAATTCGAGCAGCAACCTCGCGCTCAGACTGCTGGTTGCGGAGGTCTGTCTGACTCTTTCGCCGTCTGCGTCGACGGGCCATTTGTGACCGGGTCATCGTAACGATGGAGGATGCCGACGAGGAAGAGGATGTCGAGATGGACGACGAAGATGCCCAAGCACGAGCCCAAGTAGCAATGGCATGTTCCAAGACGGCAGAGATCGCTCCGAGGCGTCCTGGAAAGACAGAGGAGCTGGAGGACGAGGTGATGGAATCCGGAGATGCACATCTAGGAGGACTAGGCTCCTCGCCACGATAGATGTCTTCTTCTTCCACCTCGAGAGGGATCCTGTCGACATGGCTCTTGGCCACCAGCGCAGCGACATCAGCGCTTTCGAGGATGTCGCGAGAGGGCTCGCTGGGGGCCACAGTGCGGTCTGAATCGTCGGATTCCGCACGTATTGGAATGAGCTCGAAGTCCGCTGTGTGCATTGGGGGCAAGACAGCCCCTGTGGACTATTACCGCGGCAGGACCATAGATGAGTGTGCTGTGAGAGAGCTCGGAGGGCGCTGCAAGGCTCAGTCGCATAAGGGCAACCGGGCGGTCCACACGCAACCAGCCCCTTCCCCTCGCCCCAGATTGCATCTCACTCAAACGTTCGTGACTGAGTCCCTGCCCAGCATTGTACAGTAGAACATACACATAGCAGAAATCGATGTATTTATTCCTCTCTTCGCCGCTTGCTGTTCCTGGGGCCACCATCTCCGGATCCAGTATTGGACCGTTTCCGCTCTACGCCCTGAGCTGGCCCCGGAGCAAACGGCCTTCGCTTCTTCTCTTTCTGCGTCTCCTTTTTCTGCTTCTTCTCTATCGCCTTTCTCACTGCGCTTCGTCCGCCCGAAGCTGCAAGAGCCTCGTATTTGGCCCGCATTAGCAGTTCTTTCTTGTTCGCTGCAGGGTGCTGTCAGTGCCACAACGACCTCCGCGACAGCGGAAATACACGTACAATTCTTCATGTGCCATGCTCCCTTTCCAGCTTTCCTTTTCTCCTTCTCCTCCTTAGCCGCTCGGTCCAGCGCCTCCTCTTCCACCTTTCCCCGCCTGTCCTTGTTCACCATGCTTTCCGCTCGCTTGAAAGCACGCTCCAGCCTCTGCACTTCCTTTTCTCGTTCTTCTCTAAGGTTTCTTGGAGAACTAAACAATAGCTCCCGAGCACGCTTCAAGTTCCCTTTCAACGCCTTCATTTCTTCTGTGTGCATCCCCGCCAGGAATCCGTACTGAGACTGGAATCTCTTCGCGGAAAATTCACCTGTAAGAGGCAGGAATCGCGGATCGCGAGGGACCTGCGCGTGCGAATGAGTTGGCTATGTTCAGATGGGAATAGTCAAATACCCACTACTTTCTCTCCCTCCACACCCAGCTTTTTCCGAGGCACAGGCTTTTTTGAGCTGACTTCAGTTGGGCTGTGCTACGATGTTAACGATAGTCCAATTGTACTGGAAACTGCAGCTCACGCATGCTTGTTGTTCCTCTTCGGAATTTCTGGCTTAGGCTTTGGGGGTGCATCTACCTCCCTGCCTTTGCCTTTGACATCCGAACCGGAAGCTATCAATTCTGGCTCAGAATCAGCTATCTCCTCCTCCTCGTCCGATTCGCTCATCGCTCGAGCACGAGCTAACGCTTTCTGAGCGTTGCGCAAAGCGCCAAATGGCAAGGATGCGAGATCTGCGGAAGGCGTTAGTTATCGTCCACATTCCCGCTGCACACACGCATACCATTTTCCTGAGACGAAGAATGGGTCTGAACTAGCATTTCTCAGAAGAGCAGAGAAGGACTACTCACAAGATCGGCCCCTTCCTCCTCGGCACTGCTGGGCTCGGATTCGCTCTCATCCCCATCCATTTCGTCGAGCTCCTCTTCATCAACCCATTGCGCAACGCGGGCTGCATCGATGTCTATATCCTCAAGTAACTGTTCCTCATGGCCCTCATCATCATCGTCTGAGCCGTCCAACGCGGGACCCGCTACAGCTTCTACCCCTTCCGCAGACTGTTCAAATGTGCTGGACTCTGCCTCGCTTTCCTCGTCGCGTTCATGTGGAGACGTTGGATCATGGCGTCTGGAAGCACCCCTTGTCAGATCCTGTTTGAGCTTCGAGGTTTCCTCATGTAAAATAGCTCTTTTAGGTGGACGTCTGTGGGCAGGACGAGGCCGTCGAGGCATTTTAGGTCAAGCTGTGGATGTTCAAGTGGCTGATCGACCGATCTCCGCTTTCGGAATGTCTGATGTCTGAAAGTTCGTTGAGGCGGGCCAGCCACGTTCCCATGCTACCTCCGATGTCCCCTCCCATCTCCGTTTTGTCTGTTGTTTCACCTCAGAAGCTGTTCACATTTTTCTGAATTTTAGTGCGCACCCTTCGGTGGCGATCAATACGGAGGCCTATTTCTCGTTCATTAGCGACTTCCGCGTGGCGTTTAGCCCAGTCGCTCTCAACGCACCTCTACTACCGGTACGACTTCACGCTATAGTAGTGGACAATCAGCACAATTGACCATCTAACCGACAACCCACTCCATACAAAATGTCAAGAGATGTCCGTACATTCACGAACGTTGACTGGGAACCCGAATTTGGCAAGGAGACGTGGGCATTTATGCCATACACGCGCAAAGACTTCATCCGTCTCGAAGGCTCCACCATCCCCATCATCGGTAAACTCTTCTACCGCGCCCCTGGCGGGCATCTGCTCAAGGTCGGCGGCGACGAGGGTGAAGCCCGAATGACCGTCCTTGCACGTTATGTCCTTGAGGGCATCGTCAAAGTCGCGGAAGTGCATGCCTTCATTCAACTACCAAAGAACCAAAGTGCGGTCCTAATGGAATACCTGTGCGGAATCCCTCTCAGCTCTGTGTGGAGCGATCTCTCTGCCACACAGCGGATAACCGTCAAAAATCAGCTATGTGATATTTTGCTTGCGATGCGAAAGCCCTCATTCAAGTACGCTGGTCGGCCGGGTCGCAGGCCCTACGTTCTCCTCAGCGAACTAAACCTCTCTACCTACGACTTCTGTTCTAATGAGAAAGAGTGGAATGGTTCACGGAAGCAAGCGATTGTAGACAATGTGGCGGACATGCACCGCGCGGACTTCTTGTGCAAGCAGCAAGGCGAGCTCGTCAAGACGGATCGCTTCGTTCTCACACACGGGGACCTGGCTGATCGTGGCATCATCGTGGATACAGACACACTCAATATCGTCGGCCTTATCGACTGGGAAAACGCAATCGTAGCCCCAACCTATTTCGAATACGTCGCAGCTAGACTCTCGGGTGGACATGAGCCATATTGGCAATCAGAACTTTTGGAGGTCTTGGGGAAAGTGCTGGAAAAGGAATGTGAAGAGACGAAGGCTAACGTGGAGGAAGAGATGGCGCGCTGGAAGGCTCTCGTGGATGTCGAGAGATATGCTCAGGGCTTGGATGATAACTGCGCGTGGACATTTGAACCTAACGACTCTCGTGGGGTCTCTACTTGTATGAAATCCCTTTCTCTTCGCACTATCCATCTGTAACGTGATGATATTTAGCTCAAGCTGCGATCGCAGGCCCAAAGTAGCGGCATTATAAACCGCAAGTGCCGGTCGCGTCAGTCGTCAAAGCAAATTCAAACGAATGCGGTCAGGACTTATCCTTGGTCTTTGTCCTTCATCTGTTCTCGAACCTCACTTTTGTCATCGTTTCTGTCAACTGCTATGCCGCGCAAGGAGTACTCTCAACATAGAAGCATACCCGTCTGTTCCATCGAACCAGCAACTCAAGCATTTATGAGATGACGTGTAGATGTGATGCATTCGTGAACGATGGTTGGGAAGAAAACGAAACGTGATCAATGCGAAAAACTCGTTAACATCGACTCGTCCCGTACGGGTCCAGGCCGCGACCTCGAGATGCGCCTCAGCTCGACCGAAACCTTCCTTGGAAAAGCCGCTGAGACCATCTTCGGGGGAGCGGCTGTGACCTTCTTGCCACGTATTTCCTCGATAAAAGCATGGAATCCTTCTCTCAGCGCGTGCTCGCACTGACGCAATCTCATCTCGTCCGCACCAACCTCCATCGCCTTGTCATCATCCCCGATAGATGTTGAGCTCGCCTTGTAAGCTTCCGCAACGAGATCCCGCACTCGTCTAATACCGGGTCATACCCCATCCTCCTCGGTGATTCCGAACTCGATCTCGCCCAAAGGCTTGCAAGATTGAATGGATCTGATTGTGCGTGGGAGAGGAGGGTTAGGACTTCCCGTGAATGCGCCAACGATTTCCACAACATCGGGATCCTCCGGGACGATGTGAATGCAATACAGCATGAGCGACCGAAAAAGCAGCATGTACGAGTCGTGGTGAGTGTTAGAGAATGAGAAGCAACTGAGCAGGTTGGACAACATAGCGCCGGGTATGCGTATGGAGAAACTGCACTAGGTCTGCAATGCGTGGAGTCTGTTCGTCGTGGACCGCGCTGGAGGGAACTTACATACAGTACTCAAGCCCCTAAGCGAATTGCCTCAGGAGTACTCAGGAGTCACTCGAAACGGGTCCCTTGCTCGGCGGCGTGCGGTAATTTGCGTCTCTGGGGATGCAAATCTTCCATGTAAGGACGTATTCGTAGATGCTCAGTTAGGTGATCGCCACGAAAGTATGCGATTATCGAGCACGAGCTGGATGAACTATATTTCTTTGAGCAACAGAACACCGGGAAGAATGACCTAATGACTGAGTGGCGAGTGTGAGGTCAAATGCAAGAGGAAGGTGGAAGCATTTGACATGGTCATCTTACACTCAAGGAGCAGGTTCAGAAAAGAAGGCTCGTTGAGACCAGCCGTTGGTCCCCGGTCGTCCTGCTCTCTGTTAATATCCACTCGTACGCGTTCGTACTTCTGTCGTGAGCACGCCCCAATGCTTCCCATCTCAGAGTACAGTGCCCCCTCCTGTCACGCTGGTACAATATTCGGTATTGCATTTAAGAGCATCAGATGTGACAACAAAATTGTGATGCCTTCATCTCGAGGTCGTCCTTTGCCCAACCGTACTGTGCATCCTCGAACAGAATATACCGGCCATTCTCCAACCGTACATCCAACGATATACCTTCAGACGGCAACCCTGGTCGCCAAAAGGGACTGACGCCAAACCAGACCGCCAGTTTCCTCAGCAGTGAACGATGCTTCGCCTTCTCACTACGGACAGGATCCTCCAGTATGCCCTCCCATCGGTAAACAGGTCGAGCGCGGATGGATGAATCGTCGTAGTCAGTGCCGGCTCCGGTTCCCAACGTGGATGGCTGCAGCAAGGTGTGCACGTCAACCTCTTCCATGTCGAGCTCCGAGGTGTCCTCTCCTAAATGCAGCACGTCGGCCTGGGATACTCTCGTTAGCAGAGTTCATATGTATTTCAGTGTATCTTTACCTCGGAAGACCCGTGAAAGATTATGTCGTTCATTCTTACGTACATCTTGTTCAGGAATCCGGCAGTGAAGAAGTCTCCCCATTTGGGTACTCGATGTAAGAGGCCTCGTTGAGCAAGGAATGCCTCAAGCGCAGGCCTTGGGAGCGGTTTGTATGCGATCGATGAGAGATAGTGTGGATCAAAGTCAGATGCATAGGTCCGCAAGGCGCTCATCGTTTCGTAATTGCGCCTCCATAGATCATCCTGAAGTAGATTAAGTGCAAACGATTAGAACTCATATATGGGCAGAATTGTAAGGTGTCGTACCCAAAATATGTACCACCAAATGCTCAGCGCAGAACCACAAACAGCCGTTAACCTCTCATACGTATATCCAAGCGCGGTCTCGTTCTGAATGAACAGTTCCTGAACTCGTGGATCTCGCTCTAACTTCAGGACCACTTCCGTCACATCAGCCGGGGGTCGAGGCTGGTCATACACAGCGGTGAGGAAGCGATACGTCAGAGTGTCTTGTTTCCATTCGCATTCTCGTCGGTGATGATGTCGATAACTGCGCAGGATCGCCTCAACGTATACCATCTGGGTTTCAAGCAGCGCTCGATTCATCGCGAGGAAACGGGCAAGTGGACGGGTCATCTCGAAGTCGTCGGTAAGACCGATAGCAGAACCGTCGCTCTTGACTTTGTTCGTGTACACCAGCTCCAGTTCGAACCCGCTACCAAAGTCGACGCCATCCCACATCAATTCTCCGCGCCGCTTGATATTGAAGGAACATTGTTCGTAGTGGAGAGTTTCACCCGCCGCAGATTGTCGCCGACAGCAGCCACATATTTCGTCGTCGCAACTGCTCTAAGGCAATGTGAGCATGAACTGAAGTCCCCACATACTGGAGGCTCCGACTGTAAGTCACCTTCGTATAATCGTGTGGCCAGCGGACGACCTGACCGTCAAGTGCCCGAAGCGCAAGTCGTACCTCGCGTCTCCGCTGGACGTGATGACTGGAGTTCTGCATCACATACAGCTCAAATTGCGAAACGTCTCGTATTGTCTTAAGAGCTCCGTCATCATAATGAATGACCTGCAAAGTGATCAGCGATGGCGGTAGACACATGTGGAGTAAAAGTGCACCAGCGTGGGCGGGAAGGGGATCCACCAGGCCGTCCCGAAAAAGCTGCTGTAAGGAACCATGCCTTCTGCATGCGGCCTCCAATAGCAGTCTGGTCCAACGAAATGCTTCTGTATCATCGCTTCCAGCTGCCGCAATTGAGGGCTTTCAGGGCCGGTGACCAGCTTTACCGCCCTGTAATATGCCATAGATCCCACATCACGTAAGATCTGCGGCCGTTTTGAGCGCGCAAGCAAAGGAAACGCGACTGAAATCCTTGCCTTCAGGTTCTCAACATGGCGCTCACCCGGTGACCCTGCGAATCTCAGCAAATAAGGCGGATACTCGTTATCTGTGGCTTGAGCGAATTCCATGAGCTGTGATTTTGGTATCCTGCAGTCGAAGTTGGTTAATATTAGTGTGGTTAGCGCTTCCTGCCAGATTCGCCTCTTGACGTGTGGCGACGAGGGAGTGAGGTCGATCCTGCAGCACATTAATGAAGAACCTAAAACTACGAATGCGTATATTTACCGAGGAGAGAAAATGTCAATGCCTGGCAGCACGTGTGAGTGAATGAAGAGCGCGTTAGAATAAGTCGTTTCATACTGAAGTCGATGCGGCGAGCCAACCCTGAAAAGAACATGAGAATATGGATGGTCAAATACACAGAGAGCTGACTCACTCTTCACAAGGCGGCGCATTAAATCCATATTGATGACGGTAAAATCTGTCAATTAAATGAGTAAAAAATGCGCCTAGCGTACCGACATTGTATGTTTCTTACACAGTGATAATCCATAAGTTATGAAGTAGATCCTGTTGTTCGGGTTCATCAGACTATTTTCTGCGAGCGGTATACAGTAGAAATGTCAACGTACACATAAAGCACAGGTCCATTGAGGATGTCCGCAGCCTCGTCGGGTATATTGAAAGCAACAGCGAGGGCGAGAGCAGAAGTCAATACATAATTCATCCTAGATGTCCATTCGGAAGCATTGCCGACGGGATCGAGAAACGGTGCAAAGATGCATTGCAACACAAAATACAGGAGCATCGTAGCCAAGAGAACGACCTGGCGTGCAATCACAACGTGGGACTGAGAAAGAGTACGGAAGAGACAGTTATCGGGGTCGACGACATCGGTGATTAATAGTGTGGTCAGTTTCGCAAGTAAGAAGACACATTCGTAGGTTCCCCAGCCTCTTCGGAAGCCTGGTCTACAATGAGCATCTGACATTGAATCCAACGTAAAAGACACTGACCGTTATACAAGAATGAGAAGGGGTTGCGATCTCGATCGAGCAGTCGCTGATATTCGCGGTCCATATCACTCCGGCTCCTTCGAACGCCTAGCTCTGTATACGGGTCGACCACTGGAACAACTTGCTTTGTTGCTCGGTAAAGATAGATCGGAAACCAGATTGTGAGCTGTTTACATTTCAACATGTAGTCGTACCAGCACGTTCATTAACAAACTCACCCCGATGAAAGATCCAATAGCGATAATGACAATGAATGGCGCGTAGTTAAACTGATCGAGTTCCATCGTTGTCGTCCAACAGAAGTCCAACGGTGCACGAAATTGATCTGCGGGACCGAGGGGAGGAACATTCGGAGGATTTGAGGTCGCATTCACATATGGGTTAGGCACAACCCAGAGGTCGTCGGACCATACAAGGACATGAACAGCCATTGTGCTGATAGGCAGGTATAATACCGTAAGAAGGAAGCTGACGATAACGAGCAGCCAAGCGTGCTTTGGATAAGCGATCTGCTGCATGCCCTCTGGGAACTTGTGGTAACAGCAATTACATGTCACGCGGTGAAAGTAGTACAATAGCATTCCTGCAAATATCATGAGACCGACGAGCAGTATCAGCGACTGCGTGATGTTCGAGCCAAAATTCAGAGCAATCAAATTGGGACTGATCGGTCATCAGCATGGTCGTTGGATGTCACAACGGATGTTGCTCACATCTTCACGAGCAACAGTGTCCTTAGCCCGCTCTCCTCCGTGTCTCGATGGGAAACTAAATAGACATATTTGTAAACCGTTCCAATGATCTCTGAACTGTCACCACTAACCAAGTGTGCTTAAGATCAGTGCGAAGATCTGCACGGTGTCGAACAGTCCCTGCACGCTATAAAACGACGCTAGCAAGCTGGAACCCTGTCCGAGCAAGTATGATCGACTGGCATTGGAGAGAACGAAACAGAATATCTTACGGTGACACCAAGTGCGATGCTTGTGAGACTAGCGAGTATACTGCTGCAATTCCTCCAGCCTGGCGCTATCACAGAGTTGTGCTCCAAGTCTGCAAGCGTCTTGCCCGTAGCAGCGAGTCGGTCCATGGGTGGGAACATAGAAGCAGATGTCCCCTTCGCATCCTCTTCTTTCTGTATTAGAGGGAAAGCCGCGGCCGGGATAGAGCTAATGTAGTCATCCACCTTAGGAAGGTACAACGGAGCAGCTTTGCGGGCAAAGATCGTAGACACTGGAACGGGTGTATGTGGGGACGGGCCTGGCACTAGTGTCGCGGAAGAGGCAAAAGAGTGTGACGGTTGCAGGATGGCAGATGAGAAAGCGTCGGATGGCGATATGAACATGCCCGATGGCGATGCATAGGATACTGGGAGTAATGAATCCATCTCCATTTCATTGTGTCGTGCATCGTCGTCGACAGCTGTGCGACTGAGGTCCAGACTTTCCTTGTAGAGGGCGGCCTCACTCAAGACTGTCGCGTTGGAACGCCCCGTGACGGTCAATGCTTCATCCGTGATGTCTGCCGTTCGCTCCGCGATGTCATCAGACTTGTGGAAGTGCGCCTGCACAGTAGCAGATGGTGCAAAGACGAGATCATCAGTGTCATCCGTCCCGCTTGGCTCCCGACGTCGTAGCAGAGGATGGACAAGCAATCTAGGCGGGACATCATGTCGAGGAGATTGAGCTGGAAATTTATCTGGCTCGGGCGCTGCTCCAAGTTCAACCTGCTCGCTCGTCTTGACCGATGCCGGTGATTTCTTGAGCGAGCTTCGAGTCGACTCAACTATAGAAGACGCTGTGGCGGACCGCCGCTCGAAGAGGTCGACGAGGGCCTTGACTGTAGCCATACCAGAGCAGAGCACACAGCCGAAAAGCCTCGCGGCTCGCGGAGGTCGTCGAGGTCCCACAGGACCGTCGTGCATCATCAGCCTCTCTCTCGAGCACGTGGGATGCCAAGACCGTTAAGCACTACCCATGCGGTTCGTCTGCTGAACCGCCTGGCGGAGCGAGCAGCTAACCTTGTTGGACCGCACGTTGAACACATCCTAGTCCTTTGCACATTCTCTGGGATTGTCGCAAAACTGATAGGAAGCACAACAACGTATGAGTCACCCGTGACGCAGAATCCGGGGAGATACAATGTCATTGTCGAAACGATTACATATAGATAGCTGATTGAGATCAATAGTAATGTAATGGGAGGTATCAATAAGGACATCTTCGCTTCAGGTGGCCGTGTGTGTGGTGAAGTGCACTGACGCATTCGCTCTACAGGAATTCCTTCAGGAGCAGAGCCATGCTAGTCTCCTCGGGAGCCGCGCTGATCAAAGTCTTCTGCACAAACTTCTCCCCGTTGCCGTTCGCGATCGTGGCAGCCGCAATCTGCATCGCTTTGGGCTTGATAGAGTTCTCTGCGATTTCTCCGAGGGGCTCCTGCGCGGTTTTATCGTCGCTGCAGTGCGGGGATACTCGCCAGTTCTTCTTCAGTTCCTCTTCCAGTGGCAAGAGTGAACAAACGAGCTTCGGGTCCTTCTTGATGTTCTCCAATAGTTCAGGAATAGGTTCGATGCGCGTCAGGACTGAAGGATGGACCGTCTCGTGGGTGACATCGTTCATCGCTGTCGGAAGTTCACGCTGGATGGTCTTTGCCAAGTGGAATATGCCTACGGCGGAGCTACAACATCCGTTATGAATATGCCATCATCACGATTAATGAGAGTCAAGCGTACTTATGGCAACGCTGCTTGCCCCATGGCGCCACGGGGTCTGGCAGGGATGCAATGTAATCAATGTCCAAGGCTAGGATATCGCCCACGTGAGCCTGGGAGGCAATGTCAGCGTAGCACAGTGCTGGCTACAACAACCGTACGGACCGCCATCCATGTCAAGGTAAGATCTGCCAAATCATGTTCGTGATATCCGCCACCGATCTAAGTGGTTTAGTTAGAAAAGAATGAGAGAGGGTAGAAAGCCAACTTTACATCTGAGTGGCACCCTATCTCGCATGTGTTGTTAAGAATCCATCTTTGAGCTTAAATGATCGAACGCACCAGAAAACCATGTCTAGAGATGCAGAAGATGTCAATATATGCATGCCGCAGAAGGTAAAAGTGCCCACCTGTCGGAGAATTTGGCCCTTCTTTCTCCCAGCATCAGTCTGCTTGAACTTGGCACAATTCTGTCTCGCAAGTATTAGAACAATGCGATCGACCAATCGAATGACATACGAAGTCTTCTCTGTGTTCATCTAAGGCCAGTGCCTGATATGCCCTCTCGATATGATCGCCGAGGGTATGGTCGTGGAATCCAAAGAGCGTCGTGACTTTCTGAGACCGACGGGTCAACTCTTCTGGCAAGCCCACGGACCCAACTGTGTCAAAAACACCGACACATCTACGGTTCTTCAGTTTGGCGCGTTGACATCACACACTATAGATGCTCACTTGATGGAGAAGCTGTTTGGATCCAAATTGACTCGCCGTTTCCCGGGACAGTCTGGACTGATCCAAGAGGCGAGCTTCTCCTCCACTTGCGCTTTCTCTACCATGGTTCACAATCAGTGAGCGTGCAGCGGCGCAAACGTATTTTATGGTAGCATACCATCTGGATCCGTCACTTTCCCTCGTTTCTGGAATGCAATAAATATTTCCGCGAAATGATCCATGTCCATTCTATTGAGCACTCCAATCGCTCCCTAGGATAAAATGCTAAGCAACATGAAAACCGAAGTGTACAAAAGAAAACGTACGATAAAAGAAGCGACAGTTCGAGCAGTATATGCTCCCTGGCATGAAATCAGACAGTGCGCAGGCCAATCGATGATGTAACGTTACCCTAGAGAAACCAAAGAGGAAAATCTGTCACGGATAAGTCAGCTTTCTGCTGAATGACAAGTCCTTTCATGGACAGACCTCGTCGCCGGGCTTGTAGTTCCTGGTTAAAAGTGTCAATTCTGAGTCAAACGGGACTGGATAAGATTAAAAAAAAAAACGCATACTGGGCAATGAAAGCATATGCCTCTTCGACTTTCTCTCCTGAAAACGCACCTGTCAGCAAGTGTGACAACTTCATACACAAACATCTAGGAGTACCTAAAGTCGCTCCAGTGCCCCCTTGATAATTTACGAGCATTAGCATGAACCATTGATGGATGGCGTGAACCTTACCATCCACGATTTGGTCGTACAGGCTGCCGCTGGAGCCTATACCTGACTGATAGAACACAATCTGGGGTATGGGAGGGTCCCTATAAGAAGGCATGGTGATGAGTGCGGTTGGACATAGCGTTGCAAAGGTGAACGACTACTGACTGCCTAATATCGAGGTGCTGAATAGCTCGGGAGAGTCGCTAGTATTAACATTGAGCCGAGGTCAGCTCCAAGTTGCAATGAACCGAGAGCTTCAGAAATACGCACCAGCACATTGGTATACTTCCAGCGTTCTTCAACGACGATCCCATCCTGCCAGGTACTGCAAGATCTATATTTAGTCCTCGGCCATCAAAGAAAGAACGAGTTGGGAACGCACCCATCGCAGCAGACAATGATTCTCTTCTGGAGTTTCTTACTGGTACCCATCACGACGGATGAATGTGGAGGGAAGGTACTAGAGCGACAAGCGGGGGATTTTGACGAGGATTGCGAAGGGGGCTGGGGCTCGGCGTCGGCATCAGCGTTGACATGGTCACTGTGGGCTGACGGCGTAAATCGCTGTTTGGTCTGCATTGTGATTTAGACCTGGAAGAAAGACAGATGTGTCAGGTGTATGCCAACACCGACCTTTTATAATATATCCTGTTGTATCGTCAGGTCCCATGCGTCACGCAGAACAACGGCCGTGGTCCACTAGTATCACTAGAACAGCTGTCCGGGTTTCGTTGATACGGCTTTGCGCAGCATTGCACCAGATGGTGGTGTGAGAATAACGGAGATTTGATCCAAATTTGACAGACCGTGATGTCGCTAGCTTCTTACAACCAAGAACTCGCAGTGCCTGTGGGTTTGGTACCGTGTCTGGAGCCATCGCTGACTCGGATGCATCAATCATTGAGATCGGCGCCCACGAGCAGCTACTTGAACTTACAATTGCAAGGCGCCACGCTCATTGGTCGCCGTAAGGAAGCAAATGCAATGCCAAGACCTACGCTAGTCAATTACTGTGTAGACTAGGAGTACAACAACATCCGCACAGCGGCGCGCTCAATAGGACAGCGAGTAGTGTATCAGTACTGTCGGCAGGAGTGTAGCGTAATTGAGCAGAGTGCAAAGTCCGACCCTGTGATACATCTCCACAGCGTTCCAATCAATGACTATTTTCCAAGCCGCATCTCGGCGGCTGCGAAATCGTCCAGTGCCCGCCGAAACGTCGTTTCTTGCAACGGTTGGCCCGCTCCACTGGCGCCGCTCTCTGATGGTCGCCACCATCTCCATTTGTTTGGCAGTTCATCAAAGCTGAATGGTGAAAGTTCAATCAGCGGCGGGCCTGTGCATCTAAAGTGACAGCCTCACTAAAATTCTGTGAGTCTGATTTGCCACGGCGGGAACCCGTGAAGCTCTAGTGGCATTCGGGCGGTTCTTGGGGAAATACGATAGATGATCATGAGTTCCGGCGATGGGAACCCTTCTTTGCCTGTTACGCAAATAAAGTCAGCACCGCCGACTGAAACCAGGCAATGCTACAGAGGCAACCTTCCAATATGTCATTGAGGTCCCGTTCGGTGAACATGGGGAATTCGTCGCTTGCTGCTGGAGGACAGCTTTCTCGGAGATCTGTTCGACGCTTGTGCAGGAGCGCACTCGCGACCTGTGAAATAGCGGGCTTCCCGGATTGACGACTGAGAATATGTACCGTCAAGGGCGCAACTGTGGGTTCTCTACCTACATCTTCGGAGTCAGTGAGCAAGCTTAGAAAAAGAAAAAGGATTATTACGTTCTGAACGACGGTGACGGAGAGTGGTCTTGACCCCAAGAGCTTTCTTGTGCGTTTTGGACACAGCATCCGAAACGTGTAGTGTGCGGACGTTCAGTTCGAAAGGTGAATGCTCAGCGTCGGGAGTTGATGGTTGGGAATCTGAGTCTTCGGAAGAAGGAGGTGTGAGCGGGAACTCGAGTTCAAACTCGTCATTAGTTTCGACTGAGTAAATGTCGAGATGTTTTTGCAGACGCTCGCGAATATCCAAGGATGCCTTCTCCAGTATCCCTAACGTTACACAGTGAGTTTGGCATTCAGTTATGCGATGTCTGCAAGAACACACCTTCGCGGTCGTATACGGTAAGCCTGGCAATCCCTACTTTGCGACACCAAGCTGCCGCCCTCTCGACGCTTTCAGCCAAGAGTGATTCCGCTTCCTCGGCGTCCACAGCATCGTCCGTTACCAACAATAGGGCAAGATGTTTTGGGACTTTCTTTCGTTCTGCAGTGAGGAATTCTGGGTCATTCTTGATAGTAAGGAGGGACTGCAATCGAATAACCAGCCAGTACACGGAATGCAGAATGGCAAGGACGACCGATGCCAACCAGGACATCAAGAGATAGCCAGCACGTCTGTAGACGTGTAAAGGTGCCCAGGCAAATGAATGAGTGACAATGGTATGGAAAGCAGTGTGCTAAATGCTTCCTGGGGAATACGGAACACGGCGATGTTGAACGCGCCGCAGACGCGAATCCACGTAGTATTGACACCTCACAGTATCACGTGCATTGATAGGCTTTTTGAATGGCTTCGCAGCAATATATTCAGCATGGTGCATTATACAGACAGCGAGCATATGGAGCACGAGAATATATATAACTTGTGGATGAGGGGGGACTGCGATGTGTGCGTTGTCCGAATAGAAGTTCCACAGAATCCGCACGTATGTTTACAATGGCCTCAGGAAAATAGGTACAAGTACTCTACAACAGAACTCCGTCTAAGTCAAGCCCGGCTCCTCCTGGATGCACCTCTTGACCTTCAGAAGGATGTTCGTCTTCCAATTGTCCAGCTTCGTGATCTGGTCGTACTCAAAGACTGCGGCGGTAAACGTCTCAGTATCCCCGGCTTCCATCGCGTCCACTAGGACACTGATGAACTTGGCTTCTCGCGTGGAGGAGAATGTCGTGTCCAGGGATGCGTATTTTGACAAGTTCCGCTTCGCTGTGACAGTGTCCTGTAGCAAGCGGACAAATGAACGATAGTCATTACGTATAATGGATACACTTACACTCATGGCAAGAGCGCATAGACTGGCCCTGAGCCAGTACTCCTTCACACTGTACTTCGTGAGAGCAGAGCTCAAGGAGCCATTTGCCACTTGCTCGTATCGAGCGATCGCCTGAGGATACTCCTCCAACTCGGCGTGGAGGTCAGCCGCATCTTTGTAGCAAGCGTTTGCAGTCCTGCATTCGGTCGTCAGCCAGCTCCCAGGAGAATCTGTTTATACATACGCTTGAGCGTCCTCTTGCGAATACCACTCTGCCGCCCGCTCGAAACTATCACAGGCTTTGCGCAAGTCGTTCAGCTCTGTGAGGTAGATCTGACCGATCTCTTTCTCTCGATCTGCAGCCTGGCGGAAGCGGCCGCCGCGTGTAAGATGGGTGATCGTCTGGGACAACGCCTGTATAGCGACTACCCGCTATGTCAGAACCGCGTGAGGAATGCGGGTAGAGTGAACGCACGCTCGGGCTGTCCTCTCTTGTACGCCTTGGCTGCGTTCCACCAGGCGTTAGCGGCCTCGGTCGTCTCCTGGCACTTCTCTCTGCACTCGGCCTCCCTGGCATGTGCGTCTCCTGCTTCCCGGAACAGCTTGTCGATCTTGAAGGCATTGGCGGCCTGCTGATACAGATCGCCGGCCTCCTCGTACTTGGTCGACGACGAGGAGAACCAGCCAGAAGATGAATTGGCCTTCTTGTCGGCCTTCTCGAGCAGTGTCTGCGCTGGAGACTTGGATGGCATGGCGGTGATTGGATTGAGCTGTGCAACGAGCAGTCGCCGAGCCGGCGGGCCATGACGCCGTCACGCACGTGTCGCGCGCTGGTGGCTGCAGGGAACGGATGCTTCGTGCTCGATCGCTGCTGCATATTCGGCTGTCTCCTCCACTCACTTGCTCTGACACGTCACCACAGACAACCGCATCGCAATGGCCAGCTTGCCCACCGATGCCCTCAGGACATACTCTGACAAGCACCCGAAGCCAAACAACCTTCGCTTCCAGTATGGTACTGCTGGATTCAGGACGCTGTACGTGCCAAAGAGACATTCGTTCTTTGCACTTTGTTGAATTATGGACGTAGCGGAAATGTGCTGGACTCCGTCATGTTTAGAGCAGGCGTGCTGGCAGGCCTGCGTAGCAAAAGAATGGATGGAAAGACTATCGGTGTCATGGTGACTGCATCGCACAATCCTGAACCGGTACGGGCATTCATACGATGCCACGTCATACTGCTGCTCACAATGCTCCTAAGGACAATGGCGTCAAGCTTGTTGACCCCCGGGGAGAAATGCTGGAAACATCTTGGGAAGTTCATGCGACGGCCCTCGCCAACGCACCCACGACCGACGCGTTCATTGAGGCTCTGAACCAATTTGTGAAGACGCTGAAGATCGACTTGTCGAAGCCTGCCAAGATTGTCTATGCCAGAGACACTCGGCCGTCTGGCGCCGCGCTCATATCTGCGCTTGAGGATGGAATTAAAGCTATCGGCGCTGAGGGACGCAACGCAGGTGTTACGACCACTCCAGTTCTCCACTATCTCGTAAGAGCGATTAACACAAAGGGTGAATATGGCAAAGACTCGGAAGAAGGCTATCTGATCAAGCTCAGCACCGCTTTCAAAAAGCTCGTGGTAAGAACATTCAGTGGCTGCTTTCCCGCAAACTTTAACCTAAATGCGCCTCGCAGGCTGGCAAACCTTCGCCTCCCCCGCTCGTTGTTGACTGCGCTAACGGCGTTGGCGCTCACGTTGCTAGCAAGCTAGCCGAGTACTTAGGTGACTCATTACGATTGATCCCTGTCAACACGTCCACAACCACACTTGGAACGCTCAATCATGACTGCGGTGCTGACTATGTCAAGACCAGTCAGAAGTTGCCTCCGTCGCTTGCATCTGTCTTGAAGCCAGGACAGCGCGCTTGCAGTCTTGACGGGGATGCAGACAGACTGATCTATTACTACCTTGATGACCGAGGCCAGTTCCACATGCTTGATGGTGACAAGATCGCAGCCCTCGTTGCTGCGTTCATTGTTGAGCTCACTAAAGCGGCTGGCTTGGAAGACCAGATTAAGGTCGGCATTGTCCAGACAGCGTACGCTAATGGCGGCTCTACGAAATATTTGTCCGAGGTGAGCGGTCACTGTACTATGCATCCGGTTGGACGGGACTTTAATCGCTGTCTACAGCGTCTACCGGTCAAGTGTGTTCCGACCGGCGTGAAACATCTTCATCATGCGGCGGAGAAGTACGACGTTGGCGTCTACTTCGAAGCTAATGGTCATGGTACCGTCCTCTTCTCCCCAGAGAGCCTGAACATCCTATCGAACCATCAGCCATCCACTCCTGCTCAGTCTACCGCGCTTAACCATATTATCAACCTCACGGATGTAATCAACCAGACTGTAGGAGATGCGCTGTCTGACATGCTCCTGGTGGAGGTCGTACTCGCCCACAAATCGTATAGTGGGGAAGAATGGAATTCGCTCTACGTTGATCTCCCCAATCGGCTGGTCAAGGTCGTTGTCGCCGATCGGCACATCTTCAAAACAGAAGACGCTGAGCGTCGCCTCGTTAGTCCTCCCGGCATACAAGCTAAGATCGACGAGCTGGTGCGGAGATATGAGGGCGGACGCGCCTTCGTGAGACCAAGCGGGACGGAAGATGTGGTTAGGGTGTATGCTGAGGCCATGGTCAAAACCCAAGCGGATGGTGAGAGTGTCCGGATGTATCTCGAAGTGCGTTAGTACTGATCTGTCCTATCAGAACTTGCGTTCCGTGTGGCTGGGCTTGTTTACGACGAAACGGGGGGCGACCCAGTTCGTCGGCCGGTCGAGTTCCTGTGAAGACACTTGGAGAAGAAGGAAATCTGAGAATTCAGACTGTCATTGTACTGTAGTGTATAGGCTGCCGGGACTGTCATTCGTTGCTCACCCTCGTCTACTTCTGCATTGTAATCCCCGGTCTGTGAATAGCCAGACGTTCGGAGGTTCTACACGGTGTTAGCGGAATAGATGTGTCGGCATTTGCCGGAGTACGACATTTTGCCTATGCCTCCGACCGGCCACCTATAATAATGTCGACATCCTTTCGACATGTTCCGCCACTCTCGGTTCAGCGCACTCACAGCTCGTCCGCACTCCTTGCTCTCTAACGTCGACGTTATCTCTCCCCTTCGCTTAAATGTGTCGCTTTGTGATCTATAAGGGAACATCCCCGGTGCAGCTGTCGCACCTGCTCACTCGCCCCTGCCATTCAATCATAAACCAGGCCTTTGACTCGCGGTTGAGGTTAGACCATAGGCGGCCTATTAATGGAGACGGGTTCGGAGTTGGTGAGCCTTGGTGCTGCGGAAACTTTCCTTGCAATTCTGACGATCGTTGGCGTAGGGTGGTATGACTCTGTCTATGACGAGGAACTTGGTAGCCAGCCGTGCATCTTCACGTCGGTGACACCTGTACGTTCTCCTCTTACCCCGCCCGCCTTGCAACATCTCATTGTTTACATAGGCGTGGAATAACGTCAACCTCGTACGGCTAGCGGAGAAGATTAAGTCGCCTCTGGTGTTGTGCGTAATACTGTCTCTATATCCTATGGACGATCGATATGCTGACAACGTGTTATGGCAGCGCCCATGTCCGCGCAACGACTGCTGGCTCTCTCAGTCTGGACAATTGCCATCCATGGTCATTTGGGAAGCTCATGGTAAGTCGCGTGCCGCAGTTCAGTTGTACACATCTAAGACTGATGTTCGCTTAGTGGATGCACAACGGAAGCATCGCGGAATTCCCAAAGATTAAGAGGAGGTTGCAGTCGTTCTTGCCGGATGAGCTGTTCAACATGGTGACGGGTAACACTGGTATGCTCTGTCGCGCTTACCCTCCGACCTTTTTGATGCTCACTGCCTGCTATGCAGACTCGCAATGGGCTTTCGCGCTGTTTCTTTCCAAGGTACCCATCTTGCCTGGTATTCAGTCGTTCGTCTTGCTGATGCCGTCACAGCTGCCAGACCCCCACGCCAAATCGTTCCCACCTGACGTCTTGAGGCGAGCGATGACGGAAACCATTGCGCATATCAATGCCATGACAGAAGCAGAGAACATTACTGAGGTTAGTTGAATTTGGCAGGACGACTTTTGACTCAACATTGACGCATCCGAACAGCCAAGCCTGATGAACTTTTGCGTCACCGATGGCGAGAGCGTCGTGGCCACACGGTACATTTCTTCGCGCCATGACGAAGCTGCCTCATTGGTAAGTGCGACTGCGGTTGTTGCAGTTGTCGCCCCTCACATTGCTCTATCGCACAGTGGTTCTCGTCTGGTACTACATTCAGCGAATATGCTGAAGGTGGCCACTACAAGATGTCGAAGATGGACAAGCGGGAGAACATTATAATGGTGAGCGGTTTGTGCTGCATAGTCACAGCGGATCCTTCTAAGCTTGACCTTTAGGTGGCAAGCGAACCATTGACTTTTGAGAAAGGTGGGCAAGAATCTCTTTTCATGACATGCAGCTGCTGACGTTCATCATATCTGCTCAGCGGACTGGATGGAGATTAAGACGAACCACATGGTTGTCATCACGCCCAAGATGAATATCTTGCAATTCCCCATCGTCGACAAGTACTACGTGCCGCCATCGGATCCTACGGCGTTGAATCGCGGCACCGAATTTGCTGCATCGAAGGGCTTGCTGAGCCCGCGTCGGGATATCTCCATTAGACCAGCGGAAGTAAAGTTCGCGGCAAACTGCCCTCCTCCTGTTCTTGTCATCTGATCATCCTGCATTTCATATGTGTGACCTTTTTGCTATCTATTTGCTTCCACACCTGTATGCGTAGCTGTTGTATGTATGATTCGTACCATCCCCCATAGCACCTCTTCGTAATCGGATTTTCTTGTTCTACTTTTTCTGGTATGATGGCCACGTGTTGTGGCCTGAAGGCGGACTGGGAAATATCTTGGCGAGGACGTCGAGCATGCCTGCTGCCACAACCTCAGCAACTTGAGAGCTAGTGCTCCCGCGGACTCCCACATCGCAGGACCGGCTTGCTACCAGCCACTTGACACTGTAATGGCTATGCCGGGTCCTCGGTTAGTATGGAGCGCAGTCACTAGCACGGCACGGTAAGTTGTCCGTTCGGAACTTCTGGTTGTGCAGAAACCACTGTGGCTGGCTATGTCTTGCTCATTCAGATGGCATACTGGCTTTTGCACAGTCAGAAATCTTCCTCCATTTACTCTGAGGAACGTATCTGACAGTTCTGCAGGCTTTCAACCGTGCTGCAAATTCTCATATTTCTCCCTTTGACGCTCTCGACGCTTTCCACCCCAGCTTTTCTGCTCCTTTCTCTACTTCTCTTCATCCACTCACTCATACATGGCACTCTTGTACTATTCTGGGGCTCTCCGGCACTGTCTGTCATGCAGGTGCCAATGCACCCTTTCCTTCTGCTCGTCTGCTTCAATGTATTCTCGCAAAGCGTGCACCCGTGGCTCATCACTGCATCGTTGTGGTGGGGCACGCTGCTCAAATGGTCCAGCCCTGGCTTTGTCTTGATGGAGGGTCTTTCGAGTCTATTGATTGTGCAGAAGCTGGGGCAGGTTGGGAAGGAATTGGTCGAAGAAGGAGACAGGTATCAGTTCGGCCTTCTTGTGGCTGCTGCAGCAGCCTACGTAACGTCGGCATGGTGGATCGTCGAGGCACGTCTTCTGCCAGAACACTCGTCGTGTGCAGGCTGATGAATTGTTTTCTAGGCTTACCCTGCCGCAGCGACCTCACCACTCGAGTCCACCCTGCTCGGCGTGGCTCTCACGACACTCATCTTTCTTACCCTCATCGGATTCGTACTTCGACGTACCAATGTCATTGAGTCTTCTGGACTGGCGTTGTTCGTGGCGTACAACGTCTGGCAATGCGGTTTCGACCAGCAGTCATTCTCAAATCCTGCCGCTTCATAGTAAGTTTTGCACCGTCACTGTCGAGACCGTACAGCATGAACAGTAGTACCATTGATCTAGTGCTCCCTTACTATCGAACATCCTTCCCCATTTGCAAACGCTAGTGAACTTCGTCACCAATACCTTACCTACTCCAGTCCTCGTGGCTCTTGGTTATCGCCTTATTGTGCTCCATTTTGCATCGCAGATTCTACCGACTATAGGCGCGGATAGCTGGGAGGATGAATGCGGTGTTGATGGCGGGTGGGAGGAACGCCCGGTACGCTCAATGTGCCGCAGAAGTATTCATTAGTGCTGATTCGGTTACAGACGTCAAAGTTGACTCATGTATTACTGACGTACCGTCAAGCAATATTCGTCACCGTATATTCTCATTTGCTCTGTACGCCTTCCTGCCTTAGTCAACGGCCGCGACATTGACATTGACTTGCCTGTAGTGCTGGATCATTATTCTCAAGTTTGGTGGCGATGGATGAATATCTTCATGACCTTGGTGATTTGGTCGATAGAGCTGCTTGTCAGCAGCGAAGACGATGGCAGCGTCATGAAGAAATGGAAAGCTGATTAGCCTCTGTCGTGCATGCCAGACGCGTCTTCAGACATCGCAAAACTCCAGATGTTGCACAAGTACATTGCAAAACACGGTTCCCGCGTGATGAGGAGCCTATTACGCAGTTATTCACGTACTGACATTTGCTTTCCATTTTGCCTCTTGTTCTCGTTAGCCCTCGTGAAATTCCCTCTTTCATAATTGTGCCTTTAACTTCACCTTTTCCAGGATCTACTCCAACGCTATGAACGCCTCCTTGTGGTGCGGAGATGAGAGCACAACCACGAAGGGCGGTTCTCCCTGTTCCCAGCCTGTGATAGGTTGCCGAGCGAATAAGAGGGGATGGGTTGATGGTCTTCTGGATGGAGCGCAGAACGCGAATGTGCATTGTGTGCATTGCGAATGATGTCGGCCCTGGTCTTCATGCATTGATGGCCAGCTTGCTGTAAAGCCTCACTGTGTGATCACCTTGTCTTCTGGAATACATCGCGAGGCCATCTTAGATTACTTTTCGAGTTGTGCCGATGAATACCGTTGTAGTCTTGATGATGTGGTCTACGCTCAACGCATCAGGACAGGGACATCTTTGGGAACACCAGCGTAGTGTCAGTCGACGCAGAGGATGTCGCCGTCATGATTGAGTTGCGAAATATACTAGCAGCTGCGTGGACGGTATTCCATCTTATGACGCGAAATGTGCCTGCACTTGACTTCGAAAGTCTCGTTCACATATCCTTCTCCGGACTGTCAGTAACTTGAAGCGTCTATAGGAATGTATTGAAAAAATGCTGCTCTCTGCTCGTCGGTCTGTATCCTTTCCATCGTGGTACCGATGCCACAAGAGGACATTCTCCATCAAGCAAAACGGCCTGACAGGACTCGTTGATATCCACCCTGAAGTACGCGATGCTCTCGCCAACCATAAGCCAGTGGTAGCTCTCGAGACCACCATTGTCACACATGGAATGCCGTACCCTGTCAACCTGAAGACCGCGAGATCGGTGGAGAACATTGTTCGCAGCACAGGAGCAGTCCCTGCAACCATTGGCATTATCGAAGGCCAAGTGAAAATCGGTCTTGAGCCGCACGAGTTGGAGCGGCTGGCCGATGTATCGAAGAACTCCTCTGTTGTGAAGGTGTCTCGTCGCGACATTGGACCTGTGATAGCATTTAAACGGGATGGAGTTGAGTGCATTGGGCGGTAATATTGCGTCTTGTATATATATCTGACATGCTATCGGCAGGGCACAACTTGCAGTGCTACGTTGATTTTTGCTGCATTAGCTGGGATCAAGGTGAGCGGCATATGTCAATGAAAATGGCTGGTATGGTCGGTAATGCTGTACTACTACGCAGGTATTCGCAACTGGAGGGTAAGATATCTCTCACTTTACCGATAGGAAGAAGCTGAACGGACACAGTCTAGGGGGTGTACATCGAGGCGGAGAGAACTGTGCGTTGTCCGCAGCTTGAGGCTCATCTTTATTCCAGCGATTGTAACCAATCATTTCCAGCCATGGATGTCTCTGCAGATCTTCATGAGCTGACGCGGTGTCCTGTTGGGCTTGTCTCAGCCGGAGTGAAATCAATCTTGGACATCGGAAGGTCAGCAGCTCTTGCGCCATCAGCTGAGGCATTCCAATTTACGAGCGACCTGCAGAACACTTGAGTACCTGGTAGATTAAGTATTGCTGTCTTTATATTGGTGCACTGAACATCTCTGTAGGAAACCCTTGGCGTCCCCGTTGTGTCGTATGCCGAGACAAACGATTTCCCTGCGTTTTACACGAGAAAGAGTGGATTCAAGGTAAATGACACGTTTTCCATAGTTTCAAAGATGATCACGGAACATGCTTCGTAGAGTCCTTGGAGAGTTGACGACCCTGTGACTGCGGCACGTATCCTCTGTCAGTCACAACCCATGACGCCATTCGCTCCGGCTCATAATCATCACAGATTACCAGCAAGAGTTGGAAATGAAGAATGGTGTACTGTTCGGTGTCCCAATACCGGAGCAGTACGAAACCATTGGCGAGAAACTTCAAGAATCCGTAGAGCAAGCTCTCAAAGAAGCGGATGAAAACGGTGTGAACAAACTAGGGAAGGAGGCAACACCGTGGCTTTTGAAACGCGTCGGAGAGTTGACTGCGGGCAGATCACTGGCAAGCAGTAAGCTACCTTTCATGCGTGCCCAGTCTCCCTTCTCATCTTAACAGATGTAGCACTCATTGAGAATACGGCACATGTCGGTAAGTCCACGGCAAGTGTGGAAGTTTCGAATCGACTGAGCAGATGATATTGGCAGGTGGCCAGATTGCTGCGGCATACTCTCATCTGGCGAATGGAGAGAACAAGCCACATCACGCGGTATGCTATTTGTGTGTGCTATATTGTCAGAGTGAAAACTCATGATAGCTGCCAGCATGTTGCGTTGCCATCAGCTGGTCCAGTATCGCGTACCGAACCTGAGCAGTCCGATTCGTCTCTTGTGAAAGAATCGTCGGTGGTGTGTGTGCTGCTCTGTCGTTGAATCCAGGTAGCTGACCGTCAATGCATGTGCAGCCTCCAGCGAAATTGGTCATCATCGGATCCGCTGCGGTCGATGTCACTGCTCAGGCCGACGGCTCCAGCGTTACCGATCCATCCGTGGGGCTGCATAGCACCGTTCCTGGGACTGTCTCCCTTTCTCTCGGAGGAGTAGGACGTAACGTCGCAGAGGCTGCCTATCGTACCCTATCATCGCGCTCTGAAGACGGATCCGCTGCCACCCTTCTAATCTCTTCTGTCGGACAGGACTCATTTGGCCGTTTGCTCGTCAATGAGATGGAACGCATGGGCATGCGGACTGATGGACTTATAACGCAAGATTCCGCGCGGTCGGCAATATGCAACTTGGTCCTGGATAGCGCCGGTAGTCTCATTGGAGGTGTCGCCGATATGAAGATTATTGACTCTCTTGACAAACAAACGGTGAGCAACTGCATTGAACATAGCCATAAACGACAGATCCAAGTATGCTCTTTCTTGCCAGGCTCTACAGGCGCTCCAGAAGCATCAGCCCACGATGGTTGCGCTGGATGGTAATTTGTCAAAAGAGACACTTGTGGCGTTAGTAACGCATTGTCATCGCAACAACATCGCTGGTGGGTAGCATATAGGAAGCTGGATGGTCTTGTACTAACCGCCGCTCAGTTTTCTAGTGCGTATAGCAGTTGCGTCTCTCCCGAGATCGTGACCAGACCATCCATACAGTGAACCAACATCGGTCCCAAAATCAACGAACATCTATCCCGCCATCGCCGCAACTCTGGGTTCGCCCGGTCGCTTCCTTTCACCAATCTCTTTCACGGCACCTAATATGCTTGAGCTGGCGCATATGTACCAAGAAGCCGTCGCAGGACCGTTCGAGCTGACCGCGCAGGATCATTGGTGGAAATCCATCGATGACATGGCGTTAGGATCTGAGTTCCGCACGGATTTGGAGCACTTGGCGAGAATGAATGCCTGCGATCAAGACCGAAGCAAGGGCACGTTAGATTTCCTGATCAGCAACGGAATTGCACAAATGGCCATCAACCTTTTGCCTTTCTTCCAGCATCTCGTCATCAAGTGCGGCGACCGTGGTGTCATTGTGGTAATGCGCGCTACGGAGCACGGAGCAACTTCGTGGCTTCAGGAGCGCAGCAATGTGCGTGGCCGCTATGTTGTCGCTCGCAACAAAGCAGGAACCGGTGCTATAGTCTTGAAGCACTACCCTGCCGCTGTGCTACCGAAGGAGAAGATTGTGAACGTTACCGGGGCTGGCGATACACTGGTTGGATCCATGCTAGCGACATTGCTGCAGAAGCCACGAGCCTTTGGGGACCCATCATCCCTGGATGAGCTCATCATACACGCTCAGCGAGCGGCGGTGCTCACGTTACAGAGTCAATATGCGGTATCACCTGCTTTATCTACACTTTCTACAATTCCATGAAAACAAAAGTAATGGATGTACATGATTTGTCCTTTCATTCATTCGCTGATGCTCAGAGGGCCAACTTCTACGTGCTCTCTAGCCTTCCGCAACCTTTCCTTCTGAAGTGCTTTCATTGCTCGCTGTTGCTGTTTGACTTTCTTCTCGTAACGGGACTACATTTTCAGTGTAACGCATCAACAGTAGATTTCACTTGACTATGGAGCAACGCACCTGAGCGCCATGCTTCAAACGAGTAATGATATTTGCTGCTTCCCCTTTCGTAAGCCGGCTCAATTTTTGTGCTTTGTCTTGTTGTTGCTCATCGGCAATGTGCTCCATGAATTCGTCCGATTCACGGATTTTCCAGCGTTTTCTGATGAACGCCTTCTGTGAGTCGGTCGCTGACGCCTGCCTCCACTTCGCTCCGCGACGCAGTCTGTATGTCGTGTCAGCAAGGAACTTGGCAAGTTTTGGCTGCAGGCACACACTCCATGGCAAAATGTCCTTGCACCACCTTCACAGTGGCGTACTTATCGGCGGCACGGATCGCGTCGGACAAGTTCGCTGCTATCGCAATCTCACGGCTTCTCTGGTAGGGGGGGATTTTCAATGTGCGCGCTGTTGCCATGGGCAGTGTAGCAGGAGTGTACTGGACTTTGTAAATAGTTTCATCTATCAATGATCGATGATCAGCAATGCTCAGCATCAGCTTTCATAAGCCGACGTACCTTCATCATTCTGATAGGGTTCAACCCTTATGAACCCCCTGCCTAGACACTCTAGGATATAAATATCGCCACCGCAGCCGACCCATGCATGGGGGCTCAGCTTCCAAAGATGAGGAGCACCAGAGGCTTCGTCCACGAGCTCCCATGGATCGTCATAGTCCACGTAAGTTACCGATGTGGGATCCGGGACATCGGGTGCTTTCAACTTTGATGGTTCAGGATCTTCTATGTCGTCCAGCTCGGCCGCCCGCTCCTCGAGTGACTGCATGGATTCGTCTTGTAAGGCAAGATCACTATATCGTTCAGTACCAATAAAATTGGAGAGCTCTCACCATCAATGACCTCCGAGGGATCGAGACCGAACAGCGTAGGTGTACAAATCACACCAGGTATAGTATCCAAAGAGTCCACGAAGTCGATGATCATGCAGTCCTTCTTCCCAGTGTCAGGAGAAAGCCTCATGCCTCGACCAATCTAGATGTGTCAGGTGCACCTGCACTACGCTTCCAAGGCGAGTATAGCATACCATCTGAGCGTACAAGTTACGCGAACGGGTCGGCTTGGCCACTATGACACAATCGATATTCGGGATGTCCGTGCCCTCGGTCAAGACAGCTAAGCCGTGTCATCGATGTGCACTTCCTCTCGCACAAGAGCCGCGTACATACCGCAATTGACAAGGACAGGAAACGTGCCAGCCTTGAACGACTTCACCATGGCGGCACGCTCTGCAGCGGGAGTTCCCGAATGCAGGTATCGGGCATCAACACCTGCTTCACGGAATTCGTGCGTGAGCTCGCTCACATGCGCCAGGTTAACACAGAACACCAGCGTAGATTTTCTATCTGCTGCTTTGTCGAGATAGGCTTTCACAACAAGCTTGTTGAGGGTGTCCGTATTTATAACGTGTGCAAGGCTCGCCGCGCTGAAGTCTCCTGTCCGGCTGCTGACGGTGACCTGCTTGAGGTCTATATCGGCCTGTACTGAGGTGAAGCGAACGTCGCATAGCCTAGGAAGAACGATTAGTTGGGCATTTTGCAACAGATTATGAGCGAACACACCATGTCTCCTTGATCATTTCCCGGAAGTCACGATGATACACGATGCGTTCAAAGACAGATCCGAGCGCGAGCCCGTCGTGTCTGCTAAAGGTTGCTGAGAACCCAAAGATCGGAATGTGGTGGGGGACCTGGGGCAGCACTAATGTTGCATCTGGGTTGCGAATGTTCGTGTCGAAATGGGACAGGATATGACGGTACCTGCATACACATGAGCTTATCGAAATCCATGTGTCAAACGCGATACGTACGTCGGCGCCGCGGCATGATGCGCCTCGTCGACGATGATCGCCTTGAGCCCTTCCGGCTTGAACTTGGCCAGGCGCGAGCCTCGCACGAGAGTTTGATATGTGGCGACAGTCCTATTAACATTTACCAGCACATATCAGGACATTGCCATCGATCGAGGGTGCTGTGACGAGGAGGCGTACACATCCGCCATACCAGTCGCATGGTGCTTGCTACCTTGCTCAATTTCCACACTCCAGTCCGGACACATCTTCCGGACTTGCTCGGCTGCCTGCTTGGCAAGCTCAACACTGCTTACAATGATCATGGAGCGCCTTGCATCAGGATTCTTCGGGACGGCAGGCAGACGAGAGAGCAGCGAGACAAAGACCGTTGTCTTCCCCGAGCCTGTCGGCAGAGACACTCCAATGCGAGTCGATCCTTCGTTTAGCGCATCAAGACAAGCCTGGAGAGCAGACTCTTGATACGGGCGTAGCACTACCTGGGGCGCATGAGATGTCGAGTAAGAGCGCAGCGCGCTGATGCTCGACCGGAGCAGCTGCGAGGACCATAGCATCGAAGAGATGGTCGGGCTCGAAGCTACGCAATTGCTGTTCCGGAAAAAAGCTACTCAGTTATGTACAGCGCGAGTTTTGGACATGTTTTATACTTACTATGTTTCCAAAACGTGTCAGAAACTCAGAGGCGCTCAAGTCAATGAAAGTCTCCGGGAAGGGATCCGATAAGATAAGCGCGCATCGACCTCGTCGGATTGCTTGCTCTCGTTGATACTATAGACTACGTGCATATATCTACAGTTACAAGGTTAGATATGGTGTTCTCTGTGATACCTGTGTACAGTGGTACGAGAGGAAAAAGACCAAAGTCGCCTGAGGCAATCATGTTGCATTAGCTGCCACAGAGTCATTCTGGTAGACCCTCCCTGTGCACAGATGTTCGTCAGTAGTTGTTTCTGGGGAGCTCATGCATGAGGATATGGAGAGTTGAGCAGAGCATGATTATGTCGAGATGAAGTGGTGCCCTATCTGTCTATTGTGTGCATCAAAGGCCTGTGCAGGTGAAATCTGTGGGGAAAAAAGGTCTGTGCCACTCATTTTGACGATAGTTGTTGGGATAGGGAGGACGCGAGTATCCGACAGGTCACTCGCCAACACATGAATAAAAGATAACGTTGACGCCAGTGCTTCAAAATTTGGTCGAAACTCGTTTTGCCCGTAACGCTACAGGCAGTAACTCAAAAATTTCTGTGAAATCATCAGTCACCCACATTCGCGACACGCCAGTTTCTACTTCGGACATCGTCGATTCTACTACGCCAGCTAAGAGGGAGCGCGTGTCCGACATCCTGTAAGATCGAGCTCGTAACCAGATGAAAAATAACCAGAGGATCTACGGTGTATAGTCGTGCGCATGCAATAAGTGATACTACTAAGGGGCCAATACTCGTAAACTCATCCACGCGTGCTATCTCGCTCAGCCGGATCCTGCACGCGACACTTCAGTTCGCGCACGCGAGCAGCGAAAATATTGGTCTACGTACCACCAGAGTAGACTTTGCCGAACATAACCTGCTGGAGCTTGTCGTAGAGCGAGAGCACACCAGCACCAGCGACACCACGGAGGATGTTGGCACCCGCACCCTTGAAAAGCGACTTGGCACCCTCCTTGGCAATGATCTGAGAGCTGGCATCGAACATGCCCTTGTAGTGCGTGGTCGAGCCAGACGTCATCATCATACGACGACTGAGGAAAACGTCAATCGAGATGTTGGGAATCAACCAGGATCCGGCACGTACCGGATAGTGTCCAGAGGGTATGAAGCGAGACCAGCACCAATGGTAACACCCCAGCCGAGCAGGAAGGAAGCCAGGAAGGAGCCCTCCAGCGCACCGACGAGGAGGACGGGCTCTGCAGCGGCGATAAGTGGCCAGCTCGAAGAAGAGCTGGGAGATGATACGTACTGAGCGAGTCGTAGACACCGAAGTAGAGACCACGGTACACAATGATACCAACGACAGACGGAACGAAGCCACGGTAAAGACCAGCAAGACCGTCGGAAGCAAGGGTCTTCTTGTAGACGTCAACCAGGCCGTTGAATTGACGCGCACCTCCACCCTTGGCGGACTTCGCGTCGTTGGCTAGACGGGTACGGGCGTAGTCGAGCGAGTACACGAACAGAAGCGAGGCAGCACCAGCAGCACCACCAGAAGCGACGTTCCCGCCGAACCACTTCCAGTAACCTTCAGACTTTTTGAAGCCGAACAATGCCTTGAAGTAGTCCTCTGCATGCAGTCTCAGCGTCAAATCCTCGGAGGTAATAAAATTCACGAATACTAACTGAAAGCAAAGTTCAGGGCCTGGGTGGGGAAGTACCTGATAACATTGGCGGTGTTGCCTCTCCATAGAGAGACGATACCCTCCTCACGGTAGGTACGGGCAAAGCAGTCCCCAACACCCTTGTAGGGACTAGCGAGACGGCCCTGCTTGATCTACGATGCACCGACACTTTAAGAGACTGCCTTACAGGGACTTCAGCCGAGCATACCATCTCATCCTGGTTCTGCACCAGGAGCTTGATTCGCTCGATGGGTGCAGCGCTCGTCTTCGCGACGGCCTGTGAACAAACGCACAGCTGTGAGAAAGTCGTCCGTGTCATACTTGCACGCGATACGTACAGCCGACACACCACCCATCATGAAGTCGACTGTATGATGAAGCCAGGTAAGCACGCGTCATAGATGAAGACACCATGCACGAGCAACATCGCGCAGGGCAGAACAGCAGACACGTACTGGCGAACTCCCTGGGCGTCTTGCCCTTCTTTTCGGCCATTTTGACGGGAAACCGGGGGAGGGGGAGGAGAGTGGAGGTGGTAAACAAGTTGAAGGAAAAAAGCACGCGCACGATCGCTCAAGTAGGATTTCGGACGCTGCCGGGGCTCGCCGGCGAGGAACAGCCCGGGCGTGACCGACTCTCACTGGCTGGCAGCATTGTTGCCGGCAGCCCAATCAGAACCTGCTACGTCTGTGCAGGACCAATCAGGTCTTCATTCTTCCCTCGACATTTCGGACGACATAAATTCGTAATGTATCACAAAGTACACCTGCCATAGAAGGATCAAAGCCACGAGGGACAGTTACAATTCCCTCCATGTACACCCCACATCCGACGCTGCAGGAATACATACATGCACAGCCTTACCCCGTCGATCCGCGATTCATCAGCTACGGCCGCCACACATCTGGCAACACAGACGTCGAGTCCGCTCCGTTCGTCCTGGAGTACCCACGCTGTTGAATTGAATGTCGCGGCAGCCCAGCCATCGGCGGCGGCAGTGACGGCGGGAAATACGGGGGACTATACTGCTGCGCACCAGGACTGTAAGACGGGCTATACCAATACGATGAGGAGGACCCGTCGAACGAGTGCATTGGCGGCGGAGGCAGCGGATTACGCGACCCATTCGGATATCCCGATCCTGCATGGCTCGACGATTGTGAAGCGGACGCACCGTCTGTTCGCGACTTCTTCCATATTTGCTCCGTCGGTGACGGCAAGTCGTTATCCATCGTTTTCCTCTTCTTTGGCGGCGGCGGCGGCGGCGCTGGCTCTTCGTCATCCGAGTCCAGCGTCAAGTCAATGACCGCATTGTCTAGGGAATGAGATCCACGAGTACTCTGGGAAGCTAGACTGGACGTTGCACGGTCATTCGATGGAGACAACTCCCTCTTGACTCTGGCATCATCGTCTTCATCGTCAGAATCCAACACAACAACCTCCGCGTTGGCCGGACGGTGATCCTGCCCATTCGCGACACTCGACACCTTCTTTGGCGAAGACGACGACTGCTGGCCGGAGGTGGGTCGCGGGGGCTGGGTGGCGGCGGGCTGAGAGCGCGCTCGCGCCGTAACCCATTCAGTCGAACCATATTTGTGATCTTCAGTGTGCCATTGCCCGTCAGCCTCCACGATGACATCTTCTACGTCGTCTGGGGTGTTCTTCAGAATGTTATCGAAATAACTGCGAGACATTATGAGCATCATGTGCAGGCTCAAATCAATAGGCATACCCGTCCACAATCAGATCCTCGACGTTCAAGACTTTCTCGCAGACGGGACACAGCCAAGTGGTAGTCTGTTCCATGAGGGAGTACCAAGAAAAGGCATCAAAACATTGTGGATGCACACAATGTGAAGAGCGACAAGGTGTTTGAATACGCATATAGCTAAGCTGAATAGAAATTCAAGATTGAGTGGAGGAACGTGAGCCATGAGTGCTTACCGGACATTTCAAGGACATCTTCTGATGACCAGCAACAATATCGTCGTCTATGGAAGCTGCTTTGGCCACTATATGATATGGTCAGCACATTGACGCATGAATGAACCATCCTACACACTCTGTGCTCTGATCTCTTCACCGCGTTTGTACTTTCCCTTCTTCAGGCGGTCAACGAGTTGTTCAACAGTCGTGGTTTCCACCAGCATGACTATGATGTAATATTTCTGTCAAGGTGCTCAGCCCATACAATGTCCCCCATAGATCAGTATCCAAGCATACCTTTGCCTGGACAGGTTGCTGGCTGTTCACGTACACCATCTCCACACGGTTCGTCGCACCCAGAGTCACTCGCAGTTTCTTTCCTATGTCCGGCGGTGGCGCCGTGCCCGGCTTCTTCTTCATGCCCTTGAGGTTCGCCGACATAGCCTCACCATTTACGCGTACTTCACAAGTGGGCGGAAACTCGATAAGGGCCGGCACACTCGTAGGGCGGAATGCATTAGCGGGTGTGTGGAAAGAGGACGATGTACAGTACAGCCGTAGCTGGTACTTCGGGCTGAGCCAACGTCAACGGCGCATATGAAACTATGCAGGATCAACACGCACTGTGGCGAACTCAACTTCGACAATATATCCTTATCAATTTGGAAATGTAGCGTCTGTTGTCGTCGATCCATCGAGCTCGTCGATTCTGACAAAATTGGCAATGATAAAACTCCTTGTCAATTGCCTATGGGCGGCACTAACCTGGACATTCGATAAGAGAGGACACGGCGCGTTCCACTCTATAGAAGGGCGATGGCTTGAATTTAATCGCTGAACCGTATCAATCAGCGCTTGGAGCAAACTTGAGGCTGGCAGTATTTACTCACGAGGCGCAGGATCTGACGGGGTTGAAGATGATGGCGCAGAAGACACGGCGGGCCTCCGAGCTGGCGCATATGGATTGTAAGGCGGGATGGAACTCGTGCTTCCAGGGACGCTGGACGGATAGGCATGGCTGCTAGACGACACAGAATTCGGATACGCATTATGTGACGAGGGCGATACCCCAAATCCGAATCCGCCAGACATCCCGGTTGGGCTGTAGCTGCACAAGCGAGACACGGTCGTCAACAATCATTCGAACCGAGAAGGTCGCGCCGCCGAACACGTTCGAGCATTCGCTCGCGTCCGACAGTGCACATACGCAAGTAGATGAATGGCACTCACACTCCTGTCATGCGCACTTGATCGAGGATGGCCTTGGCCTTCGTCCACCTCTCCGTATTGCCTTGCTCGCTCCAATTGTCCATCTCGCGTGTGATTCTGTCAATAAGCTCCTGCTTCTTCCCCGACTTTGTCAGGTTCGTCCCGCACTCGTCGTTAAACCCGGTAAGGATATGCTTCAGACGGTCCACCGTATTCTGTTTGACGCTGTGTCGCAAAGTCTGCGAGCGGGGGGGAGCATGAGCGGTCCACCGCTTGAGATCGGAGTTAAGATCCACCAAGAACGAACCTCAAAGTCACTCCACACGGTCGAACTGGCCATCTGGCACGAGCTTCAGCAGCGTATTGTCCCAACACGACAGAGACAAGCTGCAAGGAGAGCACAGCGTTGTGTGGTCAAGTACACGCTGCAGAGAACTCGGCCGTCCCTTAGCATTTCAGTGTGCGTGGGAATCGATACGCAAAAGGAAGGTCACGTGTAACTACCCGGTCACTTCGATCGCGCCTCAGCAAGCTGCATTGGCAACAGCTGCTTAGTGTGTTCGCATTCACGATGAGTTCTCCTGAAGAATACGACAAGATGACTAAGGAGGAGCGTGAGGCGAAGGACAAGGCCGAACGTGCGCGGGAGGCGGAGGAGCAGGCTGGTGCGCTTTCCTTGTACGCGTAGTTCCATGTCGATTGACTCCGTCATAGCATTGCCGTATAAGTGGAAGCAGGAGCTCGGAGAGCTCGACATCATCGTTCCAGTACCGAAAGGGACGCGCGGAAGGGACGTCAACGTACTGATTCAGAAGAAAAAACTCAGCGTTGGGCTCAAAGGCAAGGAGCCCATTATGGCAGGCGAGTTGTACAAGGAGATCAAGGTCGAGGAGAGCACTTGGACCGTTGGTGAGCATAACCGTTGCCATTGGCTCGATTTTGGTCTGAGATCGAGAAAAGAGGACCAGGAAGCGGTTCATGTCCACCTTGAGAAGATAAACAAGCAGCAATGGTGGGAGAACGTCCTGACACACCATCCCAAGATCGATACGTCCAAGATTCAACCTGAGAACAGCAAGCTCAGTGATCTGGATGGCGAGACGAGGCGAGTATATTAATCGTATTGCAGATGATATATGCTGACTCATCTCGCAGGGGAATGGTTGAGAAGATGATGGTAAGGCAATCTAACTGCTCCCATATGTCCAAATATCACTCATGGGCAATGTCCAGTTCGACAATCAGCAAAAGGTATGGTACAACAGTCGTCCGTGTGCTGTTTTCCTGCAACTAATGCACTCTGCGAACAGCAAATGGGCAAGCCGACATCTGACGAACTTAAGAAGATGGAGGTGGGTCGAGACCATATTCAATTTCGTCCCACCGCTGACCTTCCATCGCATGCGCTAGACTCTCAAGAAATTCCAGGAGATGCATCCAGAGCTCGACTTCTCCAACGCAAAGATTGCATAGGCTGCTAAGCATCTCTAACAGTTCCTCAAGTGCACAACAGACAAGGAAGTATGTAGGATTTAGTCTCGCGGCAGAAATTATTCATCCAATCGTGTATCTCCCATGTATCAATGGCATTGTTTTCGTGCTTCATGATGCATGCTGTTCTGCCGAACATCGAAAACTCTTGGACTGAAAATGCAAGGTACTAAATATGTTTCTACCATCTACACCCTCCTCCTCTTCCCTATGCCTTGCTGCTCAGCCGCAGCGCTTTTCCTCTTGACCCTCTCTATCAGGCTCTTCAAGCCATCACTGGCCTCCGCCTCTGCGTTGCTGGTCACAGGCGTGGCCGCCTTCGTAGGCTTCTCCTTTTGCCTCTTCGACCGCTCCTCCAGCAGGGCCGACATGCTCTTCGTCTTCTTGAAGCTATCATAGAAGAACAATGAGCACCCATCGTACTGTCACATTCAGCGTACAAGTACAACACGCACCGAGGATTACTCGGGTCAATCGCAAATGCATACTCCTCATGCACCGCCTTGAACCGCTCATCCTTGACATCGATGCTGAAACCCTCCTGCAGCTCGTTCTCTTCCTCTGCTGCGTGCTTGCTCTTCTTCTTGTTCTTCCCCTTCAATTTCTGCTTCTTCTCAGCCTTTAGCACTGTCTTCATGTTGAAGTGCTTCGGCTCGCCAGCTGCGCTGTCTGAGGCGACGAGGAGCGCGAGCTCTTCCGCAGTCGCGGGGCGGCGCGCCTCCGATTCGGCGTCCTCGTCCTCGCCTTTGCGGCCCTTATTGTTCCTTTTGTTCTTCTTGCCGCGCCACGTCTGCTCCTCTTCATGCGCGCTCCCATCCACCTCCCCATCGCCCTCTTCCTCGCTCCCCTCCGCGAAGAAGTCATCCTGCGTACCAAGCTTCTCCTCCTTCGCGTTCGCTCGCTCGTGTATCTCCTCCTTCCGCTTCTTCCTCTTGTCCCTCATCTTCCGCTGGTACTTCTCCAGCGTCGTCTCGTCGTGATCCTCCTTCTGTGCGCTCAGCCCCGGCATGAATGTGATCTCCATGTCCACGTCGCTCGCGTCGTCATCTGCCCCGTTCCCGCGGCCCCAGCCCTCGGGCAGTGCATCGTCGCCTCCGCCGAGCAGCAACGCGCGTAGCTTGTCGCGCGACGTAGCTTTCGCCTCCTTCTTCTTAGCGGGGGCGACGTCGTCCCCGTCCTCGGAGCCTGAGGTGGAGGAGGCGAGGTAGGCCTTGAAGTCGTTCTCCTCGATCTCCTTGCGCGAGAGTGTGCGGCGGGTAAGTTGGACTCGGTCTGGTTCATCGTCATCCCATGTCAGCTTAACCTTTGAATGCCGAAGAGCCTAGGATATATGTTGAGTACGAGAGACTCGAGAAACGGCCTGACAAACGTACGTCGGTTACGAAGTCAAGTCCCTTGTACGGCATGCTCAGATCGTCGTTAGCCTCGTCACTATGAACTCACATCAATCCATGCGGATATCCGGTGCCTTTATGAAACTTACCGATACTCCTCGTCGAAGGACATGTTATCTGGGACAAAGCTGAGATCGAACACGTTCGCCGAGCGCTCGAGCTCCGTGCCTTCTAGCTCGTCGTATATATGCGATGCGGCTTCGACGCTGTCACATTCTACAACGGCATAATAATATCTTATTATCAATGGTCATAAATAGAACCATACAGGGATTGGAAAATTAGGGGAGACGCACCGCAATCGTTCTAGCTGGTAGTTTCTCAACGCATGTTCGTCATAGTCCTCTTCCTCCCCAGTCTCAAAAATCGTCCGCTCGTTGATCTCTTCGTCCTCCTCATCCTTCTTCTTTTTGAATACCTCCGGTGGAGGCCCCTCCTGCTCCTCTCTCGCCATGCGTTCCTTGCCGAACTCGCTCGGATACACGCGCACGCTCAGCACTTTGCCCCGAACGACGCCGCTCGCCGAGCCCCTTGTTTTCGGACTCTTTCTATTTGTGGTTGATGTAGATGTGGAAGCCGCAGGGTGCGCAGTGGGCGATACGAGAGAGGAGAAAATCTTGTAAAGATGGATCGCGCGGACATGGTCCCAGTCGAGGTTCACGACTGCAAGCCTGCGAGTGCGCCCTGCCTCCGGTACAACCTTGTCATTCTCCGGGTTCTCCTTTGCGTACGCAGTAACTTGGGCGTTGAGCTCGGCATAGGCGTCCTCGTCCAAGTCGATCTCGGCCTCCTCGTCCTCATCTGGAACGAGAATGGGTTTTGAAACATCGCGCCCTAGAGTGACGGTGCCACCAGTGTCACTCTCATCGTCGTCTGGCTCCTGCTTGTCCTCCTCGTCCGAAGACTCGAGCAGCACCGCTCCTCGAGCATAGTCCAGTCCCCGGCCAGCTTCCGGCTCACGTTTCTCTTCATCCTCTTCTAGCCGGTAGAATCGGCGCAAATTATCTTCCTCGTAGGTATCTGCGAGGGGCCTGCCATACTTGTCGACGCGACCTGCATCGGTTGTCCATGAGACGGCGTGCCAATCAGCGGAGATGGAACCGTACCTTTTCCCTTCTTACCCTGCTTGCTCCCGTCAAAAAGGCCCTTGAAACGCTCGTCGACGGTGACCTTTGCAGTGTCCTTCTTGATGCGGCGGAAGCGGGGGTCAGTCTTGAATCTGGCAAAGCGGGGGTCGGACATGGTGGCGGCGAGAGAGCAGAGCGCGATCAGCCAATGAGCGCGGGCCGTTGCAGAAAATCGGTGATCGCCTACGCGCTCTGTGATTGGTGGACGACGTCGCTACGGGTGGCTGATACGGCGCTCCCTGGACGACGCGCGCACGGGCCAATCGCGTCTCTCCCCGCATCCAGCATATATAAGACGAGCCATGCCACCGTCGCTCCCCATCCCCCTTCTTGCCCTCTTCCTGTAAGTGTGTGCGCCCTTCTTGCCCTCTTCCTGTAAGTGTGTGTGCCCTGCCTGACCTCTTCGAGCTGACGCCTCCCGCAGTTTCATTTGCATCCGCGCTAGGCCGCGAGACGACCCTTTCGTTTTCCTCCACGGTTGAGCCGCATTCGACAGTCTTTCGCACCCTTGTTTGCAGAGCAACTTCCGGTTCGTTCCCCATCAAAATGTTCGCATCCAGCAAGTCCGTTCTTGCTCTCTTGGCTCTCGCGTTCGTCGGACAGGTCTCCGCGGTCCCCATGCCTCTGCCTCTGCGCGTGAGCAATGCTGTCACTCATCGATCTCGGTAACTAATTTTTCACAGTGGTCCTACGTCCTACATCACAACGCCGCCAACGACGTCCTTGCGAAGCGCGCCAACGACATCAACACCTTCCCAGAAGCTAGCCCTGCCATGGCGACTGCAGGCGTAAACGAAGCCTTCCATAACAAACGCGACCTCGATATCAACACTTTCCCAGAGGCAAGTCCTGCCATGGCGACTGCGGGCGTCATTGAGGCATTCCACAACAGACGTAGGAGACGCTCCAATGCAAACTCGTTCCCCGTCGCCACTGCCGGGTTGCTTGAGACATACCAGAGGAGACAGGCAAACGATGTAAACACGTTCCCCGAGGCCAGCCCGGCAATGGCAACCGCGGGCGTCATTGAGGCCTTCCACAACAAGCGTGCTGATGCAGATATCAACACATTCCCCGAGGCCAGCCCCGCCATGGCGACTGTTGGTGTCATCGAGGCCTTCCACAACAAGCGCGACCTCGACATTAACACCTTCCCCGAAGCCAGCCCGGCGATGGCGACCGCAGGCGTCATCGAGGCTTTCCATAACTAAACATATCCGGTGACATCGGGTACGTGCTAGCGTCCCTTGTCCGGTATATGGGTTCCCCTGCTCACCATGCGCACAGGGCGTGCCAATTGCTAGGCGAGCAATTGTCACATTTAGTTAAGGATAGCCATGCCCTCCAACCGTGCCCGATATGCTGGACAGTCATAGCTCATACCGATCGCCGCCCGGCTTGCGGAATTCACTTACGTTGTCTTCTCCATCTCTTACCTACTTTGGTTTATTCTCTGCGTTGTAATTGTACCTAGCACATGCAATGAATCCGGTGCGAGATGGGGAACGAACCCAAACCGAGCAAACGTAAAGCGCGATATAGAGCAAGGAAACAGGTATAATTACAAGACGGCATCCCACTATTCAACCAGCCGCCAAACGTACAATGTGCCTTTCGCACCGACACCCAAGATGGCCCTTCCTCCCGCTGCAACCTCACAGGCAGTGATATCCGGCAAAGTTTCGCGCCGCGGCTCCGGCACTCTGCTCAGATCCACGTTCCATCCATCTATCGCAGTGAACAGCTCTGCAAGACCCGAGGGACGCGCGACGTAGTCGTCATCGTCCTTTCCGTAGTCTACATCATTACTTTCATCTTCGCGTTCATCATCGCCGTTCGGGTCGTCTTGAATTCCATCGCGAGCACGGCTGCTGCCCTCAGCCGGGTTGCTCGCATCCCTATCTCGATCATCGCTCAGCCGCATGCGCTTCGCGCTCGCGATCATGTCGTCTTCCTCCGTAAACGGGAACGACGGCGGCTCGCGCGGTTTGAAGTGCGTGGTATTGAATATTCGGATGAGCTTCCCTATAGGCACGAGAATGATCGGGTCGTGCGTCGGAGAGCTGTGCACGGTTAAGTTTAGCGCGCCCATCGGAAGGTGGTACGCGGAGAGGATCTTGAACGATTCTGCGTAGTATGAGATAATTTGTTTCAGATCAATCTATCTGGGGAGAGATGGCCACGGACCACTGTTGCGATAGTCCTACGATCGAGGTTAGCTACTGACATGTGGGCAGGTAGAAGTCTAAGAGCCTACACTGGCGCATCCTCGCATGACTTTCGATGGTAACTTGCCGGGAGGGAAAAAGCGATTGAAACCTAGCCATTGCCAGATCACAACTACGCTCCACTCTATCAGCAACATGAAAATCGCACATGTGGTCATACATACCAGTGCCGTTCTCCTCGTAAATCTCATCCTTATATGTCTTCCGCATCAACGCGGGTGCACAATGGGAGATCAGGATGTCGTCACTGAGCCTGCGACGGATACTTAGACTAGTATGCTGAAGGAAATCCACGAGAACCAGCAATACCAGTTGATAGAAAGTACACGTGCTTTGTGGATGTAGTCTGTGCTGAACAGAGGCTTGTCTTCGCGCGAAAGGATGTCCGGCTTGTACGGTGGGATGCGCCATATCTTCACAGCGCGGTCCATCTGTACAAAAGAGCGTCAGCCGTCACGCATACAACCATATGCACCAGCACAATGTCTTACCCCGCAGGTAGCGATGAGAGGCGCTGACCGGTGGAATGCCTGTTGCCAATCAAGTCAAAGATTGACACATTGACCGCAGGACGGGATTTTACCGCGTATAAAACTGCTCCTCGGTGGCCGCCCGCTAACCCGCCGACAAGTACAACTACACACCGCCCTACTCCCTGGCCCTCGGGCTCAGTCATGTGCAGCCCATGTGCAGGACCTGCAAGACTGGGGGATTTGCCTGGAGGCCAGTGCGGATTATTAGGTACCTGTATAGGAGAGAGAGTCAAGTCGTATATGCGCGTGGAAAAGTCCTTTGACGTTGTGCAAAAGAGGTACGGGTGTAGCGGTTGGACGGCTATAGAAGTGATGGGCTGGTTCAACATCAAGATGCCTTCAGTGTGCGTCCAACATGTGGGGAAAATGACTGACACCGCCATGACCGCGAAGCTTGCCAATGACTTCACGCCGCTTGACGTGAACGACGATGATCACGCTGAATGCAGCGACTACCAGCAAAGGGTCCGTCGGGGCTTCGGGTCTGAGAGTCCATGATATGCATCGGACTTCCCAGGATTCCTGGTGCATAGAATTTGGAACGAGGACACATAATTTCTCAATTCGAGCTACGCACGTCCGGTAGCTTAAAGGTGAACGGCCTGCCAGTACCATGCTTGGGGAAGACATGAAACTTGCCCGTGGTGCCCACAGCCAGTGCACCGGAGAACTCTGAGACCATAGTATTCCAGTCCGCGATCACTTTCTCGTCCGTCACGACACCGTCCCACAAGATTTCAATTGAATTGGCCGCCCATGGGAATGCAGCCGTGCAGTTGAACGGAGATGCATTCGGGTCATCGGACTAAGGCAAGCTCAGAGATTAGAATGGCTAAACAAAGCCAGCGAAGCCTGACCATGAGCATTTTGGATAGCGTGAATGGTTGAGTGTCTGTCGGGCCTCTGAACCAGGGCAAGCGAAGCTCAGGCACTCCTTCCCCGTCAGCTTGGTCCGCTGAAGCCTCCATGGCATCTATCGCAACACTACTTAGATATGAACGCGACGATGCGCACAGAATCAAGTATGAGGGACAAGCTTGAGGTGGTAATGAACGAGCAGCGGTTGGATCCGCCACAGTGGCCCAATCGGGGAAGCGCGCCGGGCGCGTTGACAACTTACGCTTCAGGTGCGAGCGGCCTGCAATTGATCAGACTCAGTACTCGCTCTCTCCTCGCCACACCTTGGCTCTGTGCTCATGTCCGAGAACGTTGGGCTGCCCGCGCTCCCCAAACCACCGCAGGGTGCGGGCTCCTACGAGCCAAAGTCCCCCCTCGGGTACGCGTCCACCGTCGGGCTCCAGGCCGCCATCGTCGGCACTTTCGTCAGTACCGTCCAAAATGCGCTAGGGACACATAATAGAGGTGCAGCTGGCTTCCTCACAAGAAGTGGTGGGACGATCGGGGTGTTCGGTACGTCTGCCCTCACTATGGCCTCGGGTACACTCGGGACTCAGGGATAATACTGCTGCAGCTGCTATGGGCGCGACGTTCGCATTTACGGAGTCCGCACTCGCAAATTATCGCGAGAAAGATGATGCTTTGAATGGCGCAGCGGGCGCGTGTGCCGCAGGTTTCTTGGCCGGTATCCGACGTGCGTATCCCAGTCGTTATAACATGATCAACATCGTCACGGGTTGCGTCTCTTAGGGCGTTCTGTGCCCGTTGCATTAGCTTCGTGCGCCGTGATGGGTGCCGTGATGGGCACGTTTGATTACGGCGGAAAGAGCTTGCAGGGTACATCGGAGACGCAAGAGGAGAGACGAAAACGTTTCTTTAAGAGCACGCCTCCAACTCATCCAGCCATCTCATCGGGGTCGGACTAGACATACGCTCTTGTAGACTATCTCTGCCAATCAGTTGGGTCGCCCGCTATGCCGACGTGAGGAAGACTCTGGATGTCATCCAGCTGTTTCAAGTCACATAATTGCAATGTCCGCGGCCATAATTGAAAGGTCACTGAAGGTACCAAACACCAATGCTATTATTGACCGTCGCTACGCAGGAATTGTGTACTAGAATGCAGAGCACTTCTCATGCATCTTCATGTTTTTTGATCAGAGGCCTGTTTATACAAACCCATCAGCCGTTCAACCTCCGCGTTTACCTCTCTTCCATGTGTGTTCCAATAGTCTCGCCATTGCAAAGGCGTTAGAGATGGGTACTACACGTAAGGGCTCACTGAGTATGAAGGGGCGCTCTAGAGGAATGACGCTTACCCTTCTAGCTAGTTCGTTCCACACTTCATCATCCGACCTGTTGTCTGCTCCGCCCCGAGCAAGAAACTCGGTCATTACCTCGAATTCACCATGAATAGCTTTCTGCATTTGCATTCTTGAAGTCGCTGATGGCGAAGCATTTGCAACGACATCAGTGGACGGAGGCGTACTGCTCTGCTTCTCATTTACGTGGCTGGCCTTTCGTTGCGCGACGAAGCCTCTCTTCCTCCACTCGTCTATCTCCGCATTCTTCTTTATCATCCACGTTTGCCATGATCCCAGTGAATGTTGAGGCATCTGTCGTTTTGAATGCATCAGCTCCAATTATGAAGGGCCAGCATATACTATGCATACTTTGTGATGCATTTTCGCTGCGAGTGTGCCCTTTGGCATATCAGGCTCCCTCATCAACAGAATTGCACCATACTTCTCAAAGTATTCCATCTCCTCCTGTGTATAAAAGTTTTTGCCCTCTGTCCATTGTACTACCCTTGACGGAGGAGGAGGCGACGGTTCCGTGTGAATAGGCGGTACTTGATTGTCCATCCTCTCATTCACTCGAGCTTGATGTTGTGTAGTGCTATGCTGCGATTTGGGCTTTGGCTTGCTTTCAGGCTTCTTCCGAGGACTGCTTTCTTTGTATGGGTTCTTTGACGGCCGCCCTCTCTTACGCTTCTCCGGAACATATTCATATTCGTACGGCTCTGTCTTGAGCAGCGCTGAGTCTGAAATGCAATCATGAATGTATTGCGGCCGAACTGCGGGGGTGCCGGCTTGATGCGCTAGCTTGAGCCAATGCTCGAAGGATTTAGTGAGCCGAGCGAGCACCGCGACATCAGCGTCGAGTACATCCGCGACGATCCTCCCGCCGTTTTTCTGAGAAGCTCAAAATGTCAAGAAGATCAAGCTGTACCAGAAATGAGAGACATTTACCTTGATGACTTGCAATAGGTCGCTTCTCTTTCTCGTCTCCATTTGGACCCAAATTGCCGTTGATTCCCCTTCATCGGTGACGAGAGCATTTCCGGGATCGCGTGGCGATCCAGAGAAGGATTTCTGCGAGGACAAGGGAGGCATCACAGCAGAATCTGCATCGTCGGGGGGAGGGGTGCCTGTACGAAGTGTCTTGGTGGGTCGTGGAGGTGAGACCGCACGTTCCTTTCCCTTTGACGGAGATGGAACCCCGTAAGGAGATGTCTTACGTTTGAGAGATGGAGGTAGGACCTGAGGAGCAGGAGGAGAGGAGCCACGTGTATCACTGCTACCATGAGAGTCAATGACATTACTGGTGCCAACATCCATGAAATCCGACGCTGCAACACTAGGTGACTGATTGAACTGAGAAGCGCTAGCAAGGGTTTGATCCTGATTCAAAGCCGGAGGCGGATTGGAGGCAAGGACACTTGAAGCCATCGCAGTGCTCGCTTGCGACTGTAGTAACAATTGCAACATAGCAGCGGTTTCAGCAAACGGCGTGGGAGGCGGCGGAGGCTGCGAAGGTGCAGGCAGGGTGGATGTGGCGGGTGCGGCCATGAAGAGCATGGGATTCGCCTGCTGGTGATTGTTTGAAAGGTTCTGCAGGCTAGGATTGAACGGATTTTCAGCGACAAGCTCTCGTGCAGCGATTGATAGCGCAGCGATATTTTGCTGAGAGGAGGAAGGCAGGTTTGCGGCTGCCTTCGGCTGTGAAGGACCAGCCTCTGGAGGTGTCTGTCGTGGAGTGGGCAAGGGGCTTCTTCTCCACATTAGTTGACCGTGCATCGAAGACCATAGAACTGCATGTACTGACTGTTCAAAGTCGACAACACCGCCATCACTGCCTCGCTTGAGCCGAAAGCCACCCCAGTCCTCGCTTGATAGTGGTGCTCTGCCCAGCTCTATGGCCTTTGCTGCCCATCGCCAGTTTAAGACGGCTTTGCCTGGTTCAGAACCCCAATCATGAACAAATTGCTTTCCAGCCTCCGTCTCCACGTCCACCAAGATAACTCGTGCTTCTGTGGGATAGTACGCAATGCGCGCACCTCCTTTCTATTACAACTATCAGTTGCTGAGTAGTGCCCAGATAGATGAGACGTAACTCGCAACGAGCGGACAAGTTTCGGACGATAAGCGAACTCCGCGGTCTCCACAAATATGCTCAACTCTTGACCTGTCTCATCGACGAAAACGCGCGAGTACCCTTCAGCTTGCGATAGGTTGGACTCAAGGAATCCAGTCAATTCAGACATAGTGGTGGTGCTGAGCGCTGAATTCTTGAGAAAGATCAATGTGAAACAGGCGAGGTGTCACATGAACGGAGCCAAGAGAAGCGGCCAAAGCTCGCAACGTGGCGCGTTTATTACTCCTACATCATTAAGCGCCCGTGAGCCTTGTGCCGCGAGTTGTTCAGATTAGCGCATTGGCAAGTATACCGTTGACCCAATTACTGAGGAAGGAACAGATTAACGCTCGCGCCATACACTGCAAGATCACAGTGGCCGTCAAAATTTGAGCCTTCTTGGGAACAAATAACGATCAGGTCTGGCTAGTTGAAGAACGCCTATTGGACCCTCGACAACTTATGCAACACAACACAATGGTATCCGACATGATGAGCGCTGCATTGGAAGCTGCCATAGATACTGCATACACTGTGGCGCGAAGGAGAGAGAGGATGGAGGGACATGACAACACAAAGCAAACCGAGGATTGATACGCGGTTCACCGGTAGCTGAGAAACACACAGTTCAGCTGTATGAAACGACACAACAGGAATAGGTGCGCACGATTTCTGCCTGCGTGCGCGCGCACCGCCACCACCGAACTTCTTCGGTTCCATCCTGCGCGGGTCCGCGATCAAAAGAGTCCTGTCGTAGGCGACGAGCTTTTTCTTCAGCTCCATCGCACTGTACGCGTCGACATATTTCGCGTAGTACGCAACAAGCGCCTTCGCGATCGCCTGACGGATAGCGTAAACTTGCGAAATGTGTCCTCCACCCCTGACACGCAGACGGATGTCGATGTTTGCGAACGCCTCCTCGCCTGCCACCAGGATGGGTTCGTACACCTTCATGCGGAGAATCTCGGGCTCGATAAGGGAGATAGGAGAGCCGTGAAGGTGGATCAGACCACGTCCCTCCTTAGCGTGCGCAACCGCAGTGGCGGTCTAGGGAACCAATTTAAAGGTCATAGAACAAGATAGGTACGGCGATGGGACGAACCTTTTTCTTGCCAAACGTCTGAACTGCCTTCACTGATGATGCCATATTGAATGAACGAGATCGTCTGAGCAAGCAAATTATTTCAGCAACAGATTCCCTGATCAGTCGCGAGAGTGAAAGAGCAGCGAGCGTCATCTGAGCCGTACGCGCAGAATCCATCCATTTCTGGCCGCATTTTCTGGTGCTAAATGGCTGATAACAGACAAGCGGTCTCCAGGAGACATCTAGACAGGCCAGAATGGATACTCACCCTGCCGTATGTCTTCTGTACTTCGCCGAACGGTGTGTGTCGGTCGACTTAGATCGTCGCGCCACCAGTCGGAAAGAGTTTCCCACGGAGCTGTCGCGTAGAATTGACGCCCAGCTCAATTGCTATCTCCACTCGCCATGTTTTCCGCATGCAGGCGTGTAATTGCACAGGTGGGTCGGAAAGACAAGAAACCATCCATGAACTCACAGATGATATGATTGCAGGTGTCCAGGCCGGCTAGCCGCGGATTATCTACGATCTCAGGCCCGGAAGCCTTGATAGCCTCGTCGAGTGTAAATCATGCTGCCCTCAATGTTTCACTCGATGTTTCACTACATGAGCCTGTACCATCTCACAAGCGTGCGCACCTCTTTATTATGGCATTCTACGAACCACTCTCACGTGCAGGACCATCAGTCTCTCCGTTCACGCCGCCTGTCTACTTAAGCATATCTTCGCTCTTGCCGCCGCTGGGCGACGCTTTCTCAGCCGAAAACGTAGTCGAACTCGACCCTCACGTCTTCTCACACCCCATTCGACGAGACATTCTTCACCTCTGCGTTACCCATTACCTCGATTCCATTCGCCAGGGCACCGCGTCAACGAAGACGCGGGGTGACGTGCGAGGGTCTGGGAGGAAGATCCGGCCACAGAAGGGTACCGGTAGAGCACGCCTGGGCGACGGACAGAGCCCAATGTTACGTGGAGGAGGCGTAGCCCATGGTCCTAAGCCCCGGGATTTCAGCACGAAGCTCAACAGGAAGGTGATACAGATGGGTATGCGCGTTGCGTTGAGCGCGAGGGTGAAGGAAAATGCTCTTGGGGTGGTAGAGAACCTGAACTGGACTGGAGGGAAGACGAAACAGTTGGACAACAGGCTTCAAGAGCTCGGATGGCGGAAGACGCTCTTCGTCTCAGGTCTCGAGCACGTACCCCAGGGACTGCAGAAGGCGAGCAGCAACCTGAAATACGTGCAGACCTCCACTGCTAAGGACCTCAAGGTGTATGATCTGGTGAAATGGCCACGGATTGTCCTCGATTTTGCAGCTGTCGATTGGTTTGAGCGGACTCTGGGGAGACCAGCCGTCGACCCTCGAGCGTATTCTTTGTGAGAACGGTCCCCGTGTTTAGTACGGCAATGCATTCACCTCATATATGAGAATATTGGAAAGTGATCAGATCGCCATCTCACTGTAGCTAACGTCGAACGATTAGTATGGTACACGCCCTTCACTCATTCTCCGGCGCTTCGCAGTCACACTTTCAGACACGCGTCCACGTGACCGTAATAAACACACGTTTACGGCGCGTATTGATCGTCGAACGTTGACGTTGAAATCCCACCGCGACGTTCAAGACCACCGTTCTTCTCCGTTTGACGCATCCACAGAACATGACATCTATCTCGCAAGCCTCTCAACAAGCCTCTCAGAATGAAGAGGAGGAGATAATGCCCTCCGGTCCTATGCTCATCCAGAAACTCCAGGATTATGGAATCAACGCGCAGGACATCAAGAAGCTGGCGGATGGCGGCCTCCACACCGTGGAAGCGGTCGTGTATACGCCGAAGAAAACACTCATGCAGATTAAGGGCATTTCAGATCAGAAGGCGGACAGAATTTTACAAGAAGGTAACTGTGACGCGTTCTTCCTCTCCTTCGAGCTCGCTGATGCTGGTCGATCTCGCTTTCAGCGATGAAATTAGTACCCCTCGGATTTCAGAGCGCGACGGAGGTACACGCTAGGAGATCCGAGCTTGTTCAAATCAGCACCGGGTCGAAGAACTTGGACTCCCTCCTTGGTGGTGGCATCGAGACAGGTTCCATCACGGAGTTCTTTGGCGAGTTCCGGACGGGGAAGTCGCAAATTTGCCATACGCTTGCCGTTATGTGCCAGTTGCCCGTTAACATGGGTGGCGGTGAGGGTAAATGCTTGTACATCGACACCGAAGGAACCTTCCGTCCAGTGCGGGTGCTTGCAGTCGCCGAGAGGATGGGGTTGAACGGAGAAGAAGTACTCGACAACATCGCATACGCGAGGGCGTACAATGCAGACCATCAACTTCAGCTTCTGACGTCCGCGGGCGCGCTAATGTCTGAATCGAGGTGTGGAGTCATGCATATATGCGCGTGGTCTTCGATCGGACTCAATATTTACCAACGCACACAGGTTCTGCCTGCTTATAGTGGACTCCTGCACGGCGCTTTATCGTGTGGATTATAACGGCAGAGGCGAACTCTCCGCAAGGCAATCCCATCTGGGCAGATTCCTGCACACACTGCAACGCTTGGCTGATGAGGTTCATGTTGTTATGCTTCTTGTGCAGCTCCATTACTGACAGCAATGTTGCAGTATGGTATAGCTGTTGTGATGACGAACCAAGTGATGTCGAGCCCAGATGCAGCAGCTGGTCCTTACGTCTCGAACGAGAAGAAGCCCATAGGTGGTAATATTTTGGCTCACGCGTCTACAACAAGGTCGGTGTGCTGTGCGAAGTTGTCAGCAGATTTGACCTGATCAAGCCATTCTTCACTCAGGATACAGCTCAAGAAGGGCCGCGGTCCAAATCGTCAGGCCAAAATCTATGATTCGCCTAGTCTGCCCGAGTCCGACACGATGTTCGCTATCCTCGGGGGTGGTATTGGTGACCCAGAGGAGGATGCGTGAAGGGTCGAGAATATCTTCCACGATGGACTGCTGCCTCGTGGCACGACGTCGTCGTAACATGGCTTTTCCGTAAGGGCGCGCCACAGTGCAGAACTGCTGAAGACGTGTACGCTCGGTGATGACGAATGGCACTACGGCTTTAAGCTAGGTCTGGTATGGATATTATACATGCTCGGTACTATACAAGGTGCGTGATGTTGAAGCGGCAATAAGTACCGATAGATCTCCAGTTGAGTGGATATGAGAGAAAAATATGAGCATCTTAGGGACAACAGCACAACGTGCGTAGCTAGCATGAACCGTTTAAGACGGTGTTTTGAGAACATGAAGGAGAAGCTTATGCGAGAAGCCGAGTGAGGATGTTGGCGCTCGTCTTGTTGATCAGCTCCTGCAGCTTGTAGACATCGCTTGGGCTGACATCCGCGATGTCTGCCATCAAGTATGCCACATCGCCTTTCGAATCCGAGAACTGCTTCTCCACGTTGTACGGCGACAGAATCTCATTGACCTGCCGAAGGACACCCGGAATGTTGTTGTGCACATGGCACAAACGGATACCCTGCTGCTCCGCAGTGATCGCACGCAGGTCAACCTCTGGAAAGTTGACAGCGCCCACGGTGGACCCATAGTTGAGGTAATGAGTCAGTGATGAGGACACCTCCTCTCCGATCATGCGCTGCGCCTCCTCCGTGGAACCACCAATGTGTGGTGTGAGGATGACGTTGGGAATCGAACGAAGCGCGCTCGCCCAGGAGTTGAGCTGATCATCGAATGGAGCACCGTTCGCACCAGGCTCGGCCGGATAGACATCAATGGCAGCACCGGCGAGGTGACCCGACTTCAGGGCGTCTACGAGGGCCGGAATGTCGACGACTTTGCCGCGTGCGTTGTTGATCAAATATGCGCCCTTCTTCATTTGAGCAAGCTGCTCAGCTGAGATCATGTTCATCGTCTCGGGGAGTTCGGGGACGTGGAGCGTGACAAAGTCGGATTCATGAAGGAGGACATCGAGCGACTCGACTTGACGAGCGGACCCGAGTGGCATGATGTTGATGACATCGTAGAAGAGGACGTGCAAACCGAACGCCTCGGCGAGCACAGACAATTGTGAGCCGATGTGACCATAACCAACGATGCCGAGGGTCTTGCCGCGCACTTCCCAGCAGCCCTTTGACTGCTTGTTCCACAGACCCTCCCGCATCTCGAACGCACGTTGGAAGTATTGCCGAGAGAGAGCGATGATCTCGGAAATGACGAGTTCAGCCACTGAACGAGAGTTGGAGAAGGGCGAATTGAAAACGGGAATGCCAGCCCTGGCAGCTGTGGCCAAGTCGACCTGATTAGTGCCAATGCAGAAACAACCAATGACGAGAAGCTGAAGAACAGAATTTTGAGCCAATAGCCCTGGACGAGGAAGAGATGATGCATACCTTCGAAGCAGATTTGATGACCCTCTCAGTAATCTTAGTCTTGCTCCGGATACCGATGGCATGGTATGAACCAATCTTCTCTACAAGCTCGTCCTCAGACATAGATTTTGTCGAGTGATCGACATGGAAACCCTGCGCGCGGAACGTCTTCACAGCCTCTTGGCTGATGTTCTCGAGCAAGAGCAAGCGAAGATCCTCATTATCAACAGGGTGTAAGGTCTTCGGCACGCGCACCGCCGCGGAGGCAGCTACAGAATCTCTGCGAGCCATTCTTTCGTGGATGCTGGTGGTGGGTGTGGAGGGCGAGACGGAGACGGCGAGGGCGGATTTAGCAACCGGAATGGAAATTGAGGCACTCATGGCGGCAAACAATCGTGCTTTTGAGGAAGATGATGGTCAGCGTCTGAGAGGGCGCTGTGGACCACCCTGGGTTGGCAACAAATTTACGAAGTCGGTAGTCATTATGGCGAAGTCTAGAGACGCCCACACCTTTGGTCACCGTTTTTTCTAGATTAGATTGCTTCCCTCGATTAGATTAGATTTGATGAATCTCGCTCGAGAATTTGCCTCTCGACGCCGCACCATGACTCGATATAGTCCTCTGTGCTCCTTCGTGTCCATCCTCCCAAGCCCCAATGGGTCTTTACCTCCTTGATTACGGCGCGGGGAACGTGCAAAGCCTCGCGAACACCCTCAAAAAGCTCGGCTACGAATTTCAGTGGATTTTGTCACCCTCGGACTTCCATAAGGCGACCGTGAGCCTTCACATGTCTCGCCCATTTGATGAAGATCAGCCGACACGCCTTTCAGAGCCTCATCTTTCCGGGAGTGGGCGCATTCGGTAGTGCAATTGATGGTCTCGTTTCGAGAGGTCTCCTCGAGCCCCTCCGCGAATACGTCGCGGCTGGAAAGCCGTACTTTGGGATATGCATAGGCATGCAAGTGCTGTTTCAGTCATCAACGGAGTCGCCCTCTTCGCCTGGATTGGGCGTTATCCCATCCGTCATCGAAGAGTTCGACAGCGCGAGCAAGTCGGTGCCTCATATGGGCTGGAATTCAATCGAGCTGCTCGACCCACAAGGCAAGGCTCATGAAGGGCTGGAGGAACTGTCCCATTATTACTTCGTGCACTCATACCGAGCCAAGTACGACTGGAACCACCCAGAGGTTGCGCAATGGGTTCATAGCACCACGCAGTATGGAGAAGAAATTTTCGTCGCTTCTGTCCGCAAAGACAACGTATTTGGAACGCAGTTCCATCCGGAGAAGTCGGGCGAGGCAGGTCTGAAGATCCTTGCTACCTGGTTGAGCGAACCTGAAGCCTCGCGCCGAGTGACACGTCCAAGCCCTCCATCCCCTCGCTTTCCGAGGCCCAGGGACGGTCTAACTAAACGTATCGTGGCATGCATGGACGTGCGGTCCAATGATGACGGCGACCTTGTTGTAACCAAGGGTGATCAATATGACGTACGAGAGAAGGCACCCTCTGCGCCTAAGGAGCCCGCACTCAGCCCGCTTCAAACACGAACTGCAGGCGCTGTGCGTAATCTCGGCAAGCCAGTCGCTCTTGCTGCCACGTATTATGCCGCGGGCGCCGATGAGCTATGCCTCATGAACATCACATCCTTCCGTCACTCGCCACTGCAAGATCAGCCCATGCTTGCTGTCGTGCGTGCCGCGGCAGAAGAAGTCTTCGTCCCGCTCACGATCGGAGGAGGAATCAAAGACACCGTGGATCCAGACGGGACTCTGCGTTCTGCGCTAGAGGTTGCTGGCGCGTACTTCCGCGCGGGCGCAGACAAGGTGAGCATTGCGACTGAGGCCGTATACGCGGTGGAACGGATGCGAGCACGCGCCGCGGACGGAGGCTTGGGGGAGGGCGATGGGACAAGCGCAATGGAGACGATCGCGCATGCATACGGGCGACAGGCCGTCGTCGTCTCGATCGACCCGCGTAGGGTGTACGTTGAGCCCACCTACGATGGCCTGTACAAGGATGAGCTGGTCTACGGAAAGCCTGATGGGCCTGAGAAAGATCGGGGGAAAGCGTGGTGGTATCAGTGTACAGTGAAGGGTGGACGGGAAGATAGACCACTTTCAGCAGTGCAACTTGCGAAGGGTGTGGAGAAGCTTGGCGCCGGAGAGATTATTCTCAACAGCATCGACCGCGATGGAACCGGCCTCGGCTTCGACATTGACCTAGTGAATCTCGTCAAGAAGAACGTACGGATACCTGTTGTTGCAAGCAGCGGAGCGGGCAGCAAAGAACATTTCGTTGAAGTGTTTCAGAAGACGGGCGTTGAAGCCGCACTGGCTGCGGGTATCTTCCACCGGAAGGAAGTTGGAATTTTGGAGATCAAAGATGCTCTTGCTGCAGCTAACATCAATGTCAGGAGGTGAGATTTTGTTACGTATATGGCTCTCGATTATAGTTTTACAGTAGTAGGACCGAAGATGCGCAGACTACTTCACGCGTTCTATAACCTTTGTCCTCGTATACCTATCCACTGATCGAGTTCTCGTGCGGGTTGCTGTAAAAAGTATTTGTCACATGTTGGCAGGCAATGTATACGAGCATGACCACGTCAGTCGTAAATGAAAATAAATTCATGCGAATCAGTATTCACCGTGGCGTCATCAGCGTAGACAGTGCCAGACTTGCCATCAGTGACGGGGAGCTCGCACCAGTCTCAAGTTCTGTACACGCACGTTGGTAGCACCTTCAGTCGTCAATGTGACTCTTGTTCCGAACAGTCGCCGTGATCAACAACAAAGTCAACAAGTTCGATGGTCGTCGCATCGCCAGTGAATTTAATGTCACTATGTAGCGACATGCGTTAGCATGATCAGTCAAATAAATTTGAAAATGCCGAGTTTACCTGATCTTTGTGTCGGTTCGAAGGGTTGCCATCATCGTCAGGATAGGATTATGTGGGGACTGGAGGTGAGTCCCACTGATCGAAGTTATCTGCACAAGAAATCCATTCCTGCGCGCACACGTTCATGGTCAGAGTCTGACAGACACGTAACTGCTCAATGACAAGGTGCAGAATAGTCAAATTGTCTTTGTACACACTGCCATCGGCGACAATGAATTTCCGACAGTGTGGCGGTCAGGGATGAAAGGGTGAGGAAACCAGACCGGCCGTACAAGTCGACTGTTGGGCCGCCATCACGGCGCCCGAGGCCGGGATAGCGAGTGCAAGGAGAGAGATGGGCAGCGCAACGAGGATGTGGAATATGCATATCATGCCCGGCGAGTTGAAGACAAAAACAAATGCGCTTTCCTAGAAGGCCAACCTACGGTTTTCTGAGCGCTCGAACAGAAGAGATCCTCCACGAAATCATGCGGTCCTCCTTGTTACTCATCTGTTCTGGAACTACATGGGAAGGCAAGTGCAGCGGGCAAAAATAACAACACTGCAGCAGCCATAGCTACCAGGCATTGCAGAACATGCAGTGAGTTGCGGTGAGGTTGTTTAATTCCTGCGCAGGTTTCGAGGTGCAGAACGGTCGGCTGCTGTGCAAGGTACACATGCTTTAGGAGACAGCATCTGTGTGTAGTAGATTGTTGCAGCTTCTGCACGTACCGTAGTCACCATCGCGCGAGGTCTTGTGTTGTTTCCAAATAAGCCGTTGATTTCGTAGCTCTTTCGATCAGAAGCGGCATGCCTCTAGAGATCGGTGGCTCGTCCAAGGGGTAGCCCTTTTCGCCTGCGCGCAAGGTTATCTATGCCGAACCTAGTAGTAGTGTCTGGATCCCAAGACGTAAGCGCATAATTTGCATGATCATCGATGATGTCTTCCATTATTCGTTCCTTCTATCCGCGGGTCCGAGCAATCCGCCTACAATATGGGAGTAGTTCACACAAAACCTGCACAATCTCTGCAAGAAAAAACGACCGCGTTGATCCACAGATCAGTGCATAGGAACAAATTTGCTCTGCATATGAACGCCCGCCTTTTCGTCTGCGGAGAACGTGCCCATCCAGACGCAGGTGGACCGTTGCTCGGAGCCTCTGGTTGTCACGTCAACAATTGTCCCGCCAACGCAGACGCATTCCAGTCCATCGCCATCCGTTGCGCTCTGACTCCGAGCCGCCTCCGAGAATTAGGCGTTCCGAGCTTGGTGGCAAGTTGTTCGGTCGTCCAAACATGTCGTTTACGCCATTAGCCCTGGATGAAAGCAAATGAAGGACCGCTCCTGGAGAGTGGGCACATAGCTGAGCGGGCGGCCTGTTCTGTCCAACTTATGTCTTCATACGGCGTGAAAACCACGGAAAACTTATCAAATATCAAGATTCGCCTTGCAAAAATTAAATGTTCCGTCACACCTTGCGTCAGGAATAGTAATGTGCTTACACCGCGGAAGCTTGAAGCACTCGTACGGGATAAAGGATGCCTTTTAGCGATTGCACCTTCGTTGGCGTTCACAGTATGGAGTGAAGAGGTCGCCGAGGGCTAAACCCAAGTTTCTTCAGCCTTTCTTAAGTCGAGAAAATGGCCTTCAATTCACGAAATGACTCAACAAGAACTCACTCACTGCAGTTCCCATACAGTTATTGTTGAACGTGGGTAAAAAAAAATGCTGCACGTTGAATCGTGTCTATACATTGCAGAGTGACGTTGGGCATATGCCATGATGTTTCACCAATGCATGTTAAGGCGTTGTATTCGCAGACTCGGACAGAAGAATGTGCTCTCTTCTATCGCCCTTGTGCGTTTTATGGATGACGGTCCGCGTGGCAGTCTAGCAGACTCGAATATTCCCGGTAAAAGTCGTGTGCATACACATTGAAGCAGCAGAGCAATGACCATAGATCAACGCAAATACAAGTTCAATCCCGTTGCAGTTCGATGAAAGGCCGCTCACGATTTATCGGAGCTGGTGTCCAGCGGTGTTGATTCTACTTAGCCGCCGCTTGCACGTTGAGAGGCTGGCAGAAGCACGAGAAGAGCAACGTACAAACGGTCACTCTGAGCCGAGTCTTGGCAAGGACAACGCGCTGTAGGCCGCCTGGCCGATAGAGCGGGCAGGCCAGTGTGGTCTAGTATTAGGTCGATGCCAGCGAGAGGACCAACTTGTGGCCACCTCCAATCGTGCACTTTGAAAGTTGATCAAACGGACATCTGAGAACGACGATGATCATACGTCGACACAATATAATTCTGAATCGAATTCAATTGTAGGCGTTAAAGATCGAGGATGAACAATCTCGCCTAAGAGTCAAGGTCGGGTTACAACCGCGCAGCCTCACCTGTGCACCTCGGGTATCTCGCTTTCGAACCAATATATATAAATATACGGGTACCGGGCATTTATAAGTTTATCGGCGATGAACGCTACTGTACGGCTATACGAACATACAGACGAGACTTGATCAAAGTACAAACTGTACACTATGGCAATCGGATTCGAACGGAGCATAGTTATCGGGTGAGCGAATGTCGGTCTATCGTAACGGACAAGACCACCGCGCAAGAAGACGTAATGAACAACATGGGAATCGCCAAAGGAAAGGCCAAAGAACGCGTGAAAAGTCCATCAAAGACGTAGTCTACGTTGCGAAACGTCAAATTTGACACAGCTTCGAGCACTTCGTAGGAGGAAAAAAAAGAGAATGGGGCATACGACGCGCTGCAACTGGGACGCATCATCTATTGTAGATTGCGGCATCCCAGCCAGACTTCAGTTTGGTATTCGGTGTTCTGGAGACTCATTGCTTGGCTCCCTTCACTACACCCTTCACCTTCCTCAGCAAACTGGTCTTCCTTCCGAGGCCGTTGCCAGGCGACACAACCGTCTCGATAAGTGTACCATCGAAATATCCGGGCATATTCTCGCTTGGAGAGGCGTAACCAGCCTTCATGGCAGGCGTAGCGGGTAGTGACTTCTCCTTGTTGACGGGCACCGGGTCCTCAACGTAGACGTAGCCAGCCTCGTCCGACACGGCCGTCGGGGAGATGTCCTCCCTCCGCG